AAATGCATTTTGCAAGGCATTAGTCTTGCAATTTTAATCAATATTACCAAATTATTTTTCAAGGGGTTAATCTAGGAATTTCAAAAAAATTTTGAAGAAATGAATTTCGCAAGGGGTTAGTCTTGCAATTTTAATCAATTTGACCAAATTGATTTTCTAGAGGTTAACCTACAAATTTGAAAAAGTTTTGAAGAAATGAATTTTGCAAGGGGTTAGTCTTGCAATTTTAATCAATTTCGACTAAAATAAATTGCCTTAGAATTGAAAAAAAACCTTTTCAAGAAATGAATTTTGGAAGGGGTTAGTCTTGCAATTTTAATCAATTTTGACCCCCAAATTGATTTCTAGGGGTTAACCTGGGATTTTCAAAATAGTTTCGAAGAAATAAATTTTGCAAGGGGTTATTCTTGCAATTTTAATTGATCTTGATTTAAACAAATTGCAAGGTGTAACCTAAGAATTTTTAAGAATTTTAAAGGAAAAAATCATCCTAATTTCAGATCACATATCATAAAATCTTGTGGTAGAAAGAGCCTGAAAATGGTTTGCCAAATGAGCCCGAAGTTTGAAAGCTGTGAAATGTTTTTCAAAAGTAATGGAAGAATGATGGAGATTTAAAATGCTATTAATTTGGCAGATTTCCAAATTGTTCACTCATGTACATTGTACATGTTCTTCGAGGTAACTACATGTAAAGCCTATTCTAATACTCTTCCTGGCCACAGAAATAAAGAAAGACTTCTTGTTTACACATGTACATGTATATGTTATTAGAACCGAGTACTGACATTACATTGTGATGAAACCAAAATATAGAGCCAAAATATACACTGCAATTCTACAACAGAAAATAATTCGAGGACTTTCTTCACAATGACTACACACGCACAACCACTAATCACCACTAATGCACTTGTATGATGTACGTAAGTGCTAAAATTAGGAAAAATTGAGATCTGGAACTTAAGCTAGGATCAGAAATAGGGTAGAGAATAATGGAATATGACAGCATGGGGGGGTGTCACTGGAGGATTGTGAAATATAAATGAAATAATCAAGAGGTTTTGAAGGCTCCGCACCAGAATAGGGTCTATGGTATATGTTTGTGGTTGCCGCCAGGCACTCCTTAAAATGTGACTCACTCTGCAAAAAAGGCCGTCAAGTCATGCTTTGCCTCTCTACATTTACGTAACAGACTATTCCGTACACCTGCCAGACATCAATTCTAAATTTTACTGTGTCTCGGGAATAGAATGTGCAACGGAGGTCAAAAATACTCAATTTAGTCCTTGTTAAAATGCTCTGGGCATCACTTCAAATCAATTTGTCACACATTAGCCCAAGGGCCATTTTGGCAGAGTCACAAATACCTAGTCCTTGTATTCTACACGTATATCAACTTTTATATACGTAAAAACACCTTGAACAGTAAACTCAGGACTTTCCAGATTTTTAAAGCAACTGTTTGAAAAATCATGGAATCGTGACGAATCTCACCCCTGTAGCATAAGTTGATCATATGTCATAGGTCATCTTATTTCTTTCTTCGAAATACCAGATCTTTACAAAATGCCACACCTCTTTTTTGTGCTAGTGAGTATAAACAACAAATGGAAAACACTACTCTGAGATTGTCTTGAATATTGGAATCTGTCAAACATATTTAAGTGCAAATACTGGCTGAAAATATTACGTTAGGAATGTATTGGCTGAATGATTTTAAGTACAAGCTGGTGACAGCAATGACAACATTACAAGTAACATGTTGATTGAGACTTACATGCATGCACGTGTGCAGAGAAGAGAGTTACTCGTATTTTGAAAAAAATAAATATACCTTTATATGATTTACAATAGATACAGTCCAAAACAAGCAAGAACATGGAGGAAATAAATTTCACTCCTGCAAATTTAAAATGAAATAAAATTTAGGCCTGAACAAATTCATTAACACCTGTTTTGTTAGTACCATAACCTGATTACAAGGTGCATACTTGACACTACTCAGCACTACTCCTCGTTAACGACACCAAAGATATTGCACTTAGTTTAAAGGTTCAACTTCAAGAGGCATAAATAATTTTCATCGGAGTCCCAATCACTCCTTGAATCAAAATCAAGGTTGTGAACTTTGTTAAAAGAGGTAGGAAACCTGTTTATAGGTTAGCAAGAGCCCAGTTTAAGTTAGAATAAAGAATCGGGTAATGCCATGAACACAGCAAAAAGTACTAATGGGGAAACGTTAGAATAGTCTGTAATTACATCCGCAAAGATCACCATGCTTCAGTCATTAATACAGTAATTATCTCTCAGTGAACTTCCAAATTTCAAATCCATTCTGAGTCAGTGCAATCAAAATTACATGCAAAAAAATAATGATTTGCTCAGCTGCAAATAAACTTCGATGCTTACGCCCATCACATTTTGCCCAGTCACCTTGCATCATAAAAAAATTCTGCATTCTTTTTTTTTTTGAACAGCTTTAATCGCTGAGGTCAATTTGGCTTCAAATCAGCCTAGGGATGCAATTATCACCGATTACTAGAAATGCAAAACCTATGAAGCTTACCCTTCTGCAGGTGTCTCCTGCCAACCATTATAGACGCCGCTTCTCAAACACCAGATTACACACTGGTGCATTCAAGCAAAAGACAGGTCGTCTGTGGGTCATTCCATGAGGTTGGAGCACAGTTTGTGACGGTGTCCAATGTTACGTGGGTTCCGTAAAATGAACAGCTATTTTCCTGCATGTGGATCCCAAATTATACATGTTGCAGGGCTGAATACAGAGGTGTGTGTTATTTTTACAGAGTAAATGACCAACTCTACAGGTCATGACAGGTGGCAAAAGTTACCCATGTAACAGGGACACCGTCACAAATTGTGCCCCAACCCCATGGAATGGCCCCTCTCTACTTCTGCTAAGTCCAGAAGGGAACTGTATACCTGCAGGTCTTGAAAACAACCTCTGCCCAAAAATTCAAACTACATCAAAGTTCAAGGTGGTACAGTCTTTGTGAATTACACATACATTTATCGCACCGAGTCTAACGTTCACAACATTACAGTGGTCAAATCGCTACTAGAATTACAAATAAGATTAACTACTTAACAATGAAATGGCCCTGATCACGAGCAATTCTCAATCAGACAGTGATAACATGGAATCCATTCCATGGATTTATTCTTTAAACTTTGAGGGGAAATTTTCAGCTGCATCTGGATTTCATACTGACTTGTGTACAAGTCCAGGTGGTCAGGGCCACGTCGTCATTCATACTGGGTTGGGCCAATGGCCGTTAGGCTGTGGGACATAACGGTGCATAGTGAACATTTCCACTTTCAGCTTCATCGGTCTGATATAAGTAAACTACACGTACTCCGTTGGAAGCAACCAGGGCTTATCAATATGTACTGTCGATGAAAATCTTCAAACTGAAGAAAATGATACACGTACTTTCACATCTAATGGAAGAATTCCAAACATATCATCCTGAGTTCAGAACCATCCGACAACGACGACTACTGATTACCGGTCACTTCTTACAAATGACTGTGAATCGACTTCTTTTCTTCTACATTTATACACAATCATGCCAATTACGATGGATTACGGAACGAAGCACTCTACATGTATATTGCTCTGATAGTCTAAACTCACCGACACACAACAAAAAAATTATCCATGACAGTTACTCGTTCTCTGTGTGGTATGCACACCATGCATTGATCATACCATTAGTGTGTATCCGTGATCGGTATAGTTCCAATTCTTTTTTAAAATCTGCAAACTGAATATTTTCAATCCAACAAGTCATCCCCCGCCCCCTGAACTCTCATCTCTTTCCCACGCTTCTCTCATCAATACTCAGTCGTCTTCTAAAAAATATCAGTATCTGGATGTATAATAAAAATGACCTTTTTTTTCCTAAAATATCAATTCCGATATAAAGATCCAAGGTGGCATTTACATACCATTAAAATTACTGTGATACCTTTAACCCTAATTTAAGCAAGTTCTCAAGATGTGACCATTGATTTATCACACTTCAGTAGTTTCATTTATTGGTTTAGCTGATCAAGGTTTTAGACGTGCCCCAGGTTTAAGATTTTGGGCCGCGCCTCCATATCTATGAAGTTATTCTGTGACAGAAATAGTGGAATAAATTGCGCCAATTTATTCTAGATTCCATCTTCATGGGTCCTACTATAACTCTTCCCATCACTTGTTTAAATGCACTGGTGTACATGTAACCGTTTCAGAAACTAATGAAGTCACGATGTACATCAAGGTGTGCTTTGGAGAATGATTTCTTATACCTGTTGTTTTCTTAGATATAGTTTTCAAGTTCCTTCATGAGTAACTCTAGCTCCTTCGGAGACAGCTCCGGAATCGTGTTGTCACGCTCCAGAACAAAGTTGCACTGAGTGGCTTGCATGTCATCGTACACGGTGCAGACCTGTGGCTCGGAGGGTATGTAGCCCAGCGCCGACGCTCGGACCTTGTAGTGGCGTGGGGAGCCGTCTGCGTTGGCAGTCAGCAGACGCCAGTAGTCACCTCCCTTGTCTGTAGGAGATAAGTAGCAATGTTTGAATCTTGTTAGTTACTATGGCGATGGCTCTTTGGGACGCAGAAGCGTCCGCTAAATAACCAAGAACCCATCCTCTGTCTTGAAAAGAACCATACCTTTGAATACTTTACCTGACCATGCAGAGGGTCACCAGGGACCAGTTTCACAGAGCCGCGTAAGCACAAAATTTGCTAAAGTGGAAGAAAACCTTGCTTGATAAATCAGGTAACCAGCCAAAACTACATGTGATGTATATTGTTTTGGAATGGTATTTAGCTGTCTTTTGGTTAGCATGATGATCACTTAGAGTTTGAGCTGGTAAGTTTCGTTTCTTTAAGCAAGGGTTTTTCGCACTTAAGCAGATTGTGTGCTTTAGCAGCTCTATGCAATTGGCCCTAGGATTTTTATCTAGGAAGGGGGTTGTGGGGGCAACCATTTTTTCCGGGGGGAAGACAAGGACTCATCTATTAACTGGTCAAGCATTATGAGTGGAAGAGCTTTATGGCAAATTAGTGTTTCTTTTCCTTTTGCTTGGTGTCCCCCCGTTTTTTGTCTTATTTAATTTTTCAAATATTCTTCTCGCAGCGCTCATGTTAACAATGTCAGTATATTTACACCTCAACTAAAACTGCCGGCATGCAAATTCAAGTCTCTGTGACAATCAGTGACACCCAGCGTCAACAGCAGCTGTGTACAGACTTAACACCTGACATCTGCCGTACATTAATTCACACTTGGTAGATTTGGGTGGGTTGATGTTTCCGCTGGCGCACCACAGCAAGCGAGATGATTGTAGACGTACGTGTTCAACCGTCTCAACTAATCCCTCTTTTGGATGTGCTGGGTGAAGTACGTGGGTGGGAAATGTTAAGGACTCCTGTTGGTTTGACTTCCTCAGAGTCTTTGTCCTGTCACTCGGAAGTGGCTCTGGCAGCTTGGCGCCCGTTCTGTTAAGCTGGGTCTGAGTCATGTAAGGGTCTGTGAGAACCACATGTCGTTAACTTGGTGTATCTCCAAACATCGGATCATGCTTGGTGCTATGCCAACCCTCTGATCCTATTTAACTCTTTATTTCTGTCTATTACCATAGAAATACTGATCAGAACAATGCTTCTGGGTTTTTTTTATTATATGGCATAAGACAATACAAAAATCTGTGAAGAATGGTCCACTTGTGCCAAAACTATTCCCCATACTTGTCTTTGTGCTTTCTAAGTACCACTGCACTGAGCTATCCTACCTGTGGTCACATCGTGGGTGATACCCTCCACCGAGATGGTAGCATGTTCAATCCCAACTCCCACTCCGTATGGATCATATTCAGTCACCAAGCCCGTGATTCCAGCATGGCTCTGAAGAGCAACACAAGACAATTGACCAATTTTTACTCATTTCAGGGTGTACAAGAATGCTATACCAGCTTTTGAAAGCACCAATTTCTATTTTTTTTTTAATTTCCAAAATGATTTTCAATCCTTGTTCTAAATGTTGACTCAATACCAAACCTGCCAACTGTGAAAAGTCTGAAATCGGAAAATCAATTTTACGAGTTCACAAAACAAAACAAAACAAGCAGTCCTGTGAAAGAAGCTATTTCCATGTACACATGTATAACTGCCACAGCGCCCTTGTTTTTTCCTTCAAACAGCGCCTTCTTTTGCTAGGACTTTATCCATTTTTCCCCTTTTTATGGAAATCTGAACGTTCCAATCATTGGTGGTCTGGAAACTTTAAAAAGTCAGGACAGTTCCGATTAAATTGGACTCGTTGGGAGAAAGCACCTGAACTACGTTAACTTCAGCACTTGCATGATCTACCACATTTCAATCGCTCTCCCGCCCGCTGCAAGTAACATGCAGTCCAATTTTTTTGGGAGGAGGGGTCGGTACAGAAAGAATGGCCTACCATCTTGATATATTGTAGTAGCGCTGGCTTGTTGTCCTCCCAGAAGCCTTTGAGTTTGGATTCCGACGGAAACTTGTCACATCCCAGTTCCAGTGTGAGCTCAAAGCAGTTGGTATGGAGGTAGTTATAGTCTTGCATGCCTACAAATGAAATGCACAATGCGTGAACGGCTATCTTCCGAGACATTCCACAGGAAATGCACTCAAGGAACAACTTTGAATGGGGCCGGTAAGATGTGGGAAGTCTCACGACACGGTAAGAAGTCATTAAAGGCCTATGAGTGTTACTTTGATACTCTGCGTAATCATTCTATGGGTCAATTGATAACTTGGTTAGATTTTAAATGCAATAGTCAGAAACCCCTTCCCTTTGACAAATCTCAAATTGACAGCCTAGTTTTTTTAATCATTACTGATTACTTGAAAATCAGAATACAGGGATCTGTCATCTTTAACCCTAACGCCTAGGACCTTTCGGCTAGGATATAGCCTCAGTCCTCCAAAGTCCTCCGAAATTTCTTGAATGTGTTCTGTTCGGGGGGGGTGCCCACTGCCTCAATCCTCCGGCAAGTCCTCTCACTGTGTTGAGGCAGTGCGAATGGAATCCTGGATCAGTATGGAGGATTTTACATATGATGGAGGAATGAATTCATGCATGGCTGAACATAACCCACAACCTTGTGACAATGCAGCCTTCCCAATCAGTAATGCAATTTTGCCATGCAGCCTCAATCCTCCAAAAGCGCCAGGAGGATTTTGAAGGATGGAGGATGATTGGAGTTAATCAAAATGCAAACAAAAGTTCAACTGTGCTTAAAAGCTATCAAGATATCAGCTGAATCTCTGTGAGTTAGCGTACCTCCATTGAGCGGGTACCATGCAGCGCCGTTGGTAATTCCATCATCAAATGTTGGGCCGCCCTTGCCATCGCACGACTTCCTGTTTTCGTCCGACATCTTACCATGAGCCTCTGAGTAGGTAGAGGCAAGCTTGACAAACATTTCATCATCAGGACAAGCTAAAAGGGAGGACAAACGGCAAAGACAAACAGCAGGTTCAAAGTACAGCTGCAATTCCAGACAAAAGGGTAGTTTAAAGTTAACTATGGATGAGTAAACAAAATCCTCTGTTCTAGTGTCAATAGAACCTTATTTGGTTTTCACGTTTAGCCCAGACAGTACCATTCCTGTCACAGTGAATGCATGTCACCATCTGTCAACACCTGAATATGATAAAAATGTAGCCAATTATCTGACGAGAAGTTGAAGCAGTTTTTACCAAGTACAACTGAACTGACAGCCAACTGATTTCAGAAGTTTGCCAACTTTCTTATCTTTGTTTATACACGAAAGAGCATTTCAAGGTGGTGATAAGGGAGCGATAAGGGAACATTTCGTCGCACATCTGACAAACCGGCGAATCGACCATTCTCAGATTCTGGTGATTTCCTGATTTTATCTCACCAACTGATGAATAGCTTTGACAGCAGTATTCGAACAAAGTATTGCTCATAGAACCAAAAATACAAAGTAGGAAATGATTTCAAAGACCAATTTTGTATCTTTTATACACAGAGTTCAAAAGAGGGTTGAATTAAATATCAAAAATGAGCACGCAACATTAAACTACTGAAAATGTCTTTTTCTCGAAAACAGTGATTCATTGGTTCGTCAGATATGCGATGATTTGTAACAAGTTGGAAATCACAGAATGCTGTGTGAATGATTTGAACTTTAGCCCTAAACCTGCTAACACAACAGCGCTTGTAATCAAGTTGTTGCGTTTAGTGGTCGACAAAAGTGGCAAGGAACACTGGGACATTTGATATTGCCAAGGCTAACGTTTCCCCGAGACCAAAATCCACTGTTGCAATGTGCTCCATTTAGCATGGTTCTTATTCCAGCTGTGTCGCATTCTCTTGCGTTTGCTGGCCAGGGAGAGACCCGACGAGAGGGTTAGGGTCAGCAGGGAGTCCCATCTGGTTACGCCATCTACTCACCTTGGTACTGTGTGCTGCCGTTGAAGCTGGAATCAAACGGGTAGTTGGCTACAAGATCCCCACCGTGGAGGTTGGCTGATAACACAAAAGAATACTCCTGAAGCCACTCCATGACTGCAACAGTCTCTGGTTCGAGCTGGAAGGGAAAAAAAAGCCAGGGTATTGATAGAAACAAATGCCACATGGTATACATGTCAAATCAGGGGTGAAATTGGAAATGAAATATCCACAAAATAATCACCTGAGGTCTCGAGGGCCCTTGAGTAGTAATGGGACTACAGTAAAAAAGACTTCATGTTTGCCTACGCAAGTCACCACTCTTCAAATACCCACTTTCTTGTGTTCCTAAATAGAAACTTATAAAATATAAAAACACCCTAATGGTAAATTCCAGGTTTGAAACGAAACTGTACAAAACCTCCCACATCTGGAAAATCCAGATGAAAAAAATCCGGACAAATCTCACTCCTGGTCAAATCTCGCGACTACGATTCTCTCAGCACACAGCTGACATGGTAAAGGAAAGGCGTGTTTGTTTCGCATAGATCGGAATCACGATCGGTAATCTGTCATTGGTTCACTGGCACCAGAAACTGCATAAAGGATGGAGGGAACCAGAGTCGGGACCACTGATGAAAATCCAGATGGAACAAACAGGCCTTAACCACACTTGTAAGTTCCTAAGAAACATGAAACTCCAATACATGTGTGAAAAAACACACAAACCTATTGGTTGGATGCTGCTGTAAGTCTTACTGAAAACATGACCTTGTCTGCGACCAACACCACGCCATACCCGACAGGCTTTCTGAAGCGACCATATCTAATCTACGTACCTCATGGTGGATATCTTCCAACATGACCTTGTCTGCGACCAATACCACGCCATACCCAACAGGCGTTTTGAAGCGACCATATCTAATCTACGTACCTCGTGTTGGATATCTTCCATGACTGCTGCGATGTGGTTGTTCTTGCCAAAGATCCGTGAGAAATCGTGGTTTTTGGTGTTGTGGTACAGGTATTTGATCAAATCGGGGAAATTACGGTTCAGGTCGATGTCATGAGCATTGGCACGACCGGTCAGCCAATCCGGATCATCTTCCACAACAACCTAGGAAAAAAAAATAGAAAAACAGTTGAATGCTTTACAAAAAGTATTATTTTTGAACATCACTGTTTAATTTTGAGGCAATGACTGAGATTGATAATAAGCCTTCAATATTGAACATGCTTTATACAAATGTAAAGTCTACTGAAAATTGGTATATCTGACAAATTTATGAAAAAAACCCATAAAAACTCTAAACACAAACTTTCGATGCTCCTTTCAACATGCAAATCTGTATTATGATGCCTTTTTACAATTTGGATGCCTCTCCCCTGTGAACCTTCAACCCCCCCCAACAAAACAAGCCCCAAGTCATCAGGGCCACTTTCAAGTTACCAGCCTTTAAAAAATCTTGTGCAATGTACATGTATGTCACTGGGAACCGTCGGTGTCATACTCGCATAATGTTCATTTAAGTCAGGATTTCAAACAGACTGATAGTGACACATCAAAAAAGCATCTTAGTTTGCACTGTCTAATGTAAACTACATGTAGAAGAAAAATAACGACAAACGGCCTTAACTACTTCCTGCCGGAGAGCCCAGTTTCAAGCACCATGTGCTGATATGCGTGGCCGGGGTCTCTGAAATCGAACAAGAGGAACTGGGCCTTGTAACAAAAGACCATTCTTGGAACAAAAGACCAGGCTGCTGGGCATTACCGACATTTTTTCACTCTCAACAATGGAGAAAATCCAACAGTATACAACAGTTTGGGCATTGGGCAGGTTACCATCGGGGACAAAAGCGCTCCACCAACGCAGCGATGAGCCACGCAGTACAGCTGCATGCTAACCTGGCCCCTATTGAAAAGAGGTCAGCAGCGCACTGAGCCAGGTTCGTGAACAAAAGAAAGTTATATAACACTGCACAATCTGGGCTGCAGGCCAGGCTGAAATTCTCAGGCATCAATAGATTTTGTCTCTCAGACTAAAGTGGCCACCAGACAATAATAAATGATGAATTTTTGAAGAATTTTGAAAACTGAAAATCTTGAAAAAGTCCCGATTATAAGCACTGCATTTTTCAAACAACCCGGCAACAAGTGGTTCACCTGCGCCTTCTCAACATTGTTTCCGCGATTGCTGTGGTGCTTTTTTTTTGTGGTGCCGAACTTTAGGAGTTTTTCAGAAACTCTTTGCAGTCATTTTGACACCACTTTTGTGAAAATAAGTTCTCGTGCAGTACCCATTTTTCCAAGACAGGTCAGCCAGAAATACATACTTTTTCCACTGCCGTGCTCAAGCACACCGGCTGGCATGAGTGTATCCTTGAACTTCAAATAACCGTAGCAACATAACCATATGTTGGATTCAGTTGAAACCGGTCAAACTATTTAGTGTCAACAAGCGACATCTTATTTTCGTATAGACGGCAGAGAAAAGAAAGACGGTGGCCCTAATACCTCGCAAAAACTGTTTCCTGTGAGAATCTGGAAGCATATTTGCTATTTTTCTTACGTTGGCAGATGTTTGAGTGTTTCAAATGGGATAAAAACCACTTTGAAATCTTCAGAGGTATTTTCAAATTGTTGATGCTTTGTTGACACTACTTGAGTGATGACACTTGTTACGGGTACATAGCGCGAGTTAAAACTTCACATTTATATAGTTCTTAGACACCCCCCACTCCCTGCCTATGGGATGGTTGAAAAACCTTTTAGGATTAAGACTTATTTTGTGCATGTTAACCACAACGATGGAACAACCCACTGTACAACTGACCTTCTGGTAAGCCTTAGCATACCCATCCGGATTCATGGATGGCATAATGTGGATCCTGGTGTTGTCGACCAGCTGCCTGGTTTCAGGATCTCCATAATTGTACATCTTGCAGAGATAAGGGATGAGAACCAGCAGTATCTCGCGGCCCACCACTTCATTACCGTGCATGTTGCCAATGTATTTGAATTCAGGTTCACCTTGGAAATAAAACATGAACATTCATTATCAAAGGGTCCTTAATTTGGAATTTTACATGGGAACATAAAAATCCAAGAACATGATTGTGCAACTCTACTCATCTACATGTATCTGACAACTCTTTCAGGTGCTTTAACAATTACATTTCTGATCAATGCTTTTCCTTACAGAAGTTGGAGAAAATAGCCATTGATGGGTAGAATCTTAAAAGTCCCAAATCCTCCCATTTCAAAATGATTTTACATACACCCTATGGGGGTTAGTTTTACTATAAAATGCATGGACTGCATGGTGTATATGCAACTGCTCACTAGACTGATGTTAAAGAACAAAGCTGCAAAGCAGTTAAATCCGTGACTGTGTTCACCGGATCCCAAGTTTTGCAGTTCATGCCTACTGCGAAAACCAGCCACAGTCCATGCATTAACCTAGTAAAAGTCAGTCAATGCAGAAATGGGAGAGTTATACGGATGCCACTTGACACACCATGCACAAACCATATGAGACCGGTATATAAAAAGTTCTTTCTCAGTAAACGACTTAGTATTTTTCTGGATATGTTTTTGTTTTCTGAAGGTCACTGTAGGGAATAATTACTGGTGTATGTATAAGCCTTATCGCAAATACTGCATGGGTGATTTTGCACAATGGTAGAAAGGCACAAAATTATCCCTTTTTCCTTCCCACAATGCCTTTCTACCATTACGCAAAATCACCCATGCAGTATTTGCAATAAGGCTTATTTGGAACTCTTCCCCAGAAATGTTGAAAATACATGAATTTGGCACAAATTTGGAATTTGGTTTCATTAGAAAATAGGCTTAGGCCTACTTGGAAAATTTTCTTGACACTTCAAAGGCTTCTTACAAACCTGCTGCAGTGGAGTCAGGACGCAATATTCATATTTTTTACTGCCACCTCTGTAGACCCGAACCCTATGATTAAGACTGGTCTGAAAAATTCTGTTTTCTGAAGAAATGCTGCAATATTTTCCCAACTAATGTTGACTTGATTATTGCTGTCAGTTTCTGTTGGCTAAGTTATAAACCACTGACACTGCAAGCGAAAATAAGTGATTTCTGTAAGCTTTACTTCATGACTGCTTGAAGCCTTAACTACACTGTATCTAGTCATATCATTACAATATCCCGACTCCCAGAACTGTGGGGTCCGACGTCCGCCCCGCTCCCACGAACGTACATGTAAGGCTACCGGCTACCCAGCACTAGCCTAGTATATATAGCAAGAGTAGGCCCTAGGTCCTACTACTTAATTTTCAAAGTCACTTACCAATCTCATGTTCTCCAGGATAGTCGGTTATTTCAATCACCCATAACTCAGCTCCATCTACACTTTTGCCAGCACTGTACACCCTGGTTATGTCGGGGCATTCCTCGTGAGTATCATCCAAAACTTGCTTCAACTCCTTCTGCGTGTGATGTTGAAACACATAAGCATCATCCGGGAAGATGTCATCGGCTCCGAAGACAACACCGAGAAGGACGAGAAATGTCAGCAGGGATTTCATCTCGAAGGACAGAAACAGGGGGAAAGAAAGAAAAGAGGGGGCCGAACAGCGGGACTACCGATTAACTGTCAGATTTCAACTGCGATTTAATGTTGTTCAGACGGTCAAATCTTAAACATATGTTTCCATCACCTACCACCTAACTGTAATCGCGGTACGGCAACGTTAGTATCCGAGTCGAGTACACAACTGTACAGTCTAGTTCGTAACCAAAAATCCAAGATGGCCTTTTGGACAAATCCAAATTTGTATGAGGGAGAGCAATTACTGAATTTAATTACTTTCATTTGCTTTGAATTGAATAGTCGTAAACTTTATAACACAACAGAAATGTATGCAGTTTTCATTGTTATATATATAGTAAAAATTAAATTTTGTTATGTCGAGTTGTGAGATAATGTCTACTTTTGAAAGCACTGTGCAACGCCAATTCACCTAATTCTGAATGGATGATACCCACGATTGACGTCATCATGCTTTTACGGGTGTAATTAATTTTTACGTAGGCACTACATGTATGTACATGTACAGGTGCACCATGATTCCTGCGTAATAAAGTCTGCAAAAATCATTACAGCACGACTCGCCTCCCACGTCTTACCAAAAATACACCAGTACACAGCTTCAAATTACACACAGCAATTGAAGGCACTGACTCAGATATCTTAAATAAAAAACAAAACCGGAGTACATATGGATCCCGTCTATTCATGGCCTATTTTCCAAGGAGTAAACTATGTTACAAGCTAAAAATAAAATGACAAGAGGTGACAAAACAACATACATGTAAATTGATGCTAATGAAAAACATAATTTAATTGCCTATTCTGTTTTTAGACTGAAAATTCAGACTTTTAAACCAAAATGATAAAATTGCTTCATCACATCTGAAACTCAAATCTTGAAATTAAATCCTGTAATAAAAACTCAATCTTGCCGTCGAATCTTTTCCGATCGAATCCTCAATTTACATATCAATTCTTAAAATCAAAGTAACTAAAATGGTAAAATGGCCTTGGATTTACCAAATTTATCTATAAATCGTAATTATTGACTCTAAATTTCATTGGCTTATTTAAGAACCAAGAGTTTAAATGTCATCAATTCAGACGCCGTGTTTGCGATTTTCAGCCGTCACTCATCAGTTATGAAACGTAATGTCAAACTTGAAGTTTTCATTTCCTGCAACGAGTTTCTGCCTTGAAAAAGCTAGGAGGTGATAATTTTTATACAAGTATGTGATAATGAATTTATTCAAGATGAACCACCGTGTCAATTACTAGAAAGGAACCTCATGCCCCGTTTGATCAGCTTATCTCACGTTTCGGTTTGAATTTTTGAAGTGTTGAGTACATAAACCTTTGAACCAAACGTGAACTCCAAAAACTCAGCAGGCCTTTGAAAAGAGCAAATGTACAAGCATTTCTGACCGATACTCCATGGCACCCAGATTCAAGCTAACCTATTTTGACTTTCGAGGTAGGGCTGAGGTTATCCGACTGCTATTTGCAGCAAGTGGGATTGAATTTGAAGATGTTCGAATAGCAATCGAAGACTGGTCCGCAATGAAACAAAGTAAGTTTAGCTACAGAATTTGGGCTTTTGATTTCTGCACAGCACCCTGCCCAATTGCATGTCAAAATGTATTGCCTCAAGCGCCTGGTTTAAACTTTACACTCGGTATGCATACAGGTACACCATTTGGAAGACTTCCACTTCTAGAATTTGATGGCATCGTCCTCCCAGAGGCAAGAGCCATAGCTAATTATGTTGCCAGGGAAACAGGTAATGCAATGACATAAGATGTCCATATCAGTCCCCACGCTTTTTATCTTAAATCCTTTTTTGTACAACCCCCTTCAACGAATTTTAAGGTACATGGTCTTGTTGTTTCAACTCTTTCTTCTAAAATTGGCAGTGTTTTGAAACATCTGGAGATCACGAACTGTTTGTTGTTTGAAGGTTTATACGGCAAGTCCAGCCAAGAGCAGGCTCAGATTGACGTTGTCATGGAGATCCTTCAAGACTTACAGCATTCCTATTTCGCGGCATACATACAGAAAAATGAAGAAGCGAAGGTAATTCGACACGTGCACGGCAATCGTTGTGCCATTCTGAAATATAGAATAAAATAGAAATACATATATTCCTAACAGTTTTCAAACACTTAAATGACTTATTGCTTAGTATCAGACCATCTGACTTCTTCTTAATGAACGCAACTACCATGGAAAAAATCTTGCTCAATGAAACAGGCTTCCTTGTTTTGCTCACTTTATTATGACAAGCTTTAGTTCTTAATATTTATTTTTATAAAGGAAGACTTAACCAAGTCCTTCTTTGAGAAGGACAGCCTCAAATTTCTTGGTTGGTTGGAAGAGCTTCTCATCAAGAACAACGGAGGAGATGGGTTCTTTGTTGGCGAATCCGTAAGTCAAATACAAATACAGTTTTTAACATGGTGAATTTGTAAAGCTCTGGGGATGTGCAAGTTATGCATCCTGTACACTTACCAGTGCGGATTCATTTGAAAACTTATACTCCAACTAATTTAGCAGGTTCCCCTTTAAAATACATGTACTCAGGATAATTCAATTCGTGACATTCAGTTTTCCCTGCAACAGTATTAAAGTTTTCCATTGAATTTCCCTCTCGTAACTAAGAGATATCCTTTATGATTTTTTTTATTGTCTAGATGACAATGGCCGATCTTGACTTCTATGCAGCACACGAGTTAGTTCTGAAGAAAAACCACACAGCTCTGCAGAATCTGCCCAAACTAAGAGCACTTGTGTCTCGAGTTGAGAACATCCCTAAGATAAAGAAGTGGTTACCACACCGACCTGAAAAATTTTCTTACGTGTTGCCATGAACTTCATGCTCCAATGGGGCAAAAATTCAATAGATATGCGTGTCTTTTGGGGAGGGGGGTGTCTGTGGCTCCACTTTGGCCTGATTCACTGGAATTAATTTTTTACCAAACTGTAGTTTCTCGACATTTTCTTTAAAAAAAATCAGATTCACATTTCATGTTTAGGCCAAACAAGGGCAAAGCAGTTGGACACTGTATCCGGCGGGAAGTGCGTGTAAAAGTTTCATTAATATGGAGCAAAACTCAGAAAGGCCCGTTTTAGTCGTATGAGATTGCGTTTTCTTGGTACATGTAAATTAAAAGTCTAGAAATTTAATCTTTCAAGGGCATTGAGTTAATCAATAGGTAATTTTCCGCAAATTTATGGGATTTTTTTTTTCTGGCACAGTGTTGCTAATTTCACAAATGTATATAATTTTAAGAACTCAGGAAATGTAAAACTAATTCTCTCAGCGTAAATCCAGTGGAGATTCCTCACAGGAAGACTGTTCATGTTTGTTTTCGTTTCAAAACAAAACAAGGTGGGTTAAGTTGCCGTCAACCGGAATATTTGCACCGCGTTTACATCCGATCCAACAAGGTGGATCGAAGGGGACCGACACCAAGCGAACACAGGAGTTGGATCGGGGTCCAATCCGGATATTATCGGAACGCTTGAACGTGACTATAGATGACGAAATGTTTCGAAAAACCACGCTCATTAATGGTGGGACAAGTTTTATGTGAAACATTTGTTACATGTAACAATATTGAGAAATGGTACTGAGTGATTTGCTTAATAATTCATGCGACAAAAGAAAAAACTGGTGATCGAACTTTGATGAGAAAATGTGTTTTTCTTCCTCCATGGTTACACTTTGAGCACATAACTATGCACACGTATACACACACATTTCAGGTCCGTACTTTAATTCGCATGCAGTCATTTTGAGTGAAAACTAATTGTAGATTTACATGGAAAAGGCTGACCAGAAAGCATTCGATCATGACCTCCACGATAATGCACTTGAACACTGAACTACGTGTACATGTACATTACATGTATATGTACATGTACATGGCACTCCACCATGCGTTGATGCAACTCCGGTTTAAATGTCATTACCGCAGGATTGAACTGATGTTGGGGATCCTTTGTCTCCAATATAATCTCGGCTCCAATTTGTTACCATGGTAACATGATCATGACCAAGGCGAGTAAAAGATCATACTGGGTGAACCTGGGGCCCAATGTACACGTAACTGAAAAAAGGCATCTGACCTTCAGAACAGATGAATGGTAAAATCAATCAACCTTCCTAGGACAATACAATTCAGATAAAAATTTAAAAACCCGACCTTTGGCAACAATTAAGTTCCCCAATGTCAAAGCTGAGGTAGCTGTTCCTCAACCGACAATTACATGACTCATATAATTAATGGGTTTTCCCAGTACATGCATGACATTTTCATTTTAGGAATAAAAGGATGCGCTTCTACATTTATATTTGTTAGGAAAAATCAACATAAATAGCGTTCCAGATGTCACGACACCAATGCCATCACATTTTAACCACCTCGGAATGGACGTGATCAAAGTGTTACTACTGATGAAGATACATAAATGCACATGCACGACGATCACGTCATTCTAACAGGATTTGAACCAAGAAAGATTTTCGATCACCAATAGGAAACCACAATGAAGTCGAAATTTCAAAGAAGGAAACAATCTTTCCAGTAAGCTAAAAATAGCCGATAAGAATTCGACAGAAGGCAAAGTCACCAAAAAGTGTCAATTTAAGTACATGTTAAAGATTTGTTTTACAAAATTTGTCCTCGTGAAAAGTTCACACGATGAAACCGTCAAATTTGACAATGTTTTTATGGGTACAAAAAGGAAGCTTCCAAATTCTAGTAAATTCTCAGTAAATGACAATGGAAAGTAGGGCAAAATTGAGAATTAAATTTTGGCCAAGGTACTAAATACTGTTCAGTTGTGTTTAATACACTACCATCATCTTTTAAAACTAATTTCAATCGTAACCCCTGAATCCAATTCTCCTGGCTCATAAAGTGCTGATGAATTTGGATGTTTAAATTGACTTTTCTTCATATAATTAACTTGGGCAATAAATTGAGCTATAACGTTTCCTATAGCTGCAGTCTGAAGGGATATAAAATGCCTTATTTGCCCACAGTAATTGAATGCATCATGCAGGTGAATGTATAAAGTCCATATGTAACGGGGTTTCACAAAAATGGGGCAAAATGAAAGTAAAAAAAATTGAATACCTAACATACTTTATACCGTGCAGAGCTCACTTAAAAATTTATGTCCCATTTACAAGCATGCACGGCAATCCATCAGGATTTATCAGGTGTAATTTGTCGACGCACTTTGTCCTGTTTGTCGCAGGTAGGCACACATTAATGTCAATAGATAGGGCAGCACCATCGTGTGCAATCAGCGTCCAGTTTCCCTGCTAGTCTAAAATACTCAGCCTTTTGTTAAAAAACACAGAACCTGTACAAATTAAATGAGAGGACACATGCAACGTACAGACACTGATACCAACTTTAACCAAATACTGATTGGAATTCCTGTCTTGTAATTATCAATTAAACATCACACATTGTTTAAAGCGGTGCAATTTGCAAAAGAGATTTATATACATGCGTTCACATCAAAATCAATCATGGCTTGTAATCATTGTTACATGTAGTAAAGGAATGTTTTCAACTCTGTATCAAACTAGGTTTTGTACCAAAGGGCGGATGGGTGGGGGGGCTGAGGGGGAACATCAGGGGGATGATAAAAGTTGAGTTCGGGTCTACTTCATTCCCCATCCTTCCAAAATTGTGCTAACAGCTCAAAAACGTTACCTCGCCCCTCTAAAATGCCCCAAATGGTTACATAACCCCCCCCCCAAAAAACCCCCCCCNGGTTTCCAAACCCCCCCCAAAAAAACCCCCCAAGTTCCCCCCCCCCCCCCCCCCCCCCGGAAATTTGGTTGTGGATTTTCTCTTGGTTATATATGTATCATAGCATTACATGCACTGGCAAAATGTTTCTTCAGCCTGCTCACGTGATGTACTTTGTAAGTTGATGTATAACCATCAGACCTTCTCCTGAATACATGTACATCAGTCTTGCACACTCAGATTCATCAACTTTGACTGTCTAACTTACAGACATTTAAATACGTGTATTCAGGTCTGCAGTGGCTCTTACAATGTACTTGCATGCATACTGGGGCAAATTTACATTGCAATTAGCAAAATGCAAAACAATTAACAAATAAAATCAAATGTATATAAAAAAACAAAAAAAAAATCACCGATCTGATAATACAGTTGCTTACATTACCCGCCCCGAGCTGAAGTGCACCCCCAATCGGCGAAAGAAAGACAAGTGGTTACAGGAGGGTTCTTGCACGCATTCTGCTTGTAAGCAAAGACTACACATGCCGGAATAATTAGATATGCCTACTCTGCGTGCTCCGTGTCAAACATGCATAATACTTGCACGCCTCATGGCGCGCCTATGTGGTGAGTACCAAAAAAACCCACGCCCTCTTTTCTTCCGCTCGGAGCGGATACGTACACATTCAATACAAAAAAATGCCCTGAATCTCATCAAAGCTGCGCCATGGTACAGCACCACAACTCCCAGTTGTGATGTGGAACATGGATCTGCACGTTGCAGACCACAGCACAGCTGAGCTTTGCATACAGGAGTGATGACAATTGAAATTTGTGACCAATGAAGAAATGTTATTCAATAAAATATCTATGTTCATGAAGATATTTCATGGTTCATACAAGTGCAGTCTGAAAAACATATGCAGCTCATCAGCACCTCTGCATGAACAAAAATCAACCACTGTAGAAAAACGTAGAATGTAAAATTTTTTGTCATTTTGAATGGGTTTGAACGGCAGGCATCTTTGCTAGTCATGAAATGGTGACCTTGGGTTTTTGAACAGTGGCCATGCCCTGCTTCAAATCCCCCATCATCCTCCACTTAACTCTATCAGAATACAGCTAGTTGGCTACCAGAGCGACCCCCATCCCTACCTCTGAGACTTGTAAGTGGCCAATAGATAAACACAATTACACCTTTTTCCCCCAGGAAAAATTGTTCCAATTTTGCATTCCGCATCTTATCACAGTAGACCGTTGTTTGAGTAACAACATTAAATTTGGCTAGAGTCTTGAAGTACAACTAGGCCTTAAGTACATTATCCACAAGCTAAGTATAAATGTTTTTTGTTCTCTTTCTTTTTTTTACACAAAAAGCACACTTTGTAGAAAAATAAAGTTTTCTATAACCCAACTGAAGATTTGTCCTCCATGTGAACCAAAAAGGAATGACATTCAGTAACTGCATTTTGTCCAAAAACTAATAAACAGTTCTTTGTTAATGTTCCTTTGTTTGCCATGTCCGTACATTTACTTTTATTTACATGGGATTTGTAAAAAAGATTGTGGCAGATATCAGGACCCTCGAACTGCTCCTACAATGCAACAAAAAGGAATGTTTGAACCTTGGTGTCCAATTTTGGTCAATCAAACAGAAATACTCCTTGCTGGAGAACTCTGCTTCAAAAGTGTGCAAACTGCAAACCGGCAATTCAAAGCATTTGGGTAACCAGGAGCGTCAGCTAGCTGGAATCATGCATTTATCTGCAGGATTAGATTGACTGGATTCAAAGTAAACATGCCAGTCATCATTTCCACGTATGCCATCTGGACGAGCCAGACAACGTCAACATAATCTCACTGCATTTTCTATAAGTAAACGGAAAATGAGTACCCGTACAAAGTGTGCATTCAGGTGGAAAGTCGGACAGGGTGCACATCCAATGGCATGTCAAAAATGTATATGTACCAGATATCAATACATACTAGTTAATTATGTGTACCAACTGTCTAGCTTTTTTTGTACAAGTGACTGAACTAGTATGCCGGTACTTTAACCTTAAATACACGTAATGGCCACATTAAACATACATGTTAACTTCATTTCACAAAGTCGGTGGTTTGAAAGTGAACAGGTGGATACTTTGCCTGGATGGATGCAGGTGTTGTTCATAAAGCTATTCAAAACTGACCACAAACTGATTTTTTCAAAAACAAGTGTTACAGAAACTCTTGACAAATGTCCAATACTGAGGGGAACGTCTCCAAGCTAGGAGCACTGTGCCTGAACGCTTACAAGAGAAAGGCATACTTCAGGTAGAAATATGAACTTGGTATTATGTACATGTATATCCATAAAATATCGAGTCTGAAAAAAACATGAGCCCGAACCAAAATACAAAACTCTTAAGATGAAAGATGTTCCTTGATGATTAAGATCATTGTCAAAATACTTTTCCATCATTTGTTTATATTTTGTGCCTCATAGGGTTGCAGCATCTCGCTGTAATGACTCTGCTCAATGAGTCATTCTCAAATCAACTATCTGCAAGTTCATTAGCATGCCAACACAATGCACAAGAAAGAAAGATCCGTTTCATCGCATATCACAGCCATTGTGCTTTAGCTTAAATATGCAAGAAGAAAAGCCGGATCATGAATATATATGAGGTACAGAGGTAAATATTACTGCATTTGAATATTCAGGTATTTATCAATGATGCTATTTGCATATTCTTGGTCCTTCTCAGCCATCATCTTGTGCTTGTAATACCGGTTGTATGAGGCGGGGGACATCTTGGAGACATCTGGACTGGTGGAATTGGAAGCCGAGACTGATTTGTCATTCTCAGTTTCTGTGTTGCCCTCATTAGCATTTGTCATTATATCTGAAGAATTACTTTGTTCATCCCCGTCACCTGCTGAGGAATGCATGGTGCCAGGTTTTATGGATGCAACTTGACTGGTGGGCAGTATTTCTGATGGTCGATTTCCATTGGCCAGCTTCAAATCAGCAGTACCTTTTATGGATGAGGCTGCTACCGGCTCGTTGGCCAGACTGTTGCTGAAGCTTCGACTAGAACCGAGCAGCTCCTTCTCTAGCTTGATGCCAAATTTGGATCTCATGTTCCCCAGTCTCTGAGGAGATGCAAACTGTGGCTTGGCGTCACTCCCATCTCCCTCTGCTCGGTGTCCATTTGCTAAGATCTTTGTCTCATCCATGCAATTTCCCTTACCAAGCTCAGGTGGTTTTTCTGAGCCTGCATCTACTCTTCCTTTGCCAATAGTGCCTCCTTGGGCTATGTTACGTCGTTCTGGAAGACGGGCAAATTCCTCTTCTGACTCGAAGCTATTTGTTGCTGTTTCGGAGCCCTCAAACTGGACAGACTGTTTGCTCGATTCCTTCCAACCACTGCTGGAGTTAAGTAGACTGCCTAAGCTGCTGCTCCTGTTTCTCATGTCCAGCTTTGGTTCCAAAGAGCCCTTTGGAAGGTCTGAGCGGAGCCTACTGCCATCCAGGTAAGATCCATCAAAGTCCGGCTGAGGCCTGTTCTGCATCCTTCTCCATCTTGAGAAACGCCCTCTGACAGGGCCAACTCTCTCATGAATTGTAAATGATGGCTGTATTTCAGGGAGGTTTTGGGGGTCAGAATTTGTGGGTTCATTTGCGATTTTGCTATGTGTATGTGCATATTCTAAGTCCTTCACATTGTCTCCACCTGCTTTCAAAACAGTATCCTTATCATCTTGGCTTTTGAGAGGAACAGTCAACCTGTCTTCATCTCTTCTTTTCGGTTGTAAGACTGTTACTTCACTGTCCCCATTTTGGGTTGTTTCTCTCGCAGGATTTAGTTTGGCCTTTTTAGTGATTCCCTTCAGGGACTCCAAACTAGAATTAACTGCACTGAATCGTGTCTTGCTGGAAAGATGACTCCTTGGAAGGTCCGTTGTCATCCCTCTACTCGCCTCTCTACCTGTTGATGTAGCACCACTGTTCTTCCCTTCACCTTCACTGACACTTCCAGCTTTCTCGTTATTTGGGTCCACACTCATTGATTCAGAATGATAACTCTCTGTGCCTTGCCCTCTTGTGTCATTATCATCTGGAGAATTCTGAGCTTTAGCAACAATGAGGTCTCCCAAGCTAGGTCTCCTGATTCCGTCGGAAAGCTTGGTCTTAGTTATCCCACCTGCTGCCACCATATGCTCATTTGGAAGGTCAGAGAATGCATTTTCAGTAGCCTGTGAGTCCATTTCTGAGTCCACCTCAGTTTCGGTGTCTGACCTTCGAGGGCTAAATTGCAAGTATTTATCATCAACAGCTGCTTGTCTGTTTGCTACGGCAGCCAAGTTTTCTTCTGTCAACAGCTTTGTTTCTTGCAGGTCACTGTCCCGTGATGACTCCCTTGAAACTGAAGAGAGTGTTTCCTGACCCTCGGACCCTTGTTCACTGTTTTCAACTGACGAGACTGACCTTGATGAACGACTGACATCATTACCGACTTGAGTCTCGGTGCGCACAAATTCTTTTCCATTGTTTTCCACACTCTGTCCTTTCCTTGCCAGGTCCTTTGCAATCTTTGCCTCTTGATGTTCCCTTTGCTCACTGATGCGAAGTCTGAAATCATCTAGGAATGACTGGAACTTGCTGCTCGTCTGAATGTCCCAGGCTCTCAAGACCTCGTCCAGGGTCGTTTTGTTCTGACGGTAATGAGCAAGCTCCTTCTTCAAAAGCTCCCTCTCTTCTTCAGCTAACTCGACCTTTTCTCTCATGAGGGCATTTTCTTCTTTAAGCTTGGCGACGGAGGCAAGGCTCTGGTTGTATCTGCCCTGCGATGATACTTCCAAGGCGTCCTCCTCAAGTTGCTGGGTTAATCTAGCATTTCGCTTCTGAGCTTGTGATAAATACTCCTCCAGACGCCTGCATCTTCCCACCACCGTCTCCACCTCCAAGCGGCTGGTCTCACTGCTCATGCGGAGAAGCTTGCACTCTTTCTCCAGTCGGAGGTTTTCCAGCCTGGACACTTTCAAATCGTCGGTAGTCTGGTCCAGCTTTTGCACCATTTTTTCCTCCATTTCCTTTAGTCTTGCCTGAAGGAACTCCTTTTGGCTCTCTGCTCTGGCAAGGTCTCGCTTGAGGTCACACAGTTCAGGTGTTTCCTTAAGTTCTGAGGAATAATCAGACTGGCTAACCTTGTCCACTTTCTCTTTTGCTCCGGACTCCAGACTGAAAATGTCGCTCTCTGGTCTCGTATCCAAGGAGCTGAGATCACTCCCGACCTTTGATTTCATCCTCAAGTTGAAATTCTCTGAACTCTGATGCTCAACTTCCATTTGCAGTTTTCTGATGGTAGCATTCAGTTTCTCCATTGTCTTCCTGTCAACTGCATTGCCGTTTTTGGCATTTGCTGACTCCCGAAACAGCCTCCTGTTTTCTTCCCTAAGCATCTCAAGTTCCTGGACAAGTTTGGAGATGACTCTCTCCTCTTTAGTGCTACCCACTAATCCTTCTTCAAGCTGCGTTTTCAAGATGGCTTCTCTCAGTTGAGTCTCAGTCAGCTCAAGACGGAGATGCTGGCTCTCCTCACCGATTGTATCCAACAAATTAAGAAGTTCATCATCTGGAGTTTGCACGAGCTCATCTCCTGAAATAAAGAAGCACATGTAATCTTGTCAAAGGTAACCTGGCAGAGGGGTCCTTACATCATTTTCCCTATGTTCAAACCAAATCCAAATCCATTTCAGCATTTAAATCCTTCTCAGTAAGTACTGGTCACAACTTACCTCTCTTCAACGGATTTCTGCTGCCATCGTTTGGACCTTCCTTCATTTTAGTCTCATTGTTAGATCCACTGCTCTCCTCTGTAACGGCCTGTCTACTCCCTTTGGAGATCACATCCTCCTTTCTCTGCTCTTCACATCTCGATGCATTCTGGAAAAGAAGCCCTGAGGATGCCGAACGATGAACACTGCCTACCTTCTCCCTGACTTGCGAGTCTCTCTCATGCGAGGCAAGATGCTCATGCTGCCTCTCAACATACATTGCTCTGTGCCTTCGCAAAGATGTAGCTGCTGTGATTCTAGAAATGCCTCTGATCTGCTTTGACTGGTCCGTTCTGTCCAGAGTAGCCCCATATGCAGCACCAGCCATTTTTTGAGAATCCGGTGTGTGATCTCTCAACTCTTTTAGCCTTGAAGACGGGCCGCTGGGAAGACTCGCTGGTGGATCCGCTGTCATTGAGATGCCAGAGTCACTTTTCTCAGGTGTGACATCTTGGTTGGTTCCACGAGTCAGTGAAGTGTCGAATGATGGCGTTCTGTTGCTGAAGGTGGAATAATCTAGGCTGTAACGATGGTGTGGAGGTTGGGGCGTAGAGTGATGAGACAAGTTGGTTAACGAGGAGCGTCCACTGTAGACTGAATTGGCTGCAGACAGGACACTGGTACTAGGAGACTGGTTAGATGGAAAAAAGGAATTAATTGAATTAGTTCAACCACTTTCAGATATTTCGAGTAAAAAAATTATCACTTTCTGTAAAAAAGCACAGAAGTGAAGGAAGGAAAAATTGTCAGATTTTGAAACATAAAAAGGCAAATAATGGATACTAAAGACAAACAGTGATATGAAATTTTACATAGTAAACAACTTTAAATGAAGATCAGAAGAGAAAACCTGACTTCCTTTTTTCCCTGTATTACTCTGTTGCTATGAATACTAAACAATTACATAAACATGAAACAAAACTGGTTCTATTTTCGAAAAAAGTACCAAATTGGTATGATTAGGACAGAAATAAAACAACAGAATGTTAGCAATGTGGTGATATGCTAGTATCAAATAACCTACCAGTACATGAACAATGAAAATTAACTACCAAGGTAACCAAATGGGTTAACGTAAGAATATCATGGTTTTGAAGAAAGAGCCTTTACCCTTTTTATTAGTCATTTCACACAGATGAAATTGGTGGAAGCGTATCATTTACAAGTGTGAGAGAAAAATCTCGATATATTTTCTAGCCTCCTTTAATAAGTAGTCTACCAGCTTTTCTAGTTTCTACACACAATAGAGAAACTATGTGTCAAACATGCATGGAGACCAACAGCAGACAGGCTACCAGTTGGAAGTCCAAACCAGATGGTGTAGAAAAGCAGTGGCTCTGGCAGAAAACAACACATGGCACTATGGAAGCCTCTGGTTTGGAGGCTGTAGCCGCTTCTCATAGACACATGTTAATTTAAGCCCAAGCCAGTTGGTTCAGACATGGCTGCATGGTTCCACAGCCTGAAAACTGGTAAGAGTGCATGTACTGTATGTTGCGTTAGAAACTTTAGATTTCTGTGCCTGTTGTACCACAGGGACAGTCCAATCAAGAACCATAGTTAACCACAGTTAGACTATCTCTGATCGAACGCACATTAGTCGATAACGGTTGTACTAGTCTGGTCAACTATTTGCAACCAGCCTACCGAGGTTGGCCGCGTCATTGGTTGCCATAAACCATGTTTAATAGCACAGTGCAGAGAGGACCAGTTTTAAGAAAAATGCCGGAAAAACAGTATGTCACAAGTAAGCGACCATTTTCTTTTTAATCTTTTGCCATTTTGCCCTTCCTTCAGCCTCCTTTTCTCCCCTTCGGCCCAGCGACCTGACAACGGTCGACTAGAGTCGTTAGCACTTCAACTTCACTGCACATGCGCTAGGTACATCATGAATCAACCACTAATTAACTAGCAGTCCTTGAATGAACTTGCCACAGTTGTTGTTGAGACCATCAAAAGACCAGACCGAAGTAACCGAGTCAAAAGTAACAAAAGTACTACAGTAAACTCCGACTAAGTCAACATCACGTAACTCGTCATGTCGTCTATGTTGGCCTTTTGACAAAATGTGACAACCAGCTTGGGGATCACTGATCGCGATCCAGGTCCATGTGAAACAAACAGGCCCTTAATTGGTCATCTAAGAATGAAAATGAAGGTACACGTAATCAGGGTCATTCTCAAGGTCACACTAGGTCAATGCTTAGTTAGGGTACCATTTTGTCAGACAGAAATCCTTGTCACATGCAAATGTTTATGTTTACTGCTGATGGACAGAAAGTTACATGCACTACAGTAAGGTGTTACGGTTAGACATGCCGAAGACACTGCACCTAGGAAGACAAAATGATGCGCATTATGCTGCCTCCACCGCATCATCTGGGGGGTTAAACAGAGGGGAGGAGGAGAGATGGTCTCGTTCAGCATCTTCAAGATGGCTGCAAAAGGCAAATATGAGTACACACCTCGAGAACCACGCCCTGTGACACCCTTGTCCAGGGCTCAACACAAAACGGACACGACGCCACCCGGTCGATCCTGTTACGCTTCTTGGTACTGCCCATTCTTTGTTTCCGTGGCAGCAATTTTTTTCTCGTAAACCTAAAGGTGCGAGTTTGGGTGAGTGCACGTGCTATCTGTAAAGGTGAGTGGCGCAGTGAAATTAAACTGTTAATAAAAATACGACACAAAGCGAGGTAGAGGGGGCCCGTGCTGTTACTTGTTTTGATACAGAGGCGAATAAGTCCTGAACAAATCCCTGACCTACATACTTGAACTGTCTACTACTTCATCTGACATACAAAGTGGCTGAACAATGATACATCCAATTTCATTTTTTGTTCTGACACATGATTAATGATCCACCAATCAGATTGCAGGGATTTACTCTGTAGTTGCATAATCAACCATGTTCTGGCTACCAGAAGATAGTACTTTCAAGTATGGTTCGTCACATCCAAAACCTTGCACTACGTTCTCCCAAGGGACCAAAGTCATATGTTATTGAATGCACCTGTGATGCTGAAAATTGCTGGTTTGCTTGCACACAGCTTGGGGTAATTTAATGGTGGGCTTATTGGGTTTAAGAATGACAGTTACGAGTATCAGTTGTTAATTGCTTGGATTAGTAAGCTTCACTTTGAGTAACTTGTCAAATATCATCAGGATACACACAAACGGTCATTAGAAAACACTGTCTCAAATCTTGGTTAAGTCGAGTTTAGATGATCTCAAACCTTGCTCTGTTAAATGATGAAAAACAAATTTCTGCATGAAAGTAGATGGCTGGTTGGAGAGAAAGGCCTATCAATCTCCAGAGAATTTCTTGATGAACGTGGTACAGTTGGAACGCCCCAGAATTCAATTTCTTATGCTCTAGTAAATATCTTTCTCACTCTAACAATGCTGATAAATTTTTGTGTGTTTATTTAAGAGACGTTATTTGTATAAACCTGTTTAAAGAAAAACGTCTTTTCACTACTAATTGAGGCCAGCCCTCTTCAACCTCAGGATGTTCTCGCTATTTGGGTACCATTATATTCCCGACCTTTCCAGCCTAAGAATCTCTAACGAGGTTGGTGCGAACTCAAGTCAAACCAAAGCGCACTATTTGAACCTCGGCAGAGACGCCAGCTACATTACATGAATTGAGATTACATGTATGTATACAGAGCTGCTTGATGAACAACTTTCCTAAATTAGCCGGGTGAAGCATGAGCTGAAACTCTCTTTTAGTCCTCAACAATTTTGTGAACTTTGAACCCAGTGAATTCGACAGCGGGGACTGATTAAACCACATGGCAATGAAAAGAAAATAACACATTGCAAAATACACAGCTATACAAAAACTGCATCTGTGTCTAACACTCGCGCATTTAGGGATGCAATTTTAGAGATAATTCTTTACTGAACTCACCGGCTTATGGGGTGATATTTTGATGAATTCATCTTCATCTGAAGACAGCGAGCTGGAAACAAGCAAAGACACCTAAAAGAAAACAAAAACCTAGAATCACTATTAGAGGATGTATTTCTGACCAGAGAGTGCCTCCGGTAGTTTTCCAGGACACAGTCTGTAAAAGAGGCCTTCCAACGATGCCTTCATTGGGGATTAGGTACAACTTCCCTAATGAGAGAAATTCTATGGCACTCACATGTGCGTACATGTAGATCTGGTTATCACCAGTGATATAGTGGAGAGCCTCACAACTTCACAAGACCAAACTACCAGTCACAAGACCAGTCACGAGAAAGGTTACAAGACCGCTCACAAGACCAGCCACAAAACCAGTAATGAGATCTTGTCGCGCGACCAGTCACAAGATCAGTCACAAGACCAGACACAAGACATGGCATAAGATCAGTCACAAGATCAGTCACAAGACCAGACACAAGATCAGTCACAAGACCAGACACAAGATCAGTCACAAGACCGGTCACAAGATCAGTCACAAGACAAGACACAAGATCAGTCACAAGACCAGACACAAGACATGGCACAAGATCAGTCACAAGACCGGTCACAAGATCAGTCACAAGACCAGACACAAGACATGGCACAAGATCAGTCACAAGACCAGACACAAGACAGGTCACAGGTCTTGACGACACTGCCAATCACAATCACATTTCCTAGGCAATCACACATCACAAGTCTGAGCGTCTGTTTGTGTTTTGCTTAAATTGCTATACTAAGCAGTATATTTTTGTTGGCCACCTCATGGGCGCAAGACCTAAAAAACCAAATGCTGAAGAAGGAAACTGACCTTTCTCTTGAGCAAGGAAATGTAAATCATCAAGGAATGCTCATCTGCCGTTCCGTTGACTACATCCGCCGGTCTGCAGGCAAAACATCAAATCCTACAATCAGTTTTCCAATGTCACCTGGTCTAACCAAAATGTGTCAGTAAGGTTAGCCATTTATCAAGGTTTTGATGGATAATTAAAAAAAAAAAACTCACCTTAACACAAAACATTTTGACGTATAGTTCAACATATACAAAATACCAGGCTACCAGGTCCTTGCAAGTACCTTAAGTTACTATAACATATGTGAAATCCATTCCAGGCTTGTTTCATTTCCTTCAGAGTAAAACTTGACGTTTCTCCTACATAGTAATCTAGCTACCAGAATTAGAAGCCATTACTGTGAGGCCACCCTGTTCGCGCGCAGGTGATACCAGTGTGTTATATATTTCTGTCAGACCAACAGAGTGTCGTGACTTGCTATAATGCAAGTCTTGAAAAAGTTAAAACCCGTACACGAGTATGATGGCCCGTCAGGAATGGCTTTTCCTCGGATTTTTTGTCTATAGAGAGTCAGTTACCCCTGCATGTGCATTTAAGGTGAGAGCCTAGACTTACCCAAGTAGTGTCTTTGAGATTCCAAAGTGATCTTCCGCAGCCAGAATCCCATTGGTCAGATTGACGAGGTACTTATCCTGTCAAGATGTGCGGAAGATGTGATCCTATCTCAATGACGGTGTCAGCAATACACAAACTTTTGAAAAGTCACTTGACAGGGTACTACTCCATAACATTTTTTGATGCTGCACATTCACAGATATCAAAATCCAAGCAGCAAGACACCACTGGTGAAAAATCTCATGAGTGAATTTCAAAGAGTATCTATTCTGAGCGAAACAAAAGAGGGCTTGCTTTTTTTGGTACTCACGGCATAGGTGCATGTTTATAATGGAGATCAATAACGGGTTTATTCCTTAATGTATGGTCTTTGCGTACACCCAGAATGCGTGCAAGAATCCGCTTGTAACCACCTGTCTTTCTTTCTCCAAATTGTGGGTGCAACTCAGCTCGGGGTGGATTACTGTACGCTACCGTGAGAACAGTTTTTGCCGTGAATGCTCTGCCATGAAAACACCACGCAACAGAATGCAACCAAAATTCAACGAGCAAATTCACAGTGATTTGTTGACATTACTTTGACTGACTTAACACTACATTACTGGCTTCCCGTAGGTACGTGTAGTTCTTACCCGAGCATCTTGAATGTTCTCGAAGGAGCAGTGTAAAGACAGAAGATCCGACAAGAGATTGTTCCCACTAAACCTGTTTCAGTCAGAAACATGACAAGAGGTAAAGACAATAGCATGGTCCTAAACGCAGTCTGTTTTTGTGATGGGGCGGAGATTATGCTTCCTTTGCAGTGACTTCAAAGTTTCTCTGTAAAAAACAAAAAGCTACCGAGATTTTGAATAGAGGATTTCACATTGAAAGGGTTCTTCATACAAAATGACTTTAAAAATTGTGTCTTTTTTAGTTATGACATGTCACTATCATGGTTTTTCATTTCATAAATTTCTAGCCACTACACTTCCCTTCTGACATTACTAAATAGGGTTAATTAAGATGATTGACCCTGATTCTCCCTCGCGAACACAAAATATTTAGGCAATTCTAGCACAGCCTACCGAGAGCTAATCACCCATCCAATTCCTCTCATCTCTCAAGACCCACCCACTTCACAACACCTTCTGTGCTTCTGTGATGTGACTGGGAGACTTACACTGCCGCCATGCTCTGGCTGGTGTCAATGCTGACGGCCAACTCTTCCCCACACCACTGAAGAAGCAGTTTGCGACCGATGCGCACGGTTCGCTGGTAGGCAGCGCGTTCTGGGAGTAATCAGTTTTAGAACAAAGAGACAAAACTTGAGCACTCAGGAAAAAGCTTTGAAAGCTATCAAGGCAAGACAGAGCTTTGAGTTCAACCTTTTCTCCATTCCAAATGGTTACTATGACAGACACCTTCAGCTAGCAAGTCCTGTTCATGAAGTAGAAGTATTCTGATGAGATCATGGAAAAAAACAAAAAACAGCGAATAAAATGGAGAGAGTGTAAGCCCTGCAAAATTTCACGTCATTTTTAGAGCAGACATTTCTACGTACCTGGTGAATGAACTGTACAGTGGAGGATAATGGACCACATGACATCAAGAATGCTCTTCAACTCACCACAGACAACGCCTGGGAGGGAAATAACCACATGAACATGTGTGTGATCAACTTCCACAAGTAAATTCAAGTTTGTTATCAGTATGCTGATAAATGATCAACCAACTGATTATAATCAACCATTCTAGCGGGTGGCAATTTAAGCAAGACTTTTTTCCACATTGACCATAAAATACAAATACATATACATATAACACGAGATACTTGATACCAAATATGTAGTTTGAAGAAACTGTTCAACCATGATACATGTAATAAACCTCCCCACAACAAGAAATTAAAATAACACATTCTTGAAACCAATTAAGTGATTGATTAAAACTCAATTGGTTGAATGAACAAATTCAATCAATTAATCAATGGGCCTGTTTCGAAATTGCCATTCTTTCAATCTTTCTACTAAATTCTGCCCTTACCTTCGGCACTGACTGCCATTTTGACACCGATACCAGTCAAGAAATCCAAGGCAACTTGGACATTATCAAGAGCAACACTGTCGTCAGTTTCTGAGAGAGCATCCTACAAAAATGGGAGGAAGATGTGAAACTCAGCTTCCATATATGCCAGTGACATTACCAGCAAACAACGTTTGCAAATGATAAAGAAAACACCCAACAAATGAAGATATTCAAACTTCCATTTTATAGAAGTCCTGCAATTTTGAAATTACACAGCTTCTGTGAAAAGACTGCAGAAGTAATGCGCACAATATGATTTTTCCACTTGATAGCGCTTTTCAAAAAACTTTTCTAAGCAATGCATTTAATGTTCCGTACACTACAGGCATTTCATGATCAAACTACTCACCACAGGAAAGAGATATGGTTCGGTTATCTTCATTATTTGACTTGGCTTAATTTAGCGGGTTTCTGTTACATCTTATTAATTGTGCGCTTCTAATGACCTTAAAAATACGTACAGATTCATCAGATATTTTGTAAATTTCAAGCAAGCGACTTGGACATTGATCCAAAAGCGAGGAATTTCCAATCTTTACAAGACTTTGTACAGTGTTTGTTCAATTTTCAATGACACAAGTATGAAGAATGGCGAAATCAGCTGATCCAAGGAAAAAGTGCAAGCCTGAAATTTTTCTGGCCGGGTAAAACAAGACTTCAGGGGGAAATGGGAGCAACGTTTCATCCGCAAGATGGAAGACTAACCTGGTCGGCAGGCAGGAGCTTAGAGCCGGTGAGCAGCTCAATCAGATTACAGAAGATGGTGCCGCTTCTTAACTGGTGCAAGCCATCGATGAGGATTCCCTGTTCACACAGGAGGCTGTTGGCCCAGCCAAGGTACATCTACATGTAGGAGAAGGTGAATAAATATGGGATGATGGTCGATAGCTGTATGGCAATAGGTGACAATGTCAGATTTAACCCTAACCCTCCTCAATCCTTCACCTGTTCGAGAACTGAGGAGTGTTAGGGTTAATATTGTAACGTTGTTTATTAGCCATTGGCAGATCGCGGAAAGGGCCAAACAGAAGCCATGCCTCCTAAAAAGAGGCAATTTTTGTTTTCACAATGACGAGTCGATGATTTTTTTGAACTGTTTAATTTCCTTTCCTAACCAAAGCCGCCACAATTTAGTCTCATCACCCATCAGAAAGGCAAACAAGGTTCTTGAGGTCGATTCCCTGGTTGAGAGAACAAAGAGTGGCTGAACTTAGACAGCAGACGGGTTGTGGGTAAAAACGCACAAGAGGAAACCACCTTCTATGCCGATCATTGTAAATGATTACAGGACGATGCACAAACCACAAATAAATATATGAAGCCTCTACAGTTGGCACAAAAAGTTTTGAAATGATTTTTCAAACAAAAACATACAGGTTCTTCATGATTTTTGGGGCAGGGGCAGACAATGAGAAGCACAACTTTTTGGGTTTCGCCTTACCGCCGGCTACGCCCACTTCCGACTTCACACAGAGTGTCTGAATTACTTGATTGGGGCTTGAAATTATGCACAAGTCTATGCAATGTCTAGCCACAGCCAAGTGATTCGGTCACAGCCTTACATGTACCTGCAGTACTGAGCTGAATGCCATGGTGCATACAATCTCACTGCCTACACCACCAGTAACAAGTGTATGGACTTCATTCTAGGAACCTGTGATGTAAAAACAAAACAAGCAGTACAAGAAATGCTGTGAGCGATATCAAAGGGACAACATTAACACACCTTGATACTTAACGTGTACAAACTGTTCACTGTGAGGGCACAAATATTAATGTAATAATTAATGTACATTGTACAGGTGTATGTACCCTACAAACCTGCGTACATGTATGCTGCAAACCTGCATGAACCCTTCAGCTTGACTCTAACCAAAAGGGTAAGGGATAATGAAATGTGTCAACATATCTGAACTGTGAAATCGGTGTATCCCGGCACACGACAAGGGTTTGCTCACCTAGTCTGCTGTAAGTCATTCACTTAAGACACTGAATGCATGAAATCTTGCGTGGAAATGTTAAAGGCCGCAATTAATGAACTTGTCCAACTTTTGAGACTAGGTGAGTATGGGGTGACTACGGAAATTTAAAGTGCAGGTTATTCGTCTTACTTGATGATGAATTCCAACTCTTCTTACCATTTTTCCAAGTGAGGTTTCAAAATAAAAACAGTATTTTTCTGTTCATCTTAGGCATGAACCCACTCAACAGCACATTACATCACCGAATTTGAAATGGAAGAAATGTACATATACAATTTAATTGAGTTATTTTGGAACAATTTTGAATTGGACAGATTATTTGTGGGGGGGGATTTATACAGTTCTACTAACAACAGTATAAATAGTTTGGTACAAGCTGAATAGTTGGATAAATTTATGATCAGTTTGTTTGGAGCGCTTTGGTCAGGAACCATCTGGTTTTCAGATTTAATATTTTCTGAAAATATTCGTACAGTATACCCGTATTTGAGAAAGATTTTTCTGTAACTGATGTACATGTAGGTACATTGATGCCCTGCTGTTTGGTATGACTGTACATATGTGGCTATAACCCACTTTGTCTTGGTGCAAACTTGAATCCTTTTGGTCAATCCACGGCAATAAACAGTGTGATATTATACTCTATTGTGCGGTCCACATTGCACCCTGTGCCCCCGGACAAGTACCGAGTTGTTCTAACACAGTGTACAGTGTTATTTTACATTCAAATGCAAAAACACACAGCTGGAGCATTTACTGTTAATTCAAAGAGTGGCACATTTGCCACATTCATGGATTGATGGCTGTTTTGAATCCAGCTTTGAACAAGTAAAACCACACACCACTGTGCCAGTGGGGCACCTGTATTCAACACAGCACATGGTAGCTAATAATCAATACCAGCAGCGTTATATAACTACCTTACGCCCAGTCAGGAACAACACTGTACATGTGCGATATACCTACATGAACCACAATGGTAGCCTAATCAATACAAAGTGTACTCGATGTACCCTTCATGTAGAACGTACCACAAATGTACATGTAAATGTACATGAATGTACAAGAACAGTATACATTCACTCCGTTTAACCCTCCCTCTGCTGTAACCGTCAAAAAACAGTCAAAAATTCCTTCCACTTGATTTGTCCCAGTTCACAGACACATACATGGGAAATTTGACTGATTTTGACGGACAACTGTGTCAAGAATGCATCTTTGCATAGGAGGGATAACCTCAACAGACCTACAAAATGTACAAGTGTAATTATTACCTTTGAACTACACGAATGTACATGTTCAGCATTGTGGCAAACACCTGAATGAACCCTAATTCCTTAGGGTGTATGCAAAATCATATTGAAATTGGAGGATTTGGGACTGTTCTTTAAACCATACCTGATCTGAAAAACTCCCCAAAGCTACATGTACAAGTGTAATCCCCCCAAAAACTTTTCAAATTGACTATAAGATGTACATCTACATTTTTTAACATGTCCCATGATGTGCACAGAATAGACAAATCCTATATAAATGGCATTTGAGCTGAAAACAAGCTAAACATGTAACTAAAACAGCTTTTACAAATGACAAGTTGTAAATGTACATATTTTGTACGGGTTATTTTATTCATGAGTATAACAAACTCTTCAAACTTTCATCAGTACAGATCTATACAAACTTTGTTGAAGCACACCCAAAATGGTATGGTGATACCAACAGCAAAGTACAGCTCTTTAGTCTATCAGTCTTTGGGTGATCCGATCTTGTTAACAGAAACCTCCAAACAGGCTCAGCAAGGCATGCACTGTGCAAAGGTGCAAACAAAGGCTACTGTGTATCTCGGGTTGCTGTTATCTTCATGGACAGAAGATAAATGGAGATAGGCTGATTATAATGTCACTGATAACTGCTATTAAATATTTAGCACTTCATTAGGGGGGCTCTGTGGAAGAAAAGTGTATTTGCACAACCGCTGGTGTGGAAAGCACATGCTGCCTACTTGTGGCAGCACCTAAGTTCAATTTCAATGCATATATCTTGTCTGTGGGTTTTTGCCCCCAAGTGAAGTAATGCATGAATTTTTCCAACAATGCACAGTACTTATGATGACCGAAAGATCTCGACAAAGTAATAGCTCAATTAATCAGGCCGTGAATAAGGCAATTGAACTTTGGTCAGAACCACCAGGTTCAGACCCGGATTTTATTGACGTTTCAATAGAATGCTCCGATTAATATACCTTTCAAAAAAAAAAGTGACCTCACTCTGTTGAGCAAATACCTTATTACTCGAAACCATACATGTATGTAAATGTTTTGTGAGGGAGGGAGGTTAGGGCAGGGCACAAGCTGTTATTCTGCAGTACGGAAATCAATACAGTGTACAACACCACTTGGGCTAAACGACATGGCTCCCATTCCAAAGTTGGAACCAGCAACTTGGTGCTTCTACCTTTTATAAACTGATGCGCTGCATAGACTTAACAGACAAATGTATTATTTCAAAGTTTTATTCTGTCGGGGATGATACCAAAAATTACAATAATTTGTCACTGCACTGCAATGCTCCAAGTCCCAGCCAACGGATGGTTCACTGATCTTAACCGTTAAATCTGAGGCACGTGACGCTACATTTTGTCACCACATTAAAACGTCCCTATCAGCCAATGAGACGGCTGGATTTCTTGCGATTTTGATTGGTCAACTGCACTGTGTCATCTGTCGATCTTTAGCTTCTTCTTCCCAAGGGAGAGTTTGATAAATAAGATGAAATCAGTCAATGCTGGCTGTATTCTTTAAAAAATTCATGACTGACCTGACCAGATATTGACAAAATACACATTTTTTGTGAATTAGAAAAATTACTTGACGGTGGTAGATCCTAAGATCTCACTGCAAGTCCAACAGTGATGCAGTACCACCACCAGACCATAATGTATGCCCACTGAATACTAAATCATGGAATACATGTAGCCTACATGCATATGAACATGTCTCCATCTTGTCATGACAGTATTTTTGATGTGGCATGACTTAGTATTGACATGCCTAATGTGCATTTGACTTTTTGGCTCTTGTGCGTTGCTAATTTGCTCGGGAAATATTACCTCAGAATCCAAACTAAACAGGTGTCATTTCATTTAATATGCCCAAAATTTCCCCTTCATAAGTGCTGAGTTTAAAGACCTGCTAAAAAGCAATATGAAATGTTAATTTGCCTGATTTTCTTTATTTCTTTTTGGAAGTGCAAAATGAACTCTTTTCACTGAAAAGTTGTAAGTGTAAACAAAAGTGGAAATGACTTACAAGAATTTGTCAACTTTGATGAACTTCTTGGTTGGTGTGATGTGTCCTCTGGAAGCTTTGTATATACTATACAGATAAAGATTGATGCGGGACTCGCTGGCTAGGGTTCAAAACACTTGTATGCAAGTTGTGGATAAATTTCCGGACGCAACCATTTTTGAATTTCAGACTAAATTTCTGTTTATATGTGTGACTATGCTCTGACATACGCTCAACAGCAATGATGTATGGAGTTAATCAGTAGTTTACTGCGTAATTTTGAAAAAGACTTTCAACAAGGATCACTGCTGACAGCAGTATGTATGTACATGTAGGCCTACATGAGGAAAGTCAGCGGGAACGTCGAAGAGTTAAGAGCGCCACCCAGTAAAGTCTAAGAACCCTTTCGGCCCTTTCTACCTTGATGGCGTAACGTTACCGTTTGGCACAACAAACCACGAGCATAGTTTGTAAGGCCCAAAAATTCACGTTCTATACTCACCACTGATTTTTAAAACCTGTGTATCTGTGCGTCCTCCCAGACAATCCAGCAAGTAATGATTTCAAATTTCCGTTTTGCCCCGCCGTGCAGAAGTCTACACGCTTTCAAGGCCATCAACGGATCTCGGCGGTGTCAAAATTGAAAGTAGTCTGGTCACCATCAAACTGCGGTCTCGGCTCATATCATCACGCCAAAGAAGGGTCACTACCAGACTAGTGTGTCCGCGATACACAAAAGCACGCCGCACGGGGGCGCGTTCTTTAACTGTCGATGAACCACTAAATGAAACTTCTTACAGAGTCGGACGCGGACACCCTAAAATACTGTGGCCACGCCTAGCTAGCTAGCAGCGGATAGGGCTCTGTGCGCATGCTGTATGTTTACGTAGTTACGATACGCTGCCCGTTTAAGTATTTTTTTGTTTTACCCCGCACCGATCCTCTGTGAAGATTAGAAAATATGAAAACAGAATTCACCACAGACGTCTTTATCTCACTGATCGCTGTAGCCTGTAACTCTAGTGAAGTAGTGATAGGTTTGTTCCGTTTGTTTCAATGTGATTGATATCAAACCGGGGGGGGGGGCTCAATGCCCAGTTGGATTCGCTGATATTCTGTCTGGCGCTCCCAGTTGCTCGTCGATAGGCATATTTACCTCTGCAATTTAGAAGGAGCTCGTGGTTTAAACGCAGCTGATGATCCGGAAGTAGCTTTTTAAGTCAAAGGAAACTTGTTCAACACCCGTTTCTGACAGGCGTTCTAGGGTGGCGCCAAACCAAATAGAATTAAGAGCGATTCGGGTCGACCCAATTAATTTTTGGTTTAAAACGAACTTAATACATTTGCATTGGGTTTGGCCCATGAAAAGAGCGACGTCTAAAACCAAGTCGGTGTCGTTCCAAGCACCTTCAAGTATCGATCTTCTGCCTGCTAGCACGCCTTGTCGCTCCTAATTTATTGTTTCAGACGTCGAACTTTTGCCGCACGTTATTTAAATTTTGCTTTAAATCTGGCTCTGTGCCACTCGTCTGGAGGGTTGCCGGTGTCAGCAACCGAGGGAAGAATCTTGTCGCCCAATGCGCCAATGGTGGATGAGGAAATAAAGCTATAAAACTAACACTCAGCTTAGAGTTACAATTTCAGCACGGGTTGGCTTCAAATACGAATGGTGAGGTGAACAAAACATTTTCCTCATGTTTACAATTTTTTTGCAAACTGTACACAGTCATTTATTGACCTAAGAACACAAGAAACAGCCAACAAGTAGGGGTGAACTTAATGAGACTGTTTCAAGTTACCCAAATGCCATGCCTTGTGAATGAACCAGTTCGGTATTTTAACAGGGCAAGATCACTCAAGAACAAACCACACGTGTAAAGTCGGCGTGAGCGTGAGACCAACTGTTCCCGAATAACCTCAGACGCACTTCCTTCAGCGCATGTGCTGCTGAATGTGAAATACCGAACTGTCTCATTGTGCAACATATTCATGGCTGTGTCACATCATAAATGCAACAGAGACTGCACGGGAGCCATCCTGCACGGCACAATTTTTGTTCCAGAGGGAAAACCTCCTTTGTGCACCCCCCCCTGGAACAAAAGCACAGGCCTGCAAGATGGCAGCGCAGCCATGCAAACCCTCAATAGGCCTCTGCAATATTTGGTGCTTACTACAGCATCGGGGTGAGGAGCAAATTCAAAACCACCTATGAGTTGCCTGGCTACTTATCTCACTTTGAAAGGCAGCTAGCTGTGATCCATTCTAATGACTAGGTCAGTGGAAAACAGGAATTTAAAATAATGCAAAGACTTTGTAGGGGCCGCAAAGACTTTGTAGGGGCCTAAAGATTTCCTGGATGCTGTATTAATTTAACGATGCTCGTATCACTGGCACGGGAGTATACACTAAATCTGCGTTCACAGGTGGATTCAACCAGTGGTCCCTAACCAAGCTGATGGACAACGTACCGTGTCTGTAGACTTCGGCACATGTTGAACACGCTCTACTGAAAATCAAACCGAATGCGAGTAACTTTTTGAAGTTACTTAAAAGGGATGGACATTTCAACAGGGAACGTTTCACGGGTTCTGCAGACAAAAAACTTTAAAACCTTTCGAAAGACTTGAGGAAAAAGATATACTAAAAAAACTTTGTACCTCAAATGAAAAAAAAAATTGGCTGATCACAGCAGCTAAATTTAGATTCTAAACCCGACGAAAATTTAATGATTCATGTTGACGGTTTTGTTGAACAACAATTATTTGAAAATTTGGCTCTATTTCTGGTCTGGCAGACCACACAAAACAGCATCTGAATCGAGAGGGGGTTTAGAGACAGCATGAAATGTCTCCAAGTTTGGTTCATGTTAAACATATTGAGCAATGAGGCTTAAATAACCTTAAGTACTTGAGATACGTGAACATGGCGTGAACCACAACCACACCTTTCACTAATATCAACTATAAATAAGAATGAGAAATTCGAAATGCCTCCCACCTCTCTTCATAGACACCGAAAATATACAAAGCTATTTACAAGTCTGCTATGGAAAATCAGATTTCACAGCTGAATATTATACATTAAATTTGACGATCTTGTATTGAGGTGTAAGTTTGCTTCAGGAGACAGTTCTCAAAGACGTCCAAGGTGACTGTGACAATCAAGTGAGCTATCTTTCATGAATGTAAGCTGTGTAAATGCACCTATCCATAAAATGAATCGGTCCAATTTACTGTAAAAATTGTGATAGGTGGTTCAGTCTGTCATTTACAGATCAAACAATCAATTATAAATCACTTTAATTAGTGTCGATACAATTTTATGTACACTCAGCCAGAAAGTGGTAAGCAAAAATACAACGTCGAGAGAAAGGTCCCCAAAGATGCTAGTTTGGCTAAAACAGAAAAGAGTGACGCAGAGTTCCACACACCAGCAATTTGGCTATTTTCAAATTTGTATCAAAGAAGCATGACAAAATATTTATGTTTCTAACAATGGCGTAACTAGGACTACTGTGTCCGGAAGTAAGGCGCACTCGGGGGTGCACACACTTTTTTCAAGGGGGCACAAAAAGACAATGAACTGTAGCAGAGGTTGTAAATAAATTTCAAATGGGGGGGGGGGCACGTGCCATCGTTACGCCACTTGTTTCTACACAACGTATCTGCAACAAACTAGTGAAATTATATTGCTAGGATCAAAGGGCAAGTTGATAAATCCATAAAATAAAAAAATTCAGAATTCATCACTTTGTAGATGAAGCGTTTCCAAGAAGTCGAAGCTTTTATGAGATGCGGCCATTAGTGCAGTTTCAAGGCAAGAGAACAATGAGTTTTGAAATTCTAAGCCTCTACTGCGCTTGGAAGAAAGCATACATGTATTGTACATGTACTCAACACAGGGCTGTTACCCTCTTCAGGTTTTTCCAAACCACTTCCAGTTTTTTGAGAGAAAAAAAAAACTATTTCTTGGAGGATGTATAAGCATTGTCCTACTCCGTATGGAGTTTTTAACTGGAAGTACGGTTTGGAGAAGGGGGATACAATCATCTTGGTTTGCTGCCATCTTAACCACGTAAAATATTCACACCTTCAGTTAGTACGAACACCTCTACAAAATATACACTACCAAAACAAACGATAAACAGACTTCACAGACACTGTGACAAACCCTAACAACCAATGTTTGTGCCGAGGCGATGGATAGTTTCCTAATATATATTTGCACTTTTTTTTAATATAAACACAATACTTGAAATATACAAAAACAATTTTGCTAACTTTTAAACTGATGTTTCTGATAACTGGGCTGTCAATTTTAACCCTAACAGTACCAGGTGTTGTTTGGCTTAGAGTACTCAGTGCTACAAAATACTAAGTAACACTCTCAGCCTGAAGGACCTAGCACTACAAATTACTATTTCTGGCTAGGTTTATTCCATTGTCACTCGTACAGAGAACAATGAAACCATGCATTCATAGTGCCACAGCACTGCAATGTACATTGTCTTCTCGATTGTATTTTATGGCTTCAGAGAATAATGTCATCATGTCCTCTTACAAGCGACAGGGCCGAGTACTACATTTTACTACTAAGTATTACTCTGTAGCATTCGGGACTGTTAGGGTTAAAGAGCTGTGTCAAGCCTTACAAATACCAGCTCTGTAAAAAGCAGCGAGGACCGTTGGAAAATACAGACTGTTTTTGGCTTTTAGCAGATGTTTTGCCCCTTTTTTTGCTTCCAGTGAAGTGGTGCTGGAAAATAACCCCCTACACCAATTAAAAATGTTTATTTTTCCTAGCAACAACTTCAAATCTGAATTTGTTGGGAATGTACACCATCGGTATATGGAAGGTTCTCGGCTTTTTAGACTGATGTGCTTTTGCTCTGGGGGCAATGCAACGATGCCGTACTCATGACTACAATTACATTTGTCTTCTTCACTTCATTTGAGTCAATGCAACATTAAAAAATACAAATGAGATTCACTTTAAAAACAAAAGGCTTCCTGAAGGTAGGATTCATGTTACAACACTTCCTATCTCATTAGCTATTTAACGGGACAAATCGCTCTTAAGGCCTGTGGAGATCTCAAAACCTGCTAAACCCAATTACCACCAATTAACTGGTTTGGTTGAAGAAAATCGCTTTGATCTGCTCCAGCGTAAGTTGAGTAAAACTGGTACTTAACCCTAACCATTCTGAATCCAACAAGCATATGCATGATTTCAATGGTCCCTAGGGGGGCTAGGTTAACCCTCAGTCGCTCCCTACCATGTGAGTTACCTACAATCCTTGTTGATTAAGCATAAATTGGCGTAAGTGGACAACCAATACGTACTGCATACAACACCTACAAAAAAGCACAGGTGCGAAAACTATACAGAGCAGAATATGGCATTGCAGGTGCGTATTGAGACAGGTGAGTTATGTAGGCACGAGGTTCTGGGGAAAATTCTAATCAAATCATAGCTTTGCAGTGTCTGTGTCGCTTTCAAACTGACAAAAAAAAGGTCCCTGGCCTCAGTCGATCTTCACGGTGGAGTAAATCTTCCGGACGAACGTGCTGGTCCCGACATATCCGAGAGTGCCACACATGATGCCCAGGGCTATACTGAACAGGGCCATGTAGCCGAAATAGAACGTTGTCTGAAATAAGCCATACATTCTGTGGATGAACAAAAAATACAGCAGCAAATTTGAACATCCGGAACGCTCAGTATACTGTGACACCAGCCTCGTTATGTACTTGTCCCCATATGATTGTCTGATTTCCTTCCAAGAAATCTTCCTGCGACAGGATCTTTGATACTGCCCTATTTCTTTTCTTAACTTTCTTGAGAGAATCACCAGCTGACTTTGAGTTACTTTCAGGAACGTAAACGAGCAAATTCTGAACTACAAATAACCACTTTCTAAGTAACACTGCTTTCAATTGCCTGAACTCACTTTCAAGAAAATGACAGAATAAAATCGCTGTACTCTCCCTTGTTTCTCATAAACTGTTTGCCCCCCGATGTTGACTTACTCTCAGCACTTTAATGGGCAAATTCCAAATTGAAACTAACAACTTCAAAAAGAGAGGATTCAATTGCCTGGACTCACTTTGTTTTAAACAAGAAGTAGTAGAAGGAGTAGAAATAGACGTATAGCGCCGTGGATGCCGCCGCGAGGAAACTCGTCCACTGCCAGCGGTAGTCCTCCGCGTTCAGGAGGAAGTATGTGCAGACGATGGTGACGCATATTGTGACCACCGCCAAGATGAAGAAGACGAGTAGCATGAAGCCAAAGACGTAGTAGATCTTGTAGGCCCAGAAGGAGGTGAAGATAAAATACCTGTGACGGGGGGGGGAGGGGGGCAAAGTTACACAAAAAGCAGATACCACCTGCAAGTCGCTTACGTGACGCACTTCAAACACCACTTTAGGTCCATTTATATTCATTGTGACCTTGACCTTTGACCCCCAACAATGCTTATTTTTTGTCCTTCGGTTTATGGAAACCCATCTTGACCCTTACTAAAAACACATTAATTGCAACTTGTCAGGGGAAACATTCCTTTTTTTTTTTTACTAGTTCAGGAGTTGAAGAATGCGTAAATTTAGGAGGGAGACCAATTCAAAAATGAAATGAAACCAATTCCAAACTTCTAAAATTTGGGCTCTACAGGTGGCACTCAAAGTTTCTATACGCAGGTTCTGCATAGCTGTCTAGGTGAGATGGCTGATTGGAAACACAACCATTTTTTTCTTTCGGCCTCTATCCCTTCTCATACTCACATTTCGATGAAGATGGAGCCAAATGGTAGCACCCCTCCAAGCATGACGATCACCGCCGGCTCCATGAACCACTTCTTCTCGGGGATGGGCCTCGGTACGGCGTTCACCCGACAGGGGAAGTTGGGCTGGCCGGCCAAAGCCCTGCCGACTATGGTACCGACTAGGGTGAGAGGAAGGATGACAAACAGGCAGATACACGTCACTGCCACCTGTCGGGGGAAACATAACATGTTTGTATGTTTCTTTGAGTTTCACATGACCATTCTTGGGAAAAAAAAAGTCACAGATGGGTTGTTTACTGCCCGAGGAGATGAGATGGCTGAGCTTGTAAGTCAACTGCGGCAGAACTGTCTACTTATCTATCTGGTCTTTACAGTCTTGTAGCCTTCGTCCCCCACAGGCCGTTGTTTGTTCATGAAATCTCGGTGGATAAAGCAAGGCTAGCGGTGCCAGGATGAAGACTTAACCTGTCCCCTCCCTTTGTCTCAAAGGGAGGGGACAGAGCGAAGCAGAATGGTGGGGATCTGTTCTGGTCACATCTACGTTTGCCTACCTTGTTATGACTTCGGCACCTTGGACCAGGCAGAGCCAGGTTCGCCCTCTGAATAAACCGATACTGTATGTTTTAAAGCGGATCACAGACTTACCATGGTCCCAAAGGGTATGGCTCTGGACGCATGGTAGTAGATGGCGATGAAGTTGATGAAGAAAGCCGTGCCACAGACGAGGAAAGGCAACAGGAAGGCACTCAGCAGCATCTGCTTGATCCACACTTTGCCTGATCAAGAGTGAAAAAGTTGAAATTTGATGGGAACAAAAGACCACCGACCAAGCGCAGCAATCTGGGTTGCCAAGAGACCTACGACTAAAGATTCAAGTTTAACCACCTTTGAACTTTCAAGCATATTCAAGCGATGCAGATAACAACCGTGGTGGGGGGTCCAACGCATGCCCACAACCAGATCACCTTGTGTTCCAGAACTTGAGGTTCGTTTTATTCAGCCCATCTCTAGCACGACTAATTGGATAAGTTTATAGCAAAGAGTTCAACCTTTCAGTTTGTACAGAAGGGAAGCCGATCCGCTCTGAGCGGAACAAAAAAGGGTTTGTTTTTTGGGTACTCCCCGCATAAGTGCGCCATGAGGCGCGCAAGTACAATGTGAGTTTGACATGGAGCACGCTGAGTGCGCGTAACTAATTTACTGTGGCATGTATGGTCTTAGCGTACACGCAGAAACCCGCTTGTAACCATCTCTCTTTCTTTCGCCGATTGGGGGTGCACTTCAGCTCGGGGCGGATACAGACACACAAACAATTTTCACGTGGATAAATCTTCAATTACACTACGGCTTTGTTCAATTGTGCCCGATGCCCAGGATATATTCTGTACATCGATTGCCGGGGGAATTGACCGGGGGTCTATACATGGTCTCTGATCGAACTTGGCCTGCAACGACCGTGTGACTGCCTACCTCCCATCCTTGAGTAGAGGCCGCCGCCAAAGTAGCCATTGACTGGAGCAGATGCAGCATAGACAAAGATGCTGGTGCTCAGGATGGACCCTCGACTGCAAACAATCAAACAAGTGTTGGGTAACAGAGACTGGTCTCCTGACACAATCCTCATTCGGGTGAAGTGATGTTTACTTTTGTACCCCTCTGACTGTTGGCCCTCTGAAAACTTTCCGGACTTTCACTGCTCCAGAGGCTGAAATGTCTGTATCAGCCTTTTTGCAGTTGCCTTCACAGCCTTTCTCACTGCACACTGGCAATCTTACTACAGATTGAATTCTCGCATGCAATTCACCATTAGACCAGATCCCACAAAAGAGAGTCCTACGGCTATTTTTCTTTGTCATTTCATTTCAGTTTGCATTAGAGAGAGCTCAGTGAGATGTTTTGTTATGCGACATAACTGGACGCACTGCATTTTTGAAAAATTCCTCACTTGTGGGTATTACGAGAAAAGACCCTTCTGGCAAATTATTAATTGGATGTGGGACGTCACTCACTCTGTATATAGATGGCCCCAGAGCGTCAGGACGATGACTGCGAGAGCTACGGTGGCCAGGTGATAACCGCTTCCGATCAGAGCCGAGAACACCATGGGGTGGGAAGCGGGCCTGAAGACATCACCGTGAACTTGTTTCCAGCCATACTCATCACCGAGATCACGCTCCTGGGGTCAAAAATCGGTGAAGCAAGACCTTACCATTACCTCATACATATTCATGATTGGGAGTGAGTTCTTATTGGTTTCCTGTTCTGCATCATGTGTAAGTGGTTACTTTTGCTCTTCAGGCGCACAGGCGAAGATCCATACTGGGGTTAAATATATGTGACTGGCAGACCGTACCCAGTCCAAAAGTGTGACAGTTGCGTGTCCCAGTTACGCCTTACCTATGTGATATGGCATGGAAATATCACTGAATTTGACATCTGTTTTTCATTTGTTTGGCAGGCAATTTCCATAAATTAACCGCTTTTTGGAAACTAAAGACCGTGTTCTGAGATTGTTGCCCCAAATATAAAACTTAGCCTAACAGTGTCCTTTTCTCAAGGCCGCATATGGACAGTGTGCAGTGTGTCATACCATGTCATCAAGGTCGTCGTCTTTGCTGTATCTGGCATAGTCCTTGCGCAGTGTCCTCATAAGAATCATGGAGACAAGACCCACGAGGAAGATGACCATCATGAAGGAATTGAAAATTGAGAACCAATGAATCTGTGAAAAAGAGGCAGACAAATGTTACATTAACCCTCCTTCTGTTTTAACCGTCAAAAACAGTCAAAAATGCCTTCCAATTGATTTCCCCCAGTACACAGACACGTATGGGAAATTTAACTGATTTGACAACTGTGTCAAGAATGCATCTTAGCATAGGAAGGTTAACAGAAGAATGCATAGAAATTTGGTAAAAAACCTCTGGGAAAGCATGTGGCTTCTACCACAAGCTGAATCTGTACACTGTTGAAATGAACAATAACTTTGAGAATTTTCACACAGCGAAACTTGATTGAACAGCACTCACCCTGTGGTTGAAGAAATTGGGGTCCAGGTATTTATCAAAGCGCTTCTTGAAGTTCACTGACGATTTCTTCCAATTGACCTACAGCCAAAGGAGAAATTAATCATTTTAAACACCGCCTACAGCCAAAGATGGCCATATTAGTTTAATTTTGGATTTATTTTGCCCTGCCCAACCTGTATCCATCTTAACCCTAACTCCCCAGAGTGATTTACTAGGAACCATACCCATTCACACAAATTCCAACACCATATGGTAAACTGTGCCCCAAAACTATTGGACTCTGTTTATTTTGGGTATGCCTGAACCCATGTTCAAGCACAAGCAGTTTAGGGGTACAGTACCCAGTGCCACAAATTCATACGCTTTACTGGTGTTCAATTCTGTGTGGTTAGGGAAGGTTAGGGTTAATTAACCAGCAAACTAGACTCAGTTACATGAAAAGCTTATTTGAGGTAGATTAAACAAAAACCCTGATTCTTTTAAATTTTAACACAGCACAAGATGGCAGCTAACTTCATAGCACAGGATTAAGAATTTCCTAGTGTTTGGGATTGGGGTCGAGGTGTGGCCATTGTGAAGGGGGGCGGGGGCAGAGGAGGAAAACAACCCAATGTAGAGCTGCTAAAGCTTGTAGAAACCAACGTAGCTAAACATAAATAAAACACTAAGTAAGAAATCTGCTCCAACTAAACATAAATGTGGCTATCTGTATTTGGGCTGGAAGCAAATGGAGGAGACTTTACTTGAATGTTTAGGAGTTATAACAAGGGATACGGAGAGAGGGAAAGTTACAGGCTTACCTCGTAGGAGAAAGGTACTTTGACTCCTTTCTCTAGTTTGACCTTGGTCTCGCTGGTCAGGTTCACGTCCACTATCTGGTTGAGGTTGTAGCCAATGTCCAGCTTTTTGTGCGTCCAGATGTAGTAGTCAGAAACCTTCTCAGAGGCCTCCTCCGATTCACCGACGATACCTGGAAATTGACACTGAGTAGTTTTGAATCTAAACTTGAGACTGCACAAGACAATAGCCAGGAGGCTGTGTTCACGTGTAACACAACATGATTTGGGTTTAACCCTAACCCCCCAAGGGTTGCTGGCCCTAACCTTCCCCATTCACACAAAGTCCAGAGCTGCGTAGAGAGACAGTGGCGGCAAATTCAGGCTCTGGTACCAAAATGGCTGTTCATTATGTGTCCATAGTCCACCATTTTGGTTCCGACAATTGAGACACTCCATGTCACATCTCTCTAGCTCCAGGAAGATCAAGACATGTTTCTTCCGACTCACTCACCCCAGATTGGCAGGTCGTCAATGTACATCTGATACCAGTAGTGGTTCTTTACAGCGTAGACAAAGGCTTTGTGCGAATCTTCTGTCAGCTCCACCTCACAGTACTTGGTCTGTGGCACGTTGGCTAGAATCAAATCAAGACGGAGCAATTTGAAATCTCTACCCATAAAATAACTAGAAAAGACCTTTTTTTCCGGCAACTATAATGCTGGTGTCATTCCTCTCAAAGCGCCAATGACTTGACAAGGTCACTAGGAAACGAAACAGGTGAACTCAACTAGCATCTTTTAGAGTTTCTTTGCATTTCACCACTACACTGTACCACTTAACAAAGATCAAAGTTTCAACCAGAAGAGATTTCACAAAGTCACTTAAAACTTTTAAATAAAACATCAGATAAAAACAGGCCCCTTGCTCCTTTTTCACTGAAGTGAACTTTTTCAGTACATGTGTCCCACAAATACAAGTATCCAAACACACAAGAACTGATGCACGTGTATTCGTCAATATTTGATCCATACACGTGACTTTGGGAGACTTTGATTTTACAGGACAGCCTTCTTTGATCCCAAACCTCCAAAACCCTTCAAAATCTTAGACACTTGGAGAATTTTGAGCATGAAAAAGACACACTCTCGTATGTCCCCATAACTGCTTCACACAAGATCTGATTCCCCCATTAGCCTGACAGTCCTCAATCCTCCGATTTCACCATGATTTTTACATTCACCCTTGGGGTTAGGGTTGATCAAAACGCAAAGAATGTGTCATTGGTTTCCTGCTCAGTGGAGGATTTGCAGAGGTTCCTGTAAACACCTCTTGACAAATGTACCCAGTGAATGAGGCTTCACTGCTTACTTTCACACAATTGTTCAAATAAATCCCTAACCCGCTAGGGTGTAGGTAAAAATCGTACCGAAATTGGAGGATTTGGGACTGTTATGGTTGAACTACCACTGAGGACAAGTTACATGTAGAAGTCATTTATGGCTTTGGGTCACACGTACAGTACATGTGCAAAAGTATACACTTGGCCAACCCAGTACTGATAAAAATTAACAGTTTGCATGCAATGCACTGTGGTGTGCATGTAAGTCCTGCACGTTTATTCTACGTTGGGAGAACAGCCACATGTGCTGCCTCAGCAAACCAATCAATGGTGCAGTATACAAGACCCAGACACGTGTCAACCTCCCCCAAAATGCACCATATGTGGATGCCCAGATCACACATTCACAATGTGCACACGTATATGAGTGTAATTTCCTGACACGCCGTGGGACAAGAGGCAAAGATTGAAAATGATGTTGGAGAAGACTTGGAGCTCTGCATAGTGGAAGTACCAAATTAGGTTAGGCTTCCAGTTGCACCATGTACGAGAAAAATATCTCTTTTATGAGTGTGTGGTTCTGAGAAGAACCGATGGTGATGTTGGTTTAATCATAAATTGTGTTTTCACGTCTGTGCCTTTTCTTGTCTGAGATTTAAGAAGGATAAATAATACGAACAAAGTCAAGAATGTGGATGATTGTGGCTTCACGATGTTTACTCCGGATTGATTTTGCTCTGGGTTGCTCCAACTGGATTTGAACCAATACCCATTTCTACCCAGGTTTCTGAACAGTACTACCGTTTGAGGTTACAGGGATGGTCAAATGGTATCTTAACCCTAACCCTACACAGTACTAAGAATTACTAGTTGTAGTAAAATGTACTATTCAGTCCTTTCACTTGTAAGAGGACGTGACCTTATTATTCTCTAAAGCCATAAGATAAAATAGAAAAGACAATGTACCATACAGTGCTGTGGCACTATGAATGCATGGCTTTATTGTTCTCTGTACGAGTAACGATGGAAGTAACCTAGCCAGAAGTAGTAATCTGTAGTGCTAGGTCCTTTAGGCTCTGAGTGTTACTTAGTATTTTGTAGTACTGTGTAGTGTAAGCCAAACGATATGCTTAGCAGTTAGGGTTAAAAATGAAAGGGGCTGTAACAAGGTTTTGAAAATGTTCTACCTGCCTGCTAAAGCATTAAGCATGTGCATTGCAATTCTCATTATGTACATCGAGTTCTGGTCACTGCTTGAAAATCTGGCGGCTTACAGGTCGGTGTCTGTTCACAAGAAAATGAACAAAAAACTTCTCTAAAGAAAATCTGTCTCATACTTGCAAAATCTATGTCCAGCCCGCTGAATTCGAGCTCGGTTCCTTGCAGGGCTTCTCCCAAAGTCTCGTGGTAATGGCTGATGTCTTTTTTAGGCCCGCGGCAGAATGGCAAGGAGAAGAAGCCGTAGGTCTCCTGTCTGTTGTGGTACGGACCCACGGTGTTCATCCATAACACTACTTCCTCTTTCGTTGTGTACTGCCATGACAAATACAATAGAATGAACACGTTCAGCCTTGTGATGGTTCTTCTCTGCATCTCCATAAAATTGAATGAGATTTTACACTAATACACAGCATTCCATTTATACCAGTGACACGTCATAGAAGAAGTTACAAAATTGAGTGAAAGAAAAGGAAGTCCTAAAAGTAAGGACTGCTCATTGTTTTTCAATCTGGAATGCAGACTTGATGGTAATTAATGAAGAAATAGGCAGACGTACGAGTATGGGGGTCTACTGGAAAAAATTCAAACCTTCCCCTTTTGTTGTATGTCGAATTTCATGAGGATTCATTTTAAAACAGAAAAGTATGGTCCATTTCATTTTAAAATTGCTACCTGCGCAGCAACAGTGTTAAATGTCGAATTTCCCCATAAAATGGTTCTTTATCTGCTTATTACCACATTACATCTCGGTTTCCAAGCTACGAGCTAGGGCTGATCTAGACATGCACTTGAATCTCTACCAGGCCTATATTTAGATTAAGTGCACAGCACCTGATATTTTCGCTGCCTGGACCTTTCAAATGCGCGTATCGAGATTTAGAATTCGGAATAACTCTATGGGCGAAACATGGTGCTCCCAGAAACACGCATCAGTGGCCTATACGTGGTCTGGGCACAAGACTTGTTGATCGTGACCGTTGGGAGTGCTACCAATGACTGTTTCCTGGTCAATATGTCTTGTGCCCCGACTACATTTGCGCCTCTCCTGCAGTTTCGTTAGAGGACCATGTTCACCCATAGTCGCAAACAGTCACTGGCTCTCCCAACCGTCACGATCAACAAGTCTTTGTGCCCAGACCACGTATAGGCCACTCATGCATGTTTCTGAGAGGACCATGTTCACCCATAGAGTTATTGCAGATGCTAAATCTCGGTCCGTGCATCTGAATGGAGCAGGCAGTGAAATGTTCGAGTGTTGTACGTGTGTTGAGCGAAAACGGTCAGATTTTGACAGATTTTGAAGTCAGAAATATCATTGAAGCCCCAACCGTTTTACGTTGGCATTTATGGAAGCCAGTAGGTGGTGAAAGAGGTATTTTTGGTGATTCCTTGGAATTTTTGAGAACCGTTTCAACCTTACTAATAATAGTAACAAGTAGCATGACTAACTAGGCTCAGCATGATTGCTAGCTAAGCGACACGATTGATGACTGCCATTATTTGTGTAGCTGTTTGGCTGCGGTGGTTTGGGTTAATGATCCCGTTCTCCTTCATCACTGAATAAAACACATTAGCTGATGCAAATCGCTGTACTGGGATATCGTTTAAGTTTGCCCAGGCTCAAGTATTTAAAAGATAGGTCGAACATGTCGAAGTTATAACACTCGCCATCCACCAGCGACACCGGTACGTGTAACGTTACAACCCCCGAAAAACAACTTACTGTATGGGTGTGTTCATCTGCTTTTACAGTCAGGAACACGGCAGAAAGTACACAGGATAACCGTAAGATTCCTCTCCACATTTTGGATATACTACCTATAGATAAAACCTCGACATAGAATCGATGATGAACGATTAAAAATACGGTAATTTGCAGTACGAGTACGTATCTCACGAACGAGCTTCTGTCTATGACAAATATGGCTGCGCCACGTCATAAACGAGCATGTTGGATTGGTGGCGCTGTAATTGCAAGCGAGAGCCTGGCCGCGCGCAGAGCCGGCCCGGGCGGGGGAGAGGGGTGCAAGAGCCCCGCCCCCACCTCTCGGGCCATTGGCGTACCCAGGTCGGGTGGGGTGGGATTGGGTTATTTTTTTCAATTACTTTTCAAATTCTTTCATTCTTAAATGAATCCTCGGCCCTTAAAAAGGCAGTAGAAAGTACAGTGTTGGCTCTTTCAAGGTAACCTGTCTGTCCCCACTGCACCACTAACTTGGGCCGCTGAGTCGATGGCTAATTCTAACTGGGATTCTAAGGTTTGTAATCTTGCCTTGAGGTAGAAGAAAATGCATACAATCATTCAATATTCCCCGTTTATACAGTGCACACCCCGAGGAGCGAAATGGAGGAATAGACATAGCCGTCTCTATAACAATAAGTTGATTTGAAAATCGAGCACGCCACAAAAAAAAGATTAAATAACTCATGGCGCAAGGACAGTTTGTTTAACTGTAGGCCCTACCCCAGCTTCGACCCCCAACCTTAAAATTGGCACACTCTTCCTGAATCCCCAAACTCTTACGTGTGTAAAACCCAAAGCATATGTGTCCTTGAGAATCCAGGGAACACAAACTTCCATTAGAAAGTGTTTGTTGCTGGGCCCTCTCGGCCGTACAGTTACTTCGCCCATTTGCCACTTTGCCCATTTACCACTTCACCACGTGCCACCTCGCCCACACACGCCACTTTTCACACAGTATTTCGCTTATTTCACAAGTAAGTAGGCCTGTGATTAATCGACAAATCTCCACATCCTTTAGCGTGCAAGATTACGGATACAATAACCAATAAATCAAGCCTTAGACACAATAAACACATTTTCAAAAGCACTGTTTCTGTTACAACACTCCTAAGTTTACCAACAGCGTGCACTGAGACCTCGTGAAAAACAGAAGTACCTACATGCGTAAAGACGACTCTAATTCTTTAAACTAAGTCATTGAAATAAAATATCTTAGGATGTCGTCATCCAACTTTTATGATCCAGTGATAAATTAACGCAGGATATCATCATCCTACGATAAATTATCTCAGGATGTTGACATCTGATATATAGGATCTCAACGAGTCAGACGGCACTTCCAGAGCTCCGTAGAGTTGTACAAAAACTCGTAATGTATATGTACATGTATTTTACGTTGTCGCATCGCTGGATGGAGTGGTTCGGGCTCCTAGCCATTCTACGCTACGCCGCACCCGCTAAAGCTAAACTTTGCATCAGGTTACATCAAAGAAAGCCTCGACAGTTTCTCAATCAATCATATCTAAGTATTGTTATTTGATGTTTTCATCTTTTCTGCCGTTCAGGGTGGATTCAAGAGGGGTTGAGTATTTGTTCAAATGTGTCCGCCTCTCTTTTCAACTTTGACAAAGGTCGTGGGGGAAGTGGTGCGTGGGTAAAGTGGCACGCGGGCGAAGTGGTAATTGAGTGAAATGGCAAATGGGCAAAGTTGTAAATGGGCAAAGTGACCGACACCGCCCATGGAGTTTTTTGCCCCCGCCTTAGCCTACCCAATCCTGGCAATATTCTGTAATCCCTCCAGGTGGCTTTTAGAGGAAATCGGAGGTTTATGATAAATAAGCTGAGTAAAAGGCCACTTTCTGTCACGCAATATCACTAGATACATCTTCCTAATTAAAGAAAAAAAATGTTTAAATTAACGAAAAAATATTTTTTTGTAATTCCTGTTTGGCTTTTATTTAATTGGAGACTAACAAAAGCCCTATCTTTTGACATCCGTCTCTTCAAATTTTGACAATTGCCAAAAAGTAACAACCTCTCCAAGAATAAAAAACTTATTTTGTAAAACACAGTTTCATGCCACTGACTGCAATGTTTATTGCCATTAACACAACGACGCACAACTTTTCTCTTTTTTTTGAACAAGCTGTTACGACTTCACGGGAGGGAACACGCAAAAAAATCCGTAAATGGCACCCTTAGCATGTACATGTACGCCCATATGCCTTAATTGTTCACACTCTTTATTGCCATAACCAAAGTACATTTCACAGTGTTTGGGATTTTATCCAAATGTAAAATTCCACATTCATAAGCAAAACAGTGACACCATCTTCAGCACACTTCAGGTTTACAGCAACTTCACCACAAGAAGCGCGTAGCATTTTTTTCTACTTTTTTGGGGGGGAGGAGTCCGTAAAAGAAATTAAAGTAATTTTTGGAACGGAGAAAATTAACAAGTTTAGTCACTAAACTTTTATAAATGTACAAAGAGTTGTCTAAAATATCTGTCAATGGCCTTGCTCAAGAGAATCTTTGCTAAGCTGTAGAATCCTTGGAACACTGTCAGAAATACATATAAAATACACCAAACTGAATGAGAAAAGAATGAACACCACGGGAAACAAAATAGCTGTCCTCACGAAAGAACTTCCACGATTTCATGTGTCAAGATGAATGCAAACAGGTAGAATGCCAGATCTTGGCAGAACTGGTTTGCTAAGGAAAAGGCCAGTTGAATCTTCTGGATGGTGGCTTGGGGTATGTTGCTCATAACGGCTGCAAAGCTTAGAAGTTTCACTATAAGACCACTTGGCGGGTGCTGGGAGAAGAAAATTGGAAAAAAACTGTGCAGTAAAGCTCACTTTAGCTCACAAATCTGGCCACTGGTTTTAAGCAACTGTACAAAATACATTTTCATTGGTGACCCTATGTTTCTTTCCAGGTTTCAAAAGATAAGATTAATGAAATTAATGAGCTCACCCTTGAGTTTCTCGAGTCTGCACGAGTTCTACATGGCAGGCAGCACAATATTCAAATAAGGCAATTTATCATTCCTATAACTTGATATACAACATACAACACTTGTCACAATCTTGTGTCTGGTTCTACTTTGGGGCAAACATTTTGACGTCCTCCTGTCACATACACATGAGATGCAAGCATGTCTTTACAAAATGACATACTAGATTTTTCTGACCCTTCCCTAGGAAAACAAACGAGAGAAACTGTGACTCACCTGAGTCTGGGGACTCAGACAGAAGAACATGACTTGCAGTGCAATAAATGGAATGATTACCGACTGCAAAACAAGGAAATTGGAAACAGAGATGACACCTTGTCATTACCTGAGCAGCTGTACAACAACTGACAAAGTTGCAGGATCATTTCAGTTGATCATTATGACAAAGGTGAAGGTCCCTCGCTGAAATGCTTTGAAGAAATTTTATTTAGTCACACTGCGGCCATGAATAGACCGTTTCAGAAATAGCCAATGGGCCCAGTGGTGCATGCACAGGGTCAGGTTTTCATTAAGAGTAAGTCCTAACTTTGAATAATTTGCTTGAATATTTGTGATCGGATGCCACAAATGAGGCCATTTTTTTCGTTAGTTTTGTTTCAGTTTGCATTAGAAGGAGTAAACCGAGCCCTGTTTTGATATATCACTCAGTTCGGTAATGTAACGGAAATGCTAATTGATTGATAAATACAGGTCAATTAACCTAACTCTATTTCAGTTTAAAAAATCTTACCTGGCCAATGAAGCTTTGAAACCAATCGGTATTTAGTGAGAGGCGCAGCAGAATTGCTAGAAGGACTACACACATTTCTCTCACTGTCAAGAAGTGCCTAGTGTCAGCTGCAACAGAGGGATCGTGTGCATCTTGTCTAACTACATGTACAGGTGTCCCAGGTTGAGATGGCAATGGCGATGTAGCTGCCGCAGAACTCGGAATGTTGCCAAATGGAGGAATGGGTGGAGATCTATTTTGTAAAAGGCTATTTGGAATAGGCTTGCTGGGAGCGGGGTGTGGGGAATGTGCGACGGAAGTGCAGTTGTCGGGGTCTGAGTCTTCCACACTGGCAGTGGATTCTGGGCTGTGGTCACTCTCTTGAGGAAATTTCAGGTTTCTCTCCGAAGTCTCTTGACTAGCGGCAACTGACGCTGTGCTGGACACTGCCTCAGTGTCACCCTCATAGTCCATTTCAACTTCACCAAACATTTTTCTGACGCTTGCGCTGGTTGCTTCCTCGGTGGCGTGAAACTCTGGTATGTTGTTTGTCTGGTCACCTGACTCTGCTGTGGTTCTGTCAACATCTGTCTGATGAGGGCGACGTGCTTGTAAACATTCTGGTGGCAACGTAGAAGTTATGCTGTCGCCTTCCTTTGCACTCTCAGACTGTGCTTGGTTGACTGAGGCAATTGGTGTTGTTATGGCTGCCAACAACACTGAATCCTCCTTCGGTTCACCAGTGGCAAAATTCTCTGAAATTATCCGCATGTAATAGCCTAACTTCAGCAAATGTATTTAGTAATTTCAACACAACATTTATGGAATTCTTGAAGTAGGGCTGTGGTGGCGACAGAAAAGAGACAGATTATAAAAGAGAGCCACTACAGCCCTAAGTGTTGGGCTAGTCTAGGACTAGGACAGGACTTTTTTTACATAGGCCTAGGCCCTACTAGCCCCACAAGTGTGGCATGGACTCTCACTCCCGATCCATCCTTAGCCACACATCCATATACGCAATTTCGTGTCGACGTATTGAACATTTCGGCGCACCCACTTATCATCGTGGACGCAATTTCTTTTGCACATGAACATGATTCTTGACCTTTCCGCTTTCTAAAAACCATTTATTGAATGATTTCACTCACGTTATTCAGGTATTTTCCAGTCTTTTTGCCTTTATCCATTCAATTTCACGGGCTCGCTCTCACAGTCACCATCTTTAAAATAACGTCATTGAATATTACGTCACTTGACCCCTCATCGTCTCGACGGCTGTTCCATGTCAAGACATCTAAACTGCTGCCAAAATTTTGGAAGAGCCCACTGCCACTGGTACATGTAGTATCTTATCGACCAGTCCGTGTATTACATGTCTTGACATGGAACAGCCGTCGAGACGATGAGGGGTCAAGTGTCAGTGACATAACGTTCAACGACTTTATTGTGGGTGCGCCGAAATGTTCAATACGCCGACACGAAATTGCGTATAAGGATGTGTGGCTAAGGATGGATCGGGAGTGAGAGTCCGTGCCACACTAGTGGGGCTAAGGCTACCTACCAGTATACCACCTGGACGTCAGTCGTAAATGAAGACAACGCCCAACCTGGGCTGGTCACTTGTGTATCATTAAACATTTGATAGTCCCGTTCAGCCGACCCAAGTCTTACCTTGTTTTTTCTCATTCAACTGCTTAATTTTCTGCAGCCGTTCTTCTGAACTCTGCAACAGTTTTCTCCTCCTCGCCTCTCGTCTGACACTAATGTCGGCCATTTTGATCACATTAGCTGATTGAGGGCGCTATGATAAAAAAAATTTCTGACTCTCGCACGTCACCGACCGGCCGTCGACGTGTCATCCATCGTGGGGGCGCTGTTCATTTCTAGGCCCGCCACATAAAACGTTCAATCTAACAGAAAACACATAAATAAACTAAAAATATAAGAAAGCGATTAGAGGATAGGAAAAGCTATTGACTAACTTGAATTCAAATGAAAAATGATGCATGATGAAGACGTTATGTTGTTGCTATGGTTGTAGTTAGTGACAGAGGGGGGGGTGGAAGCCATATTGATATGAAACCCAGTCATACAAATAAGCAGGACAAATTTTTGCCTATTTAGGTGAAAAATTCTGTCATCAAGGTAAATTAAAAGTAATCAGCAGAGAAAGCTTAAAAAAAGACGACACACTTTATTCAAAGAAAATGATTCGTTGCAATGAGAGACAAAATAAAAAGTTTGATTTTAGTGACGTAACTTTTAATCACCTGGTTCAAAACGTGTTTACACTCCTTGTGCTGTATTTGTTAAAAAATAACCAAAGACTCATGTTCATACGCACTGATTTAAGGCATTACTCGTTGTGAACTATTTGTCAACTGTTATTCGGAAAACACTTTTCCGGGTCAAATATGACAAAGGTTCCTCCTTATGTTGACCCGAAAGTTTTCCTTTTTTACCCTAACAAGCCTTGATCGAGCAAACGCAGATTCAAATTCTGGTCATCTGACCGAGTGTTTGTGTGAGTTTGTTGTGTATGCAGTCGCGGCATACATAGTGTGGATCTCTGCATGAAAGAAGTCCACATAATGTAGGGTGTGATGACATTGTGTGGATTTGCACCCGTCCACACAATGCTTTCTCCTCTCTGAAAAACAGTTTCAGAGGCATTTTGGGGTCAAGGTTATCTGTGACAAAATGAAGAGGAACAGTCCAGGAAATTATCATCAAAAATCCAGCTCGAAGGAGTTATCCTAGTTGGAGAAAAAGGAGCATTTTCTTCAAGTTTCCTTCAATTAGCCACAGGAGAATAAAGGAATGTCCACACTTTGTATGTAAAACAGGTATGTGTGTGTAAAGATTAGGGAGATGAAACCTGGCGGCTGTTGAACTTAATAATTGTCCGTGGACTTAAACCCCCTGTATTGACTTCCAAATTCGCGTACATGTATCTCCATCTTTCATTGTTAGATAAATGAAGTCTGTCATCGCTTGTCACGGATCAGCATAGCCACAGGCGTCTGTCGTGCAAATAACATGCGCACTGCCATTTATAAAGTGATGCGAACCACGATGTTGGGCGCATTATTACATACATCGTTGTCCATCTTTATTTACATGTGATTGTCATATAGCTCCAATACACAATAAATCGGGAAGAGAAATGCATAAAAATGTAACTTAAACAGGTGTATGCTCGCACCTCTGAATAAAATATTCTTTTTTCCCAAACCAATTAACCTTGAACCCTCCTTTAATTCAATGAGCAATCTGCAAATCAATGACGAGGGGCGATTGCACTGTGCTCTTTCCTCTGCCCAAAGTCCCCTCTCTGCCCCTCAAGCATTCCACACGCCTACCTTCCTGACAAGATAAAAACTTGTTAACGCTGAAAGACTAACAAGTTGAAGGGCCGTGACCCCAAGGCATCGAAAATTTGATTGGATTTAAGCAGGGAGCGCGCAGATCGAACCTCGGGCTGGTCGACAGATTAAGTGCGTGTCCCCGCATACATCAGTCAACTGGGGTGCGCCACTTCAACGACTGGTTCTAAATCCATGACTTCACCAGTCTGAAGGTCAATTACAGAAAGGTCCTCCTTACTTTCCTTACAATATCGATCAAAGGAAAGTACAAAAATTGAATTATAATGCAGCATGTCGTGTGAAAGACCAACTGCAAAAACAGCGCTTTAGAACTGAGCACCGACATTTAAAGCTGGACTGATAACACTGGCTTAGCTCACACCAATATCGATTGTGGTAAGTCAAAATTACTTTCCATATGACACCAAATCTAAAAGGTTTCATAGATAAAGTGAAAGTCAGAGAATGACAAAGTTTTTAGTGTAAAATTATATTATGCTATAGTATTTTATGACATCGGCAACTATACCATTGACCATATGTGCCCAAGCTAGATTTAATTTCGATAAAACTGTGATAACACCACATCTGCCTCACACACATCAATTTCTATTAAAAGTTCAAAATAAGTCCCAAGACAAACAAGTGTTCTTGTGTTCAAACAACCCAAAATGAAACCTGCATTTCTTTTCCTGTTTTTTTTTTTAATAATCATAAAGCAAATAGCGTCAGCGGGAAGTACCCGCTTGTCGCTCTTTATTTTAATGTGAAATTACTATAACATGAAAGCAATCCTCTGGGTAGTTCGTAAAGACAGCATACAAAAGTCTTGCAGTTAAAGTAATAATGTAACCGGGACATGTAACAGAGACTGTCATTACAACTTACCACATGAATGAATTATCACCATAAACACGCGCGGGTTGTGCCAGGCCGAAATCATTATTGATATGGTGACTTATTAAATAAGAAAGTGATCCGTAAGGTCTGGAAAATATCCTCGTGTTCTTGAGTAAAATATACTTCGTGTCAAAAAAGTACATGTGTATTTTTACGTTCATTTTCATTTTTCTTCATTTGATTTTGTAATAGAAGTCAAGAAAAGTACACACAACATCAGGTGTGAAGGAAATGGGATTTAACAAGGACGTCTTGACGTCCGCAACCTGGTCCAGTGTGAACCTAACTGTCACATTTGAAGTGGTGTAACTGCCACCATGCTTTCAACCGGCATCATTTTAAAAACATTACTGAAAACTTGAACATAATTTATTCAGCGTCACGTATAAAAATATCCTGCACCGAGGTTGACCTGTGGAACGCCATCCAAATCCAATATTGAATACCTAGGTGCACACGCTCTTGTATAGTTTAGAGAGTCACTCATATCAAATTAGTTATCTATTGTTGAAAAATTGATTTTGTAAATAAAACCCAACTGTCACATAGCCAAACCACAGGTAAATTGTAAATTAGTAAATGTATGCAATATAAATAAGAATACATGCAGCAAGTTGGAGTGCAGATATATATTTTTTTTACCACAAACGGTACCCCTTTCATCTCAAGATTCGAGGAACCCATAGTGGAGTGATCTTTGAGGTGTGTTATTTCTTGGAACAATCATCGTTTTACACAACTTATCAACACGCTTGACTTCGACTAATTTAACTTCGATTTGATGCTCTGAACCCGTGGTCGCTACCCCGCTGGTCACATGATGGAGGGCCCCCCACGGCCGCCCTAGCAACAGCTTCGCTGTATTCTCTGGCACGCATGCGTAGGGCTGCCAAGCTGAGGGACCTCTTTTCTTGCGTTTCCAGCACAGCGAAAGATGACATAGGCGGAGACTTCAGACTGGTTGCAAGGCTGTAACTGCCATACATAAATGGATTGTAAGATCCTGTAAGCAGAAACAAGAATGTATCTTTTTAAAGGTGAATTTGCAGAAATCAACTCTGTTATACCAAGGTTGCTAAAGCTAACTAAGTTAGCCTATACCTTGTCATACAGATCTATTGTAAAAAGACTGGAAAACAATGAAACAGAAATGAGTCAAGATGATTCAAGGGACTTGAGGCTACAGAATTTCTTCCCATAACAGATTTTATTTAATAAGAGTGCTGATTATATCTAGAGATTAATTAGAAAGACACCAAGTGATATCAGTTTCGACTGCTCGTGTTTTCCTGGTGCTCAGCTGGGCAACGAAATTCTGTCTTCTGTCTTACTGTATATTTGTCATCTGATAGAAATAAGTGTTGATTTGAACGTAAATTGATAGAGAGGTTTCAAATAATCTCTTAGTCGTTCATATTTGTCACGCAAATGACACTTTGAAACAGTTTCCTTACTAGAAGACAAAGTTGGAGGTGAATTGTGGAAAATTAGTGCATTCTGTCTGTTGCTCTGTTACTTGAACATGTACACGCATAATGTATGTGTGGCCCATGGACATAGTCCATCCTTTGTATCCTGTCGGGCGTCTTCCACACTTTCCCTCGCACTGTGTTATCTTATGCGAGTTTTTATGGTTGAATGCTCCATTATTCACCTTTTCGTGCAGCATATGATATGAGTTGTGATGCGTAAGGCGTCGTCATTGAGGCAGGAAACGTGCAGAGACTTGGGTTGTATCTGAAACAAAACAATGACAATTTGTAGTATCATCTCTTACATTCCGAGCACCAATTCTCTCGTAAATTTGCCTAGTTATATCAGTTTTCTCATACCTCTCCAACCCTGGTGGGACAGGCCCCGCCCACAATACAGGGGCTTGTCCTTGTCGTAGAGATCCGGGCGACAAGGCCGCGGCCGCAATGCCGGACCTCGGCGCGACGACAGCCGGCGAGACGGCCGCGCGTGGACTTGTCGAAGTCCTCTCGGCGTTGATGTACTCCTCGGCTTCCGCACCGGTGGTGGACTCGGGCGAGTTGTCGGCCTCGGCCTTGGTCGAGTCGTCGGTGGAGTTGGAGTCGCTGGTGTGACCTCCGACCTTCTGCTCACTCTTCATTCGCTCTGCCTTTCGCCATTTTGCTCTTCGGTTCTGAAACCAGACCTGGTAAATCCAGAGACAAAAATAAAATTTAACTGTGACAAGCATGAAACTGAAAAAAAAAAGCATATAAATATGCACGGCAGCCATTTCAAAAACTTCCGTGTCTCGAGTTGGAGCACGTGGCTTCAGCAAGAGCCGATCTAGGACCAATTATGTTTTTGGGTCAAAAAACGATTGATTTCTGGTGTGAGACTACATTGAAAATTTTCTACACCCTGCACTTTGGGGGGAGAGGGAAACGAAAATGAATAATCCCCCGAAATTGGCCTTTTCACCCAATTGAAAAAAAAAGGAAATTAAAAACTGCTAGAGTGACATATTGCTGCTTCCATCCACAAGAACCGCCGCTGCAGTGGGCTTTGGAAAAACTACACCTGAATTGTGAAACAGGAGACAATTCTCATTGTTTTGTACATAATTCGACGTCCATTTTTCACTTTGGTTTGTAACAAATCCCTCCATGCGGAAACCCATAAAAATCACCACGTGGGAAAAAGAAAGAGGGACAAACTGCCACAAAAATCTTTCCAACTGAAAAAAAGTGGCAACTGTTCTAAGCAGGGACCAGATGCTTTGAACACGTGACGATTTTACTTTGCTGGCCTTAAACCAATAAACTCTGACCCGTAACGTAACGACTCTCTCCTCCCCGTATATATGATACGGCGCTCAGCCTGTCACCGCACGCTGCCGCTGAAGCCGACAGTGCGGAGGAAACCAGAATGAGACTTTAATGGGATCACGTCCAATTAAGGTATTATTTTTCAGTGCGCGGTATTCATAGCATCTCGGCGGTCGGGTTTCATACAAGGTTTGGACATTAATTACCTTGGGGTTTTGACGCTGGGGGCGATAGGCGATGAGTTAACAGATTCATAAGGACCAAGGACGGGGTAGTGAATGGGGAAGGGACGAGAGAGATGCAGCCCACTGTCGACCAGAGGGAGCCGGCTGGAGCGATGCGAGAAACGGAAAACCGCGTCGTGGGCGCTGGGCCGTGAGATTAGCAAAACCTGCCACGCAGAGACAATGCATATGCAAGCCCTGTACAAACCAAACGCCAGTTTTCGATCGACTTGGTCATGTGAAAAAAAAATCATATACTAATCGGTCTTCTTCATTGCATTTTATTCTGTAGTGTTTACCGTACGCCTTGTATTCTCTCAGTAACCAAAAAATGCCAATTCCGAACGTAAAGTCCAATAGATTAGGTACGGGGTAACATTTATCCGAAATAAAGGTAAAAAAAAAAATAACAATACCAATAAATAATAAAATACACAAAAATCAAAGAAAGGGAAAAGGGCAAAATTTTTTCTTACAGTGGCACGTGGGGAAGGGGAATTCTACGGGCTTGAGCCCACCAAGAGATTTTCAATCATTTATCATCTTTTTTAATTTTCGGAAAACCTGAGATACAATAATACGCCAACATCTTGAATTACTTGCTTCGATATAGCCCAACATCCCAGTCCCAGGAACATCCTTTTTTTAAAAAACTGACCGTCGGAGGACAATCAGCTTCCCATTGGTAGTGTTTTTATCATAAAATATACTGGTTCCTCAAATACTATTTTGAAATCCCTTTGCCACATAATTATAAAGACATTATTAGTGTTACTTCAGCGCCTAGGTAGCCTACGGGTAAGCACTATTTAGTCATTTTACAAATTTTTGGTTTTTTTTTTTACATTAGGGCCTAATCAAAGCTACACCGAAACAAACCAAACCAGTGACGTTGCATGTGAGGTATATTTACTCTCAGTTTGGGGGGGGACGGGGCGCAACACCAATTTTCCTAGTTCTGTCCTACGGCACAGAACCTCAAATCACGTTAGGACATTATAATTAGAAGATCTGTCGCCCGCGTGTGAGCGTCGTTGGCACATGGACAAGGTCCCGGCCACCGTATGTAACACACAACAGCACAGGGAGCGGGATTTGCATGGCACAGCCGTCCAAGGTAACAAAGCGCTTCGGAGACCCGTAATCGAATTGACTCGTTTCCTTATCATGTTATAGGGGAAAAACTCAATTATATTATTACAGAGCGCGCACCTGTGCCGAGATTCGAGACCCGTAGACGCACGGGGTGAGACGAAGCTCGAGCGAACTCCATCCTCAAACTGAGCGTGTGTATGTATGAGGGGGGGGGGAGGTCCTTCGGGAAGAAGAGGGGACACTGATCAGTGAGCAGAGGTACCACCCAGGGATGTCGGTGGGGGATGGTTTACACCTTCCTGTACAGGTGTCGCAGAACTTTGCATCACCTTTTTCTTTTTTGGGGGTAGAGGGGTACATAGAGTAGCGGCAATTTCGTACTTGATTAATTGATGTCCGTGAGTCTAATTGGAATGTGGGTGACAGAATCCGGTCGATGTGCAGAACTTTGGGTTAATGAAAAAGTTGCTCACTATCTTCAGGTCTGCTGGAGATCATTTGAAAATTGTGCGTCTGTCAGTATATTCGTATTTTTGCAAGGCTTTGGTTTTTACACAGTTAAGTAGAGTTTTTTAAAAATCACATCGATCTATAATGTGATTTACGTTGCATAACATTAGTTTCGGAGAGGATTTTGGTAATCTGTAATGATGACAAACTTGAAAAAATGGCATTCCCAAGGAAAAAAATCCCCAAATTTTCTTTCAACATGATGTTATTAGAGAACGTCGATGTAGTTACTATGCTATCGTATCTGTGCATAACTTATTAACTTAAAATTCTTGTAAACTCAATAAAGCAGGTGCATATGAATTCAAAGTCTATTGGGTTGGAGTTTACAAGTTAATGGTGCACACACATATGCAGGAATTGGTATCAGCAAATATTTGGGCACATACACCTGCGTAATTAACGCAGTCAACTAGCCCAAAAGCGCTATGGTCGTAAGCCCATAAATAGGTCCAAAATTGGCTGCGCGGACTGTCTAATTCTCTGCTATTAGAGCATTTTGTGGCACGTCTATAGGGTGGTTTATTCAGAAGGAAGATGGAATCTAGGGACAGGACTGCCAGCTTCTATTTCTGAAAGAATTGGACCAAACAGGGCCCTCCAAATCGCTTTATTTTGCAATTGAGTGTAGGTATCAATTTTCAAAATGGCGATTGGCCTCGACTGTTGTGAGGGGTGATTTTTCTCTGGTGAGAAAAAGCCCCAAAAGTCATCGGTTAGGCCACTGAAAATTGAAAGGAAAATAATAGATGGGGAAGTGAGCTTCAATTTGATATGTGCCTTGAACACCTGAGAAACCTTTGAGTGTTTTTCTGATTTTTTTAAAGGGGTTATATTTGTCACTGTCGTCTATGGCAGTTTCTTTACTTGTCTGTACCCTACGTGCTGGTGACGTATCACTGTGTTTACCGCAGTGCATGATGGGATAGGATGGGGGTCGTCATATGCCACGAATAGGAAACCTAAACAGCTCACATAAAAATTACATTTGATCATAAGAGAGGGAAGGCACAATCTTACCGTTTGCAGTTGTGAAGGATAATTTCACTGGAAGATTTAAAACGATGGGTACACAAAACAAACTTTTTTTTACCTATATGCATGGTTATAATAGGAGTGTATATATACCCATGATCTTTATTCTGTCCCACCAACGCACTGCGGTAAACACCGTGAAGCGCCATAAGTACTGAGGGCTATTGAATCAACTCCAGCCAATAAGAATTTCCTAATTTAGACAATGTATCAATAAGTTTCAGAAAGTTTGCATTAAAAACAAAGAATGGTAGTCCCTGATAAAACTTTATACACCCTTCCAAAATGAAGTAATTCGCAGAAAACACCCCCCCCCCAATTTTCAGTCTCAAACAACGAATTTAAGGGTCCGTCGATCTTTGTTATGGGAGGGAGGGAGAACCATTAAAGATGTTCAAGAAAAACGAGGCGGTCTAATCGGCAGGGAAAATAATGCAGCTGCTTCTCTGTTCATTGCATTTTGGCAGCATCCAAGCAGTGAATCGGCGCTCACCCCGCGTCACGACACGCAACCACGCCGGGCTCTGGGGACCACGGCCCCGTCACCTCCCACGCGCAATCACGGCAGATGGTGTAACACCTCCCCTCAGAACCCCGCCATTTGTCCGCCGAGTAGCGGCGATTTACGGGAGCCTCAAATTAGGAAAATTTGGGAAGGAGTGTAAAAAAAAAAAAGATATCTGAATTGAGTTACAGTCGTGAGTCACGGATGATGGCGCTCTCGTTTCCAAAGCCTTTTAAAATTCATGGCATCACGCATGTACATTGTTTAATGTTTTGTAGCTTTCAGCCAACCCTAAACTGAGTTTACAAGGTTGTCAAAAATAACGTAATTAGTTAAAGTCCACACCAACAAAACCATGAATCATAAATAGTTCAATTTCACACATTAAACTGTAACAAATGTAATAACATTAAGTTTCAACGAAATTATATATCGAGTCTCAAAATGGCTCAGCAATGATTGTATAACATTTAGGTATCATCTCTTTTGCGCATGTCTGGTGCATTATGTCTCATAGTCTTATTAGGTAAGTACATACATGTAGGTAAGTGCAATGGATCCATTCGTGAACAACTGGCATCCTGTCCTACAAGAACTATTCACTGAGAACGTCATTGTGTGATCTGGGTATGTCGACCTTAATTAAGGCTGTTCCAATGCTGGAATTCTTAATGTTGCTTTAAAAACAGAACATGTGAATACCTTTCGCATTGGCGAGTCAAAATGTTATCATTAGAAAGTGAACAGCTTTGAACTCGTGTAGTAATTTCTTTTATTATGGTGAACTGTGAACAGCTTTGAAATACCTGTTTTGAACTGCAATGAAGCTAAGTTTTCTGTCACGTCTTGAGTTTGCAATTTAGAGCGAAGCATTGGGGTACGTTTTTAGTTCCCTAAAGGTAGGCCGTGAAGTGACAGCAGTAAGATGATAAATCACACAAAAATTGACTGGTTATTGCATTGCTCATATAAAAGCAACTTACATAACTCCTAAGATTTCACACATTGACTGGACAGACCGGCAGTTACCTCACCTGAACTCTGGCCTCGGTCAAGTTGATCCTCATGGCCAGGTCCTCCCGTGTGAACACATCCGGGTAATGCGTCTTGGCGAAGGCGGTCTCTAGTTCTTCGAGCTGGTAAAGAAACAGCGAGTCAGTGCGATTTAGGCCGTGTCCGGAACAGGCTTCCTTTTTTCGCGTAATTTTTGTTCCAGCTTTTTCTGATTTTAAATTTTGTTTTTTATTATACGTGAAATTTGACCAAGATATAGCAAACTACTTCAAAATAAGCAGATACAAATCAAATACAGGTTAAAAAAAGGGGGGAAACTAAGATGAAATTAAAATTATAGATATGACTGACATGGGTTTCTGTTTGGAAGGAACCGAATTAATCTGTCTATTTAGTTTACCTGTTGCAAGGTGAATGTTGTTCGGTTTCGTCGTTGCTTTCTTCGGGCAAACCCATCGTCGGCGTCACTTACGTATGATAAATCTCCATCTAAACAAAACAAATACTCAGAAGTTGTATTTTCTGATCAAACATTTTGTTTCAAATATTCTAAAACCAACACTAAAAAACACCATGACCACAAATATGGCGGAAAAACCCACTGCCATTGGCTACACCACGTTTAATGACTTCATAGTACAGCGCAACTGAGCAATATGTATGAAATTTGCGCTTAATTAATGAATAAATTATTATTCATTAAAATGAATTTGCTGTAAAAGAGATCAATAATATTATTCCACACATAGACTCGCATGTGGCAGCCACCTGCTGCATAACTTCACATGAGGGCGCCGACACTGAACACGTGCATGCCCACGCGGCAAGAACTACTTTAAAACTTTTTCAAGGGAAACGAAAACTTCAACGCGAACCCCCCCCAAAAAAAAAACCGCCCGAGGCTTCTCTGACTAGACATTTCAATACTTCCCTGATAAAAAAATCCAGACCTGACAAATATTGTTCCATCTAACTCGATTATATACCCCACTCACTTCAGAATACCTTTTAAGCTATTAAAAGCGATCTTCGTGACTGGGACATTTCATAATTCGTGTCCCCTGTGGCACGCGCACTTCTTGATTCACCTACTTTAAAGTGTATACTATATCCCCCCAATTCTCTCCACTGCCATGTTTTTTTTAAATTGGGCGCATATCCCCAGCCGCAGCGTGCCGTTTATTGTTGAGTAAATGTTGCCGAGATTTCCCCCTCTTCATGTGGATGTTGTTTGCACAGGGAGGCTGCGGAGAAAAGCCATCGTTTTAAATCGAATTAGGAAACTAGATCCCATTAGACCCGAAGTAATTTTATTGACATGCCACAAAGATGTCGCACTCACGATTTTCTCTCCGTAATTAGGGCAAGCGAATTAAACTCGGTTGAGCATAGATCGAGCGACCAGCCATGTTGTCAACCGAATCATCCTCAGTTTTGTTTTGTTTTGTGTTTTTTCGGGAATTTCCTTCCTGAAAATTTTCGCCGACTGTGGAGCAAGTTGTTATGCGAATGCTAGTAATGTGTGGGAGCGTTATAATAATTGGCTTGAATTTCGGGGTGGATTTGTGAATTCGGGTGTCACGCGTGCAATGGAAGATACTGCAGGTCCCCTCAGCAGGTGGGGACCGGATTGCTTCCTTGTTGAGTGGTCCCACTCGTTGGTTTTCCCTAATAGCAAAGAACGGACTGATAAATGTACGGAAAGCAATCTTCCTATTACTTGTTATAAATAAAAACTAAAAATTACGGGGACAAGATGAGTTTCCGTGCGTCGATCAGTTTATCTGGAGAATCTCTGTTTTTAGGGTCAAGAGCACCATTAAGTTTGTCGACATCTAACGGACTAAGAGACAACGGGGACCATGCACGTCTAATCACGTGAAAATGCTTATCTTCTTAAGTTTTATTTTCTGCGGGTTTAGGATTATTTGTAGGAAAGGAGGTTGCCAGTGTTAAGCTACTTAGTACTACTTAAAAAGTTATACTACGCTTTTCGCAGTTGTTCGGAGCTAAATCAGCGGGCCACAAAGACAAACGCATAAACGAAACGGGAAACATCAACAGCGCGTGAAATCAACTCGTATAAAATGCAGTGTTTGTGATTAGATAATATCTTTGAGATCCGCGTATTCCAGAAACATTTTTTTTCATCTCAGATTGTTAAAACAACTCGTTCATTTCCAAAAACAAAATAAAACGGCTTCTTAAACGAACGTCATCATAATGTTTGCTTTTCCATCTTCGCGAAGCAAAATTAATGCAAGGATCCAGTCAAACGTGAGAAAGCAAAACGCAATGACGTTACTGAGGATAATTCAATAGAGGGCAACTTCGTGTACATGTCTGTGGTTGCCATAGCAATGCGACAATGTTGTATTCTATCACTTATTTAGGCATCAGTTGGTTGGGCGTTGCGCATTATGCCTGTAACCATTGTGTCTTCCTCTGGGAATTTTTCTAAACGACTGATTTGAATATTGCTGGTTGCCAACGGAAAAATTCTAGTGCATTACTCAATGATCATGACCTTTCGATAGGCGTCGTTTTTTTTTTTGAAATGTCTATTACCACCAAAACGAGGCAAAAGATTTGCTTGAAATCATTTAGAACCTGAGTTACAACCAAATTAAAAAAGCCTGATGTTTCGAAGAATTTACATTCTACACGTCATTTTGTATTATGGCACCGATCTTCCTGCTCGAAAGCCTTTTCCTACGAATGAATGCTCAATCCTCCAAATTATATCAACAAATCAGTTTTGAGCTATAGCTTCACCGGTCTCTGGTCTAAATTTTCCTGCAAGTTATCAGTGTGATTATGAAGGTCCGTGACGTTTAATAGTGCATTAAAGCCGAAATACGATAGACAGAGCAATCACTGTACGTATTTCACTGTCCAACATTCACAATGTACAAAACACGAGATGCACAGTGCCCACATGACGTTTATTACCAGCGTTTGGATGCTTCATGAACTTTATAGTATTCCCACTTCCACCACCCTTTTTAAAATTTTTATCTCAATTTTAATTTCATATTCATGTAAGACTGTACGCAATGGTGAATAACACATACGGGACCCCTCATTTATTTAGCGTTAGAAAACAGAAAAGAAGTAAGATTTAACGTAATCACGAACATTAGCTTTGAATACCGACCAATGTTCGAGTGCTACATGCATGCAGAAGTGCTTTGACAAAACGAGACAGAGTTTTATACGCACTCGTGATTGGTGTTTCCACAGAGTCAAATAAAGGGATACCGACACATCATCCTGATGACTGAAGTGAGAGCTTGGAAAATGGAAATGAGGCTAGCCACATCCAAGAGTGGATTCGACATCAAATTTTAGGGGGCGGGGGATTTCTTTCGAGTAGGGAGCACAACGTGTTTGCAATTTGTAATGTATGCCTTTTACAGAGAGATGAGGCTTTTACAAACTTTTTACACGCTTTTGAAAGAAGATACAAATGAAATAGTCCCAAAATTGCAATTCTCTCATCAGATTGATACAAATTTTCCTTTTTGGGGTGGGCCCCCGTTGACCCCATAGACCAGCCGATGGCTACACTTACGCCTACTTCAAGAGCAGACGAGAGGGAAGCATTGTTTTTTCCCGCGTCAGTCAAGCATCGTGTATCTGCGGCGCGCATGCGTTATACACGAAACAGATCACCTAACATTCGTCACACACGTTGGACGCGTTGGTGATTCTCCCGTTCCTATTTTTCATCGTTCCAACAGCCGACCCCTATTCGTAACCAGACGCCTTCCCCCTCAGCTATCAGCCGACTTGTGAATGTAATTGCAAATTTGTATATAAATAACCTATTTTTCACTTTGAATGTGTCTGATAAATTAGATCAGAAGGTGGAAGTACAACGTCAGGATATACTGAAGGCTGTTCTTTTGCCAGGGGTGTGAAAGAAGTCTCTTAACGCAGGGGTTAACACAATCCAATGATAATTGGCGCCGAAAGAGGTCCCCCTGTAATGGCTTTTAAAGGAAACTGAAATAAATGTGAGGAGCAAAGGCAAAAGTGCCGAAGCTCAGTAAAAACTAGTTTAAAGTATTTATCGGATAAAAGGTTGAAACCAAATTTTATCCATTAAAAATGTCATTCTAGCTGCGCATTGGTGAGTTAATGACCCGCCACACTTTGGCTGTGGTTTGGTAAGTAGGTTGGGTCTTTCTTGTCCAGTTATGATGCCAGGAAGTCGGTTTCCCTGATCCACCCCCTACTGGTTGTGGTTTGGTGAGTTCCCGCGACCTTTAACCCTAAAACGGCCGGGTTATTTCGGCTGTGCCTTGCTCAATTTTTTGGACACTTGGCATGCGTGTAAAGACACTCGTTTTCATTACAAGTGTGAAGTTTTAACTCAATCAAACGTATACTTTTGTCATTTAAGGTTCAAGCCTACATGCGCGCCAGCCCGCGTGCACCGAGCACATCAATGATAAAAGTAAATATACATTATTTGGCTGAAACGTCTCGGAAAAATGCACGTTGCGCAAGAACGGTACATCAGATTTTCACCAAACTGGTGTCAAAAGGACTTCAAAGAGTTACTCTGTAAACTCCTTAAGGCATAAGGTTTAAATTTCAAAAAAGGACCAAATCAGAGCGAACAAACAAACCTCCCACAGCCACGCCCGCCGAATGGCTGCATATTCGTCAAAGGTGTATCTGCATGGGTGAAATTCGTTTCACGCATTTGTGGCAAAAGAGTTCCAACTGATTGTGCGTTCATGCTTCTCTACCATCGTGATTTGCGGATTTAGCAACATTGGCCGAAGCGCCGTCAAATTTCGTCCGCTAATTGCGAGAGATTATTGGGGCGTCGTCGGCTCTCCGACACAGCCTCGATCGAAAGACAGTACACAGTCGAGGGAAAAAAAGGGGGGAAATCCACCACTCAGGCGTGAAGACAAAAATTACACCCCCATCTACCCTCCCATTTAGCATCTTCCTCCTGAGTGAACAAGCCGAACCTCATCAGCCTACTGCGTCCAGTGCGCACGATTTGAAGTTTGGCGAAATATAATGGAGTTACCTCAAACAACACAAAAGGCTCTCCATCGTCAAATTGAATTTAGCAGGAAAACTGTAATAGCGTTACATCATAAGAACGATTCCGACTCATTATAATTGTATTGACAGAGCGCTAAATATTTCAAAAGCTCCCGTTAAGCGCATCCCCTGTAATTGCATTAGGGGGGAAAATTGCTGCCGACGTAATTTAGTAATTGTATTATTCATAACCCATGAGTTGGGCGATGGCTTGATGCAAGGGAACGACGTACGGGGAAAGCTAACTTGATTAGGGGGCTTGCTGGGCTGCAGGACCAAGGGTCCCACGGGGGAGAAACTCGGGGCTTCCTGCTCCCCGCAGCTTACACGCGCAAGAGGAGAAGACTGAAGCATGGCGACATAAAGAAACGGCCAGATTCGTAAGCTGCTAGAGGATGCTAGAGGAGAGATCCTTCGAGATAAGACAGTCGAAGGTGAAGAGTGCATCCAAAATGTGACCACAATTAGCCAGATGCATGCTGTTAGGCATTCGAATAAAAGAGACAGCTGTATGGACTTGAAACCAGAAATAAGATGGGAATTGGAGAAGCTAAACATATAGCGTATAAATAGGAGGAAGGGTCCTGACACAACGGCATCTAAGAGGAAAGAGTTAAATACAAGATTAAAAGAAGAAATCCACAAACACAAACAAATATGGTACCAGACCTCTGTTGTGTAATACCTAGCCGTTAGTATGAGCAGCAAAAGTCTGCAGAAATATCAACAAGGAGAGGTGACGCCAGGTTTTGTCTCGAAATGTACTTTTGCCCTAAAGGGTTGTATCTTCGATCAGCATTTAGCCAGGTAGTATTTATTGTTTGGTTTTAAGTCAGAATATGGAGATAGCTCGAGCAATTTTCTTGATTTCATGCCTGAAATGTATAGAAAATAAATCAGGTGGAAAAATTTCGATTTAATATTAATTAAGGGTTACCCTTGACCCGACAAAGAAGTTGTGTCCACATTTACCAGCGGTAATCTTACACTGAATGAATTGTTCTGTTTTGTTATCTTGAGTGATTTTTATGGACAAAAATTCAGTTTAAATCAGGCGATGGTCGGGACTCATTATAGGCACGGGCATTCGGCGCGAGTAAAAACTAGCTTCAAGGCTGGTCTAATTGGAAGCAAGGTGCATCGCATGCGACTCTAATTATCTCAACACATCATGTGTTGATGGCATGAGCGTCTTAATACCAACAATGAAGCACTCATTACCTTTTTTTTTCTTTTTGCAAAAACTCAATTGGCTGGGAATGGCCGCCTGTAGATAGAAGCTAGAGATTTAGTCGGGATAATGAAGCTTCATTACCGAGGCGTGTCCAGGTGCTACGAACGGTACCGTACGAACGCGTGCCTCCATCCTTAGACTTGTGAACAAGTCGTTAGCATTTTAAGATTTCAAAATTTGGATCAACGCATTTCTTAAAGAGGCTGTGGTGAATTTCTTGATGCGTAAAAGGAAATTTACTTCCTCTTCGAAGTGAAAAGTATCCTTGCCTTGTGATCCAGACAAAAACGTATTTATTGATTACACACTTTATTTTTAACTGTCTGTTTTTATCAGTTTTCTGCACAATTGAAACAAATGAAAAAAAATGGCTTCAATTAACTGAAAGTTGACCATTCGATCACTATACTTGCCAGAGTTAGGTCTCTAAATGGTAATGTGCATGCAAAAATCACAGACTGGTCTTCCGACATGATACCATTGTTGAATAACCAACGGGCCGTGGCCAGAGACTGCCATGTGAACGTATATATCAATGCATGAATGGAGTCCATGATGACTGGCTGCATTCTCTCTTTGTGGCTGCTGTTCGCTATGATGATATGATTATGACTATAGCATGCCTTGGTCCAGTTTGAACTATACTGGTCCCAACTATCTTTTCAGCTTCGCTCACTATACATTCCCAGGTTTAACGTTATCATGTAGGTGTTGGAGTGTGTGCAGCCTATCACTGAAACATCCCTCCCATCTTGTCGCTCCATCGAAGATTCCATGTAACGAGCGGAGACATGATCTAGTCATGATTCCAGCAATTCAGCCCCCCCCCCCTAATTTTTCTTCATTCGTTTTCAGTTTGGAATCTCATCGTCCGGCTGAGTAGATGTATTGCCTACGGAAATACATCGTATTATACAACTCTTTCCCGGTGAAGTGCCCGTGTCGTCGCTTCAACCCTTTATAGTCACCGTGAGGGACATTTGCGGATCGGGGGGGAGGGGCAACAGGGGTCATGCTTCCCCAGGGTGGCATTTTTGATTTATGAAATAAGAGAAAAAGGCGATTACAAAAAACCTATTCCAATTCACCCCCAAAGTGTGGTTCTGAAGACAATCGTGTTCTTCATTTGTGACCGTTTCCAACTCTTCACAGTTTCTTGTTCCTTTTTTTTCTTGCTGTGCCTCGCCCTCCGCTTCTCAGGAGTGTTGTCGGTTTTGAGCGGACCCGCCCCGTGCACCTGCTTCTTTCCAAATTGTCGGGGTACTGTTTGATAGTCGCATCGTATGACCACACCGAAAGGTCGTGGGTAATATGGCTACTTCAGGGACATTTTAAAATTTGACGGATTGATATTCTGGGGAAAGAATAACAGGATGAAATGGAAATATTCTTTGCACTAAAATATGTTCTCCAAGCGATTCGTTCTTGCACCCCCCCATTTTTCCAACTGAAGATTTTTTTATGAAGTTAACCACTGCTGTGCCGAGCCGTGATCTCAAACTGCTCCAAATTAACTTTTGTTTTGTTAACAAATTGAGTTGCGAACTCGCCATTGCCACTTGTGAGTTTAAGGAACCTTTTACACTTCAACCTCAATAACTGTCCACCTCCATCGGAGTCCTAAAGTAGATGATTACATTAAAACAAAGAGTCCATTTTCTTCTCTCCAAGGTCAGAATAAAAGGACCCGAGAAGAGGCCTCAAGACCCACTTTGGAAGCTACTTCGCATTTTCTTTTTTATGTTAGTTTCCCGTCTTTCCCCGGTCTGTTCCAAAAACTATACTGAATGCAAATCATACCAAGGGCGATGTAAACACTGAAAGAATTCACTGATCTGAACAAACTCGGAACGGTAATGAGTCCATGAGTCTTGAAAAGGGGAAAACTTGCCCTGTACTGCACAAATGCACCAGTGTCTCATCTATCCATGATGAATTTAAAATTCCTCCATCTTATAGGAAAGTTAAAGGCAAACGCAGAATGCGGAACTTGAAAAAATAATACTTACAAGAGCAACCGGATTCTTCACAAGTTCCCGACGAGACATTGAGCTGTGAAGCCGGCGCGTGAATTGACGAACACTGGTAACAATACATCGTTGCTAGGCACTTTTTTCAACGTCTTCGGCGGTGGCAGCGTGTTTGGACAGAGAAGTGTTAAGGATGAGAAATACTTAACGTCGATTGAACGGGAGCCAGTACTTAGATCACCAATCCTCTTCGAAGACTGAGCAACCACTCTTCTGCGACGTGGTTTAAGGTGTACACCGCACTCAAACTGTCGTCTTGACTGCTCTCTATCAATTGGCACTGATGAAAGGATGAAGTTCGAAGATCCTTGTATCCTAATAGTCAGTTCTCTGTTGTGGTTTCTTTCCATGGACCACTGGGTTGAAAAGCGAGGTAGTGTGTGATTTTAAGTCCAAACGATCGTGTACCGTGTACCGTGTACCGACTCTGTCATTCAGCAGCAAGTACCTCACGTTTACCGCACGTTTCTTGGTGTTGCCAGTCCAAAGAAATAAATACTCAGTTACTTGTATAATTCAAACGGCTCTCATGCCCCCACACAAACTGTCCAGAAGCCACTGTTGTCCGCGGGCAATCTGCTCCAAGATGACCATGCAGCACTCGAGGAGTCTAGAGCAAACATGAATGATCGCTTCCGCGCGGCGTGACATCAACCTCTCGTCTGTAGTGGCGAAGTCAGCGAGATACAGGATGAAGGCTTGGACCCTTCCGTGATGGCCAGTCGTGTTTGTGCGGTGTGGCTCGTACCCGTCAGCTCCCGCTATAGTCGCTTCACTCGCGCTGCCAACAGTGCCGATGTTATTCCAGGCAAGTAAATGGGAAAAATGAAAATGCCGTGCTGCTCAATTAGATTACATCAGCCTGAACAGCGCGCCGTAATTACGCTGCGTGCGTAAAATGACAAAGAACATCTCACCACTAGAAAGTACCGCCGCCGACTCTGTAATTGAGAGAAAGGATAAAAAAGAAAAGAGGAACGAAGAGACCTAGATGAATATAATAAAATTACTTCATTCTTTATGTCTGGGGCAGCAGCTACAATGGAAAATGATGACTAAATTTGATTTCTTTCTCCAATATTTGATAATTGTTGGGTTCGTATAATTTGATTATTTTGGTCTCATATATAAAAAGTGAAAAACTAAGCATATTTATTCAAGTTTAGTGCCTGCATATCATTAAATTCGAATTCGAGTCTGCTCAAAACACGAACGTGGGGTGTCGTTATTGTGACTTCTGTGTCGCTTTGGTTCTGATTTTCAGGTGCGAATCCACCATAATGAAGCACTAAATTTGTCGACCACTTCATTTGTTCATCGCGGAAAAAAAATCCCTTAAAACATTGCTAAAATATTTTAACATGTCAGTGATACATTCTTTGAGTAGTAACATAAAATGCACTATAGGGGTACATTGTTGAATATTCCTGATGATGAGCAAGAATAGAGATAAAGACGGCCTGAAAAACAAAGCCACGCTGTGTTTTTCACACATTTGAACTTAATAGGGAGTTTCGACAAACTAACACGATGTCAATGGGTGTAATTACTATGCAGAACAGTACAATGTAGTTGAATTTCCCCACCGTCCTCGGTTCCGAGAAGTCAACTAATCAAGTACACGCAACGGCCGCCAATGCCATACCCCCTCCGGCCTGGCAAGTTGCCGCCCCTTCACATCCAATTCGCGCGTACATTACTTTTGGTCTGGCCTTAATTTCATTCCGTGTTTCCTTCCTGCTTTCGCTGGGGGGGATCGGGCGACGCGAACAGGTTCTGACAGCGTCTCACCTCGTTCTCATTTTCGCTCTTCACTCGCATCCTCCTTTTACCTCTACCCGTTTTGTATGCGATCTCTGGGCTACTTCCTCGCGCCTTTTTTTGAACTCCCCGAACGGTTCAAATCGTCATTTCTAGTCAGGCCTCAAAATGATCCAAATTACTTGAAATTGTCAGGAAATGTTTGCTTATACAATAATGACATTAAAGTAACAATAAAAAACAACAATAAAACACACTGGTTGTTAACCTTTTCTGCATGTGATAAACTTTCTCGGGTCAAGCAAAACTGTACAAGGCGTGGTTTCTAAAAGTGAACCTAAAAAGCCCATTAAAGGTTCTGTCGTAAGCTTTATGATACCACTTCTCTTTGTTCACGATATCTGCTGTTTTATCCTTTCAAGTTCTATCGTTCAAAAGGCTCGCGTACGCGGCATTTTCCTTAGTGCGTTTCCAATTTCTGATTTTCATTTACCGAACGGTCTGATGTTATTAGGCTACATTTGATAACTTTGATGGCTCTCTTTTCCCCCATCACGAAATGTCAAGGTTTTCATTTGATTCCCGCATCCAAATTTCGAACATGCGAATCACTCAAGCGAAACATGTCTGGCACACTTGATAATTAAAAAACTATTCTTTGACAACACATTTTAAAATTAACACAACTTGTTCACCTCTTATTTTCGTCTATAAACACCTCTTCATTTACCAATAGTAAATTTATTATTTCTCTTAAAAGCTATAATGAAGTTGGACTGCGTAAACAGCATCGACGGCTTGATTAAGATATTGATCACGACAATCAGAACGCATTGTCGAGTTAGAGCCTCGGTGTCGTACCATTACCGCCGATCGATTTTCCTTTTTTCCCCACTTACAGCCAGCTATATTTTTGATGTCCACTCTCCATGACACATCACTGCTGTCGGTTACAGCTTCTGGGGCAACCACACGCGTTTGTTTTTGGACGGGCTGAAAATACAAATAATTTGATTGCCGACAATTTAAAAAAAATACAAAAAAAGAAAATTGACATCTGTGCTCACCGAACCAAACAAAGTACTCGTAGTAAAATGGTAACATAATCATTGTTACCACAGTCATGTATATTGTAACTTTCATTGGAAAGCAATTAGATACCGTGCGCGATATGGGGCCGATGGGTCCCCCCCCCACATGTCCAATCCCTATACACACTCTAGACTATTGTTACCTAACACATCCCTCCTAGAAGTCTGTAAAGAATTCCCGAGATTCCGATCAAACGATGACCAACACAAGGGGGGGGGTTCTCTCCGCCCCATATCTTGCATTATATGAGCAACTACATACAATTCCAAATGACACGTTAGACATATGAACATAAGACCGTGGAAATGTCATACAACAAATCACGCAGTTTACCTGACGGAAACAATATTAGAATGAAAAAAAAATGAATTTGGTGTGGGAACGGCAAAGAGACATTAACCAAATGTTCCGTGTGTGCAAGGGCGTCTGCCGAAGAAAGTACACTCACACGATTTAAAAAAAAAACGGAAACGCGATCTACGAAATTATCGCCATATCTTTCCTGTTCTACGACGACTTTTCCCCCCTCCTTTGTCGTGTCCCCATGGAGACCAGCGAGCCTTTAGATAATCTCTGATGTTTGTCTACGAGACTTTAGCTCTGGCGTGTCTTGGAGGCAAGAAGATGAGGCGAGACTGCCTCCTTGAGAATGTCTTGGGAATTCGCCGAGCATGAGGCCATCGGGGTCGGCCATATGCAACCCACGACTGAAAATCCATCCTTGCGACGCGAACTTCAGTTTGCGAGTGCCAAAATTAATGCAGGCGGAATCCTTGTTCTTTGACGAACCAAAGTTAATCAAACACTGAAAATCTGTTGCAGGGAAGAAAAAAAATACGGGAGAAAACAGCTGAAAAGGGCAGAATAGAAGAATTATTCACAGTTTTGGTTTTTTTTTAAATCTGAACTCAGTTGGTGCCAATTCCTCAAGAAAAATTCAGGATCGTCATAATGACACAGAAACACCGCGTTCATGTCACTTCCACCAAAGTGAATTAAAGTAGCGATTGCAATCGAACATCGAGTCCCTCACCAATGAGCATCTCGAAACTATATGTGGAGATAATAAACTGCCTCAAATAACTGAAATAAAAGGGTGATTTTGGCCGGCAATCCGTTTGTCTGATGGTGGGGGGATGGACGCTCTGATCAAATCACTGAATTATACGAAGGCGACAACTCTGAACTGACTAATCGGTTTAGCCCGCCCGTCAGTTAACAGAGCTAACGCTGACGGCTGTTCCATTCACCAAATTTCTTTCAGGCAAAGCCGTCCAACTCGACACTAGCTTCAACCGGTATCTGCACAAATCGAGAGCAAAGAATGTTCATTTGAGAAAAAAAGGTATCGAAGATTCGGTGATGGTCATTCCTTGACCAACTTCATAATGAAATTAATAATTCAAACAATATTTTATAGCTGCGAATGACGTTTCATTTTTCTCAAAATGTGTTTGAATTTATATTAACGTATATTTGAAAAATCCTATATTTACATGTAAATATATATTAAAAAACTAGAGTTTTTACTATGAAGTAACTCTAAATTTAAGAATTGAGCATTTTATATGTGCATTTGTACTTGCTTTGGTCTAACTACGCTTGAAAGATTAAAATATTGTGTTTGTGGAAATCTAATCATGCAAATTCAACGTCAGCGAAAATTCTTTGTGATATAAAAACGGCAAAATCCAATACTAAAATTTAAATTCACTCGAAGCTGTGCTTTTCTTCTTACGTCAGATAAAATTTGTCCGATATACATACCAAATTCAAAATCCTCTTACCCTGAAATGGATGCACGAATTACAATATATCTCCCATCATGCAAATCGACAGTGTGGACGTAATAGTAGGCTAATGTATTTCATCCTTGTCTGCCACAGCCATCCATCACTTCTTGCTGATCAGCCTGGATCGTAACGTGTGCTTAATTTGTATAAATTTCGAGCGGCGGAAAAGCTCGGCCGGGAAGTAGACACAAACTCCGCCACGAAACGCGACCGATCCACCAGGGATTAGGGGGCCGTGTTTGCGCACGTCCTGAAGACATTTCCCAGGCTCAAAATCATATATTTTTTTTGGGGGGGGGTTGTTTAATATTGAGGGATAGAATCGAAGACGGGTGATATTTGGAAGAAATGAAATTAAAGGAAAGGACGGAGAATGGGGTCACTGATGGAACTTGAAATGAACAGGAATAACAATCCGATAAAGTTTCAGATGAAATTTTATTCATTACATGTTGAGAACTGCATAACGAGAAATAGCAATGTCTTCTTTTGATAGAATCAAAAGAAGACATTCAATAAATACACCGAATTCTGCCCGGCTCTTTTTCATTTCTTGAATGTCGTCAAGTAGCACTAAACATCACACAAACAAAAAATTGCGGCAAGGAAGATAATATGTTGTCATGTGTGGTTTCAAACACATATTCAACCCCAGTTAGGCTAACATATGCGAATATTGAAATCGTAACACGCACTAAACAGCCTTTGGTTTCAAGTGACGTGGACTGAACTGTCAGTTTTGTTCGAAAACGGGGGACGAAAAGGTCGCTGGAAAAATGAAAAAAAAATAAACAAGGGAAAGGAGTGAAATGGGATAAAAGTCATCATTTTGGTCAAAAATCGATTGTCAGTTAACTACCAATGTGTGCTTTGCCCTCTGGAAAAATCCTGCATGGCCACGCCCATCCCCTGCATTTCAGGAGAACAAATCGCAAATCGCTCTTGGCACTACCAACGTGACATCATCAGTGCATTTCGAGAGGGCGCCAACGGAGAGAGTGGACGGCCGCTTGAGACTATGGCACCTTCTACCCCCCCAGAATAAGCCCCTCCCTCTAAAGCACATCTTGCAAATTTAACAACTGGTATAAAGGCCTACTTTTAAAAGCTTCTATATTGATGACGTCACGCTTTGTTTACATGCAATTTCTCAAGAGGAAACGACAGATTCGCTCCATAGGAAACCCATATAAAAACAAGCGCGAAATCACCAGTGCAAAGGCCAGAGGTTCTTCTGTGTAAGTTTTAACTTAAGACAAATTGAAATCTATAGGCCTTAGAGAATAGTACTTGAACTCGTGACCTAAGGCCAAAACAAAATGAAGTTTTGACGATGACAGACCAGTCACTTATTTTTCTGACCGTTTCCATTTTAAAAAGACATAAAAGGTAAAAAAGGAAAGTAGATGCAAACGGCTGCCAAAAGGTTCTCCAAATGGAATAATGTTGAAGGCTTTATTTCTCTGCGACGTTACAAACTGTTGGATCGAAACCTTGAAATGATTATTTACCCATTACAAATCATTTGAATACATGTACGAGGGATATTGCGGTACATCGCGGGTGTCACGATTCAGAGGCATCTGGGTCGACGACAACTGTTTCTACGAACAAAAAACAACACCTGCCCAATTCAGCAGATAAAATAAATTTATTAGTTTACCTCAAGTAAATGCAAGTGGGTCGCTAGTCCAATTCACGAGCAGCTAAGTGCTGTCTGTTTCCTAACGTCGCCCACAGCTGAAGCGTTGACATCCACTAATCGACTTGAAAACATCTCCCTCAACAAAACACTGGCTCGCGACCCCTCTCGCACATTAAGAAACCCGTGTCGTAGGCTCTCATAAACGCCCACGGGCGAGAGTCCATGCAGCACAGGGATGCGACTTCAAGACCACCGAGGCGTGTGCGCGCCCCGCATGATTCCGCTTGCACTGCGCATGAATATTTTAGGAGGTTGAGATTGGATGCGGATGATTGGACGACAGCCCCGGAAGCGTGGAAAGAATCAGAAAACTTTGAAGTCATGTGACGTCTTTGGTAATTATCGCTCGCAGTTGTGTGGAACTCTCCGTTCGTCCAGGAAGGCTTGGGGTAACCAGCGACTCTTTGATGTGTCAATATTACAAAATTATTCACAGCGGGGACTACATGCATCCAATACTTCAGTTAATCGGCTCCTGTTTGCAGGAAAAAGTCATCCTGAAAGACAGAAACAAAGGTTTCAAGGACAATAATTCAGACAATACTTTCACATGTTGACGGAATCTGCCTCACAAACTTCGCTCCAACACGAGATCAAATCGACACATTCTTTAAGCCTAACCCCCAAGGGTGTCTGTAAAATCGTGTTAAAATTGGAGGATTCGGGACTGTTAGGGTTAAAGAGGAACCAAAAAGTGTTCCAATTCCAACACCTATACCTGAGTAAATGTTGACTTACTGATATCTTCATATAACAGCCGTTGCTTTTTGTGCCACTGACACGAGACGGGATCTTGTATTAACCAAAGCTGTCAATGCGACGCATCCTGCTCAAGGGATGTTATCACACTACTGGTCATGCGCGACATCATACAAATCCCATCCAGAGATAATCTAATTGGCCCTAAGCCACTTACCCCGGGATAATTTAATATTTGATTTGGCTCTCTTGCTCTTGATCAATTCTCATTTTGTTCTAGGGTTACACTCTCTCACCAGCGCGTGCTTTAGCCAGCGCCGTCTGGCAACGACGCCGTTTACGCCGTGGAGTGGCGACTATAAACCACCAGCACAGCTTGTGTAACCGATGGGTGTTATTGTACTTTTTTTCACTGGGGCTTCATTTTCATTTTTGTCGCGGTTTTCATGTCCGACTGACCCTCTTTTTGGTGCTCCCAAAGGAGACAGATATATTCGTTTACTGCCCACCTTGTCTCGAACCTCTGTCAAATACACGTGCTTTGATAAAAGAGATTAATTATTAACATTTTTAAGGAAAACTATCTGCAATATCAGAAAAGCCCAATGTCCCTTTTTACTAAAATTTAATGTACTAGGCCAGTGTATAAATGCACAATCCTTACCTGTATACAGTTTTTAAGTGTGTTCTGTGACGTTGTTCGTGACGGCCTGTACAGCCAAAAATGGCATCTGAGACCAAGCGGCGGGGTTAAGGGAGTATCATGCTCCCTTTCACGAGTGTCTTGAATTGATGTCGAACAACGTAATTTAATGTGCCGATGTGAAGAGCGCCGCCCCTTGGCCAATACTGTCCAGTTAGATTTAAGGATGGAGTACACACTCAAAGCTCCCCCACACATTTTCCGGTTTGACTCAAGTTGGTTGAGATCTCGGTGAAATAAATGTCCACCCTTCAGCGCCCGAGGTTATGCCTTGCTGGTGTCTTGGAGACTGTTTTTTGTCATTTTCATTTAGTTACAATGAACGGCACCGTTCAGCCCCAAACCCGACTCGACCCAACCTAATAACCCACGCAGCCCAAAGAAGATTGGTCGACATTTTGCGAACCATGATTACCCTAATCCCCCCCACCGTCTCTCCCAAGAGACTGTCTAGTGCTAGTGTGATTGTCCAAAATGCTAGCAAGTCAACATTTACACCAAGCCAGTTGCTACTTTGCGTGCTTACCTAGCCAGCCAAGGTGCACAGCAACCATTGCCGATGAAGCTTCAATGCCGATATCTCACATGCTTCGTCACGAGTAGTGCTTGTCTCATCTCATACACACGACGATGAAAGGTCTGATTCCCATTTCATGGATCCTGTGGCCACAAACCTCTACATACGCAATAGGCTTTATACAGTCATGGTCCATATTGTTTTGGCGTGGTAATACTCCTGAAATTTCGAGCATTCCTCACGCACAAGCTCGCATTGGCTCGGCTGTTCATGACTACAATGGTTTGTACTCCAGACGATGCAAGATCGTTGTCTTTGAATGCAAAATAAAGAGAACTACCGTCTACCACAGGAGGGGGGGGGGCGGCTGAACTGATGGGTCAAGGGATTCGACCACAAAAATGATGGTCTACAAGCTCGGCTTGAAGAACCGTTCACGACGTCTTCAACTGCTACCAGCCTATCTTAATGACTGCGATAACTCAGGTCAGGTATTACAGGCGTGGTTTTTTTTTTTGACGACGACAGCACATCTTTGTTACGAAGTCGCTTGACAAGAAAATTCCTGAAGAAAAAAAAATAACGTTCGCAAAATCGCCTTCAATAATCGTTCCATGATCACACCATGACTCACACGGTGAGCATACGCCTGCGGTCGTCTGTGCCCAGGCACAGGACAACCTTCCCTTTTTGCCAGTAAATTTGGTGGATTCTTGCCAAAGAAGTCACCGCCGTCCGCGGTCTCCGCCAAATGCAGCCCCCTTTTGTGGAGCAGGAACATAATTGTTTCACCCTAACATGACTAGATCCGATTTAAATATGATTTTATACACACCCACAGGAGCTACCTGGTTATAGAAGTGGATTGATCACCACAAACGACTGAGGGGTCATTTTGAAGCTACTGTTGTTGGCAGCACTCCAATTCACGAAATTGCTGTTGGCAGCACTCGAATTCACGAAATTGCTGCTGGTAAAACAATATAAATGGTATAATGCCACTCTGGAAATGGATAGGTGAGCCGGCTGACCGAAAAAAAAAACCGAAAGACGCGAGGTGGAACGACGTTTCTGTCCTTAAAATCATGTTTCAAGTCATTAAACTCATTTGCATATTATGTGCGCGCTGGTCCTCATCCCACACACATTTTTACAATTACCAAACCCAAGCAACGCTTCATTAAGCAGCCACCCATGATCGGAACATTCGTCAAAAAGCCACAAGCGAATGACACGTTGGAAGTCGGGCTGTACTTTCTTCACAGATTTATTCCCCAAATACAAAATCCACATCATGATTCTGAGACGACGGTTTGTGTTTCTTCTGTCCCTAAAATTTCATCGTATTACCACTCAGGCTGAGTTACTGTACTCGGTGAACGTTCGCCCACGCACAATCACGATTCTCCTAGCTTCAGTGTTGCATGCTGCTTTTCAATGCAATAACTCAGTTATTAACTGTGCATAAAATTTGCGTTTACGTCTGGGCTTCCCGGAGAGATTCACTGACGAGTGTATAAAAAAGACGGTGCTTTCTTCGTTGCTTAGCATGCAGCTATCGCAGACAGACATTTTCTCCTGTGGTTTTGATGTTAGGTTTTGCTGATATTTACGTGCATGGTTTTGGTCGAGAATTTTATGAGCGGTCAAGAAGTCCGTGAAACTGCCATCTATGACGTTCGAATGCGGGATCTACAATACAGACGGGTCTCCAGTCCAAGGGCAGTGTCAGAGCGTTTTATTGCTCGCCGTTAGTGTGGTCCAACATGATACCTTAAGTGCCACCGATCTTGAAACACCAACGGATAAGAAAGAACAGGGAAAACTCAACTGCAGAGTACATTGCATACGGCTTTATTACAAAGCATTTTGACACGGGAACACGACAAAAATACAAACAAAAAAATCTGTCCACGTCACGATGACGCACTGTAATAAATTAACTTACTTCAAAACCAAACGCAACATCAAGCATAGTTCTATCAAGAGAAAAGTTAATATTGGAATGACGTTATCATCATTATTCCAATTTATCGAAGAGTGAACAGCTTTATGTACAGAAGAGTTACGATTTTGCTCCAACACCATTGAAGTAGCCATCGACTTGCAGACGGCGGCAGAGCTTTACAGTATATAGATCGATGGAGTGCAGTCAAACCTCATTTACAATAATAAGAGGTCCTTCGAAAATTACCTCGGAGATTACCTCTCAGGAAAGAAAACAACGAAGATAAAAGTATTATAGCCTACGTTTTTCCTGTTGTGTTAGCATAGTGCTGTACTGACAGTGCTCTTATTATCAAAGATCGTACAGCGCCGCGAAGCGGCCAAGAGTGCCAACTTCACGGCGAATACACGTAAAACGTTGTAATCGCATGGGCGCCATTTGAGCAAGCAATACGCCTTCGCGATGCACATTAAGGCGCAGGCGCCGCGGCAGGCACGTGCACCTGGTGAGCCTACGTTCACGCATTACCTTAAACTGCGCACGCGTATCGCTTGCTCAAATGGCACTCATGGTAATTACATCTTATGGACAGAGTTAACCATCTTGCGCCTTAGGCGCTATACGATCTTTGCTTATTATCAAGGCTCGACTGTATCTCCATATAACCTATGACATAATGTCTACCTATGTACAATGATACCATTATCAGCGAGCTGCTATGCATATTTATACAATAAATGCAACAATTTGCTAAAGTGATTTCCAATATACAGCTGTTGATACAAAATACCTACTTTATATTATACGGCGGTTGTACTTGAAAAGCAGAAAATCAAAGTAAAGACACACTTTCACGTGCAGACAAAGACATGATGTTTTGTATTGTTTGGTTTGTTTGTTCTTGTTTATGTATGGCATCTTCTTATAAGCACGAGGTACGGGAGGTGTGCCATCATAATCGCCCTTTTGTTCTTGATTTACTGTTCCTTTGATTGACTTCTCTACAGGTGTATTCATTATAATATTCTTCATTAATCGTTTGTAAATTTGTTACATCAAAATTATGGCATTATGGAAATAAATGTTGATGATGTAAAAAAGTTTACAAATAGAGGCTTTGCATGGTAGCCATCTTGCACGGCAGGGCTTTTGTTCCACAGGAAACCTCCTCTGTGGAACAAAGCCCTTGCCTGCAAGATGGCAGCCTTGCAGACCTTTATACTATTGAACCTCCAACCCGTTTAAATGCGTGCTCAGTATAGTCTCCATAACTACGCAGGGGTGTGACATCTTGGTGGGAATGAAAACGAAAAGCTACCAGACGTCTCACATCTAAACGCGTTCTCAACTCTGGAGTGTACTATAATTCAATTATTAAAATGGTCACACGTGTCCTAATTAAAAGTACAATGGGAAAATAGGGCCACGAAAATAGAGTAACTCGATTTTCTGAGGGACGGCCTTGATGGCTGTCTGGGAATTAAAAGTCGAACTTAACAAACAACTCCATTGCCGAAAAAAACGGCAATAGTTCACAATGCTGGTCAACTCAACTATACAAGACATAGTTCGCCTTATAATGCGAAATTGATTTAATTACAGTCTTGGCAATATTAAGTCGTGACATTGCCATTAAAGATTATAACTTTCCAGTAAACAGCACTTTTGCAGCCCCAAACTTTATCTGTGTGCTCAAACGAAATAACATCGCAAATTCATATTACAGTTAAAAATCGTTTTCAAAATGCTGCAAATGAAAAACGCAACTGTAGGCCTAATATATACCGACATCAAAATTCTGAGCGATAATTATGACAATTACTGACAAGAACATTCAGCCTTCCAATAAATATACTCCCGATATAGAGTTTGTATGGCTGCCATCTTGCAGGCCAGTGCTTTTGTTTCACAAGATATGCACAAAGGAGGTTTCCCTGTGGAACAAAAGAACCCATCTGCAAGATGGATACCACGCAAAGCCTCTATAGAATTTTGTAGGCAAGAGATGACATTCAGTAGGGGATTCAAAGAGGAAGGAATTACAAGTTAGGATCCAGAACCAAACTTTTTTGGGGGGAGGGCAAAAGTTTGGATTTTTTTCCAGTACCCTTTTATGGACCTTCAGAGGGGTGAGATTACATTCTGGGCTTTATAACATGCTTTTTGAAGAAAAACAGTCAAATTGAACACGCATGCCGCACGCAGCTCGATATCCCCCAATCAAGCTAACTTTATTTTGGTTAATACAAAACACCTTTCTCTTTGAGTAAGCCCCTCCCCTTTGTTACTTAAAGTTCTTGACCATGAGAGACACATCTTCTGTGTTTCGGAAGTATTCACATAATCTGTACTACAAAGATACACGTGAGGATTTATGGAGCTTATATTATTTCTAACTATGGTTTTACACATATCCACTGATGAATACTATTTCGATCAAGATAGCTTCGATCTTGACATGTACAAGTTGGAGATATGAGGGTTTCAACATTTTAAACTCGACTTCCTTACGATAACCAAGGCCTGTATTCTTGCGGACTAGGCTGGACAACCTTTAACCGAACCGGATTTGGTAAATTGTCTCTATTGCTTGCCTGGTTTATGTGGTATATTAAAAGCATAATGGCGGCGTGATAACTTGGCATGAAATCTTTTGTTTCTACAATGGCCACACATGTATTTACAAAGCTCGCAACACATAAATACAAATCATTTCATGCCACCACGGTACATTTGAATTCCGGACGACAATAGAAGAGCTACAATTACTGAATTACAAAACGCCGAACTATCACCGTTTAGCAATCACATTTGGCCGTTATTTCTACTCTGTTTACCGACCCCTTCCTAACACTAATCGATGAAATCTGAGGCAATCTACGATGTTTCTCCTCAAATATTTACCCTAGCTTATACATCTTACAAGGGAGGCTTATTCTTCCGACTGGAAGAAAAACATGGACAATACCTCATGCATGTACAAGTATTCATATGAATTTGAATGGCTGTGCTTTAAGTACCCTTAACATCTTTGCAAGCGGTCAATTTGTTCATTATTTATTTGACATATATACTGGTAGAGAAGTATGGATTTATTCAAAATAGCCTCTTATATATTAGGAAAGAAAAAACAATACTGTACCCAAGAACTCCTATTTCACTGAGTTCATTTTGGCTACAACTGGTCAAAACTAAGTTTAAGTGATTTTGGAAGAAAAAAACTGACACTTTACAGTTAAACATCTTGGTAATAAAATGTACAATTCTATAACATTTGAACCATCTAAATTAATATAATCATTTGGAAATGGAAGATTTGGAGTATTAGACATAGGAAACTTTAAGGTCTGGCCTCGAAAAATATTCAGCAGAGCCACAAAGGTACTCATCAAAGGTGATAAAAGTTTTCAGAAATTTGATGATATAGGCTAACAATTAATAATGTAAACAAACCAAGGCATTAACAGATGTATATGTTTTTGTTGCATTTTTTGGGCTAAATTGGAGAAATGTGACCTGGTAGTCACTTCCGAAGTGAACAAAATATTTTTGTTTCAGTAGACGGATCAACATGAGCTCACCTCTGTTTATTCAATATGGGCAATTCACAATAGTGCGCCACCAAGAGTTTGCAACACTTTGGCCAATCATAACGCACGAAATTTGTCGACCCTTTCCAAACGCGCATTGGGTCGACAAATTTTGCGCACTGTGACTGGCCAACGTGTTGCAAACTCTTGGTGGCGCACTATTGTGAAATGGCCATATTCTTTTCTCATCAAGATATTAAGACGATGCTTATTAATAATTCTGAATGCGGCCGATGCTTTGAAAGATAACCCGGATCCTGCACAAGCTAATAATCGCTGTCGTCTAGTGCAAGTTTTTATGCCTTAGACAGGTAGAAAAACAATATTTCATCTCACATTTTACATTTTATGGATTCACTGGTTTTTTTTGGTCCAACGTTAACAACATAATATCCAAACCTTCACTGAAATGAGACCAATTATTATAACAGTTGCTTAAAATAGTACAGACGGTATTTGTGCAAAACCTGGACCACAAGGTCAGCAAGGTATGTGTAAGTCATCTTTCTAAGCCATGGGGTTGCCGCTGGACATGCTGTTTTTTTCCATCTTCTTGAAATTAAACGCTTTCAAATACATGGACAATTTGGAATAAACTGAATCTGACCACATTATCCCCCAAAAGGCAACAACTTGCAAAATGCTGTTTTGAAAAGCAAGCCTAAAGTTCTCCCTAGTCATTCCTTGCTTGCTACGCTGTCCTCTTGGCTTTTCTCTCGTAACTTATCCTCTCACTGGCAAAAACACGCTCCTCACTGCGACTCAGTGAGATTTGTCAAGCTGACTGTACACAAACTTGGAACTGTAGGCTCTCTCTATACACTTATAAAATATAAATATCAAGGCATTATCTTACAATGCAAAGGTGCGGATGGCCTTTTTTTTTTTAAACAGCTGAAGGTGGGCTGCCTTCGACGACGTCTTTTAACCTATCACCATAGTAGGCATCCTTAGGGCTTCCCGACATGACGTTATTCATTGCATCGGTCTTGGACCCTGGGTTCTCCAGGGGATTCTCATGGATATGGATTCGGTCAGGTGACCTGCTTCCGTCGACGCCATCCAAGCGCCCTCGACCTCTTGGCTGGTGCAGGGGTGACGAGTCGTGGGCATAGGGCGACGTAATCCGCAGTCCCGGGGAACTGTGCTCGTCCCAGGTATAGTCCCCACTGTCATGGTCGCTGCCCCCAAGGTGGTTTTGCAGGGCTTGTATCTGGGGGTTTGGGACATCAACGAGGTCCCCCTCCCCCTCTGACTCTTCACTCTCGCTGCCCAGATCACTGGATGCCCTCGGGTGCTTGAGGGGCAAAGTGTCCGGGTCCCCAGGCCCCTCCAGTGACGTATCAGAATCATTCTTGGGTTGGACCCCTTGCTTGCCTGTCGGATCCTCCTGCGTGGGTACAGCCTCATACCCGTTCTTTCCGCCCTTGATGTGTGCACNGCCCTGTGAGTGGATGCTGGTCTGGGACGATCTGTCGGGCAATCTATTCATGCTGTCATTATGACTCCGAGGCAATGACCCCTGACCTTGGGAACGGTCGCCAGGCATAGTGGCTCCAAGCTGCTGCTCTGACTCCATTCTAACATCTGGCATCTGGTTGGAGTTACGGTGAAACTAAACAAACAAACATGATCAATCCACTAGGTCAGTTTAAAATATCTCCTCTTACATTTTCAGGACATCAATGTTTTGACTTCCTTCAGTCTGACACATTAAACTCTTTCAAATAATTTGCAAAGCCGGCATTATCAATAAATCTGAATCTCTTTAACAAAAAAATTGGCAACACTTCAAGAAAGAAAGTAAGGAAAGAAACAACAGATTTTCTAGACAAGACATAATGAACCAGATGCAACTTGATTGCACAAAATGAGTCTCAAGGCAGTTCTTTCCCAGAAATTTTGCGTTAATTTGCTCATTAGAAAGAGCAACCTGATCTCCTAAGTTTTGATGTACTGCTTGATGTGGCATCCTGAATAAAACTGACATGATGTGGGTGAAATGTTGAGGGTTCCCTTGTTTGCCACTGGTTAAGTTTCTTGAACAGTCATTTCAATCAAGAACGGCTCGGGCATCTCCTGACTCCTTTCGTGAACTCAATCAGAGAGCCGACTCACACTGGTCATCTCGATGTCGTCGGCTGGGCAGGTCCCTCCGGCCCCAGTGAACTGTAGTGGGGCTTGCAGCCTCATCCCAGTGCGCTGGTCTTGGATCATCTCCTCCAGTTTCTCGCGGCGTTCTTTCTCCCGGGCAGTCCTGATGACGAACACCACAGAGGTATAAATATTATTCTATTTCATTTGGTGGACAGCAGTGTTAAATTTAAATCTTAATTTGCCAATCAAAAGGAGGAAATAAATGGGCCAACACGGGTATTCTTTGAACTTCTCAAGATTTCAGCTGAACGTGGCCAAGCTCTGACATCTGCTTTTCACATTTCTGTTTCTGTCAGTCCAAATAAAACATTTCCATGGGACTGCTTCAAACTCACACAACCTTCAGCCGTGCTGCACAAGCTGTAAGTCACGGTCCGTCATGTCCACACCACGGCAACAAGATTTACAATAATGCTTCGTAATAAGCAGAAAAAAAGTCTAGATTTCTTCAGATTGGCAAAGCAAAGACTGACCTATTTCTGATGTAGATAACGACAACGAGACCGATGACAATCAGCATGGCGAGGAAGATGACGCAGATGGTTATGATCATCTTGCGGGAGTTCTCTTTTGTATCTGAAAGTAGACACAAGGATATTGCAAGAAGTTGTCAGGAATTTCTCATTCTGCGCTGCATTAATGAACTTGTGTTTCAACCTATCCGTCATATTGCAGCAATGCAACAAAAGCTCTCACAAAAAACAAGACGACTCAACAACAGGCCATTCTGATGAGCACTATTGCAAAGTCTTTCTCCCAAATTTATTGCAGACAAATCCTAGAATGCGACATGACCTTCTCAAACTGAGAAGTAATTAATACGGATGTCCTTGACTGACACAAAGACAACAGCAGACAATCAGCAGCTATCTGTGACTGTCTGTACTGGCAATAATCCTGAATTGTGGCAAACGGAGAACGTGTCACGCAAAGAAAGTGACAAGCCAGAAAATGGAGAGCCAGATGATCCTAATGATGGATCCTAAGAGCGTGTCGGTGCCCTTGTGTTGCCAACTTTCAAAACTGTCCTCAAAAGCAGGCAAAGTTAGCAGGAAAACAGAGAGTTTGAGGCTTGGGGGAGCATACCCTTTCAACACTTCCTTCCCCCCTTTTGTTGTTGAGGCAAACAAACTTTTCTACAGTTCAAAACATTTGAGAACTTCTGAAACTCAGGTCCTTGTGAATTATTTTCCAATGATTTCCTAGCCACTGAGAGTCATTCCAGGGAGTGCCTGGGACATCTATGGACCCTTTTCCTGTGATGTCAGGATCGTGCTGGACCTATGATGTATTGTGATGGTAATGGGTGCATAGTGTTGGTTGTGATTATTCAAGATAAAATAGTCAAGCATGCAGGGTTCGCACGTGTGCTTGCACGTGGTTGAAGCTGCCCGTAGGAATACATGCGAACACCTTGGCCAAGGCCGTCCACAGGTGGTGGTATTGTTTACTTTTAGAGCAATCCAGTCACATCGGTGAAAAAGGTCTATAGTGTAAAAGGCATCAGTGTGAGAGCCAGCGTGTGAACAAACACTCGTGCATACTCCATTCGTTTGCACTGCACTTCCTGCTTCAAAATGACGTCACACTTTGCAACTCTATACTGAAGCTTGGCTCATTTTTGGAATCAGCTGCATAGTGACTTTAATCTACAACGTATATATATCTTTTTAGCTCGAAACTTCAGCTGTGACTGGGAATAAGTAATACATGAGTGATGAATTGATCCATGCAACTCATTAATAGATATTAATATTTTGATATTAATCAAAATTCAAAAATTCAGTCTTTTCCCTTTGAGCCTCAGAGCATGTAGATACATCAACTTTCCTCTGAGAAAAATTAACTTTCCCCTAAACTTTTCAAACACAAACGGAATGACTGAGCATCTCTCAAAAGTTTCACAGGAAAGACAAAAAAAAACACCCTTTGATGAAATTGACGTGAGAGATTTGCATGTACATCAAATGAAATTCAGCCATTATCATTATCTCTAGAAAATTAAATGGAAGGCATTGGGCGCACAATGGCGCATGGATTCAGATGCTGGGAAAAAAGCTTCCCTGAGGTTCCTGATGAAGCAAAACGTAGTTCTGAACAATTTCATGGATACAAACAAGTAAGTATTTGGTTCTAATTAAATTTCTGATGAGACCAGACACTTCAAATCCTCCCCAAAGAGCCGATGCCGTCTCACTGTAACCCATGTGTGCCATTATGCATCTGACATTCCCGATAAAACTCCTGCTTCAAACAATTTTAAAAAAAATAAGATGCACAGGGTGGACACAGGTTTCTCAGCTGTGCATTACTGTTATGTTACCACTGGCGATGGAAACGGCATGCACAGGTGCTTGAATCAAAAGCCAGACTTCATTTCAATAGAAGGCAAAAGAATTCAGCCTTAAAATGGTCGCAAATGAGATTTCAACCTCTCCAAGATTTCAACTAAACTGGAATGCTGCAGTGCCCTAAACAGTTACAACTGTATATCAATTTCACGTATCTGTATCTATTTTGAATCTGAAAAACAACTTAAACTTTTGTCTCTCTTCAAAATGAATGATACACTGTGTAACCATAACATAAGGAGGTTATTAATTCCATGCATTTTTTAATAAGAAATTAGAATGATTTCTTAATATTTGTAAGTTAAGCTGAAAGTTGGTTTGACATCTCTTTGGGAGAGCTGAGCAAATTTACTGATGACTAGGTTGCTTTGATTTATTGTATGCATACTATGCAAGGCACATCATGCGATGACTTGTGCGATTCAGTCATTCCTGCTTCATGCATATTCATAATGCATAGGATGGTTGCATAGCAACATACCAGATAACATATAGCGTTTGACTCGGTGTGCACGGTGATGGTGGGGTGGACCTAGCAATAATAAGGAGTGTCACATGATCAAGACAAGACAACAATTGCAACAGCAAAAAAGAACAACGGTGTGTCGTCACAGAACTGATTCTCGGACAAACTTGACAAATGTGGCCCAACCTAACAAAATGTGTCCCAAGTCACCAGATCAATTTTGAGATTAAGGCCCTTTAAAAGGGATCTTTCATGATATCAAATCAATAGGATCCCTGACATTTTTCACTCATATGACGTCAATTTTAAACAGGATTCCAAACTGACTCAGACATCAAAACAAAGAGCTCAGTTTGCTCTTTCCAAATGCCGACTAAAACACAGTTACTTTAAAAAATGGCCTTAAGACTCATTTTACGAGATCTGGTCACAAAACCACATTTAGAAGGCTTGAGCACTGAGTAACATTAACTACATGCAGTCTGATGAGTACGGATTCTGTGCAGGAAAGTGTAGATGGTGTCACCTGGCTCAATCATGAGCAAATCACAAGCTGTGCATACAAATGGCATGTGAATGGCATGACTACACGACTGACTTTTAATTGAATGTGCACAAAAATACAGCACCTTAGCAAGAGAGGAATACAGTTGCACATAGCATTAATGGTGCTGTTCTGCATCATAACTTCTGTGGGAATAGTATGCACTGAGTTCTCACACCATTGCTACTTTTTTGAAGAAAAAGTCCTTTTCTTTCACTTATCATGCGTCCTGACTAACAAAACTAGATTAAACTCAAGCATGGTGCATTCCATTACTCTACGGGGGAGATGTAACAAAGTTAACAAAGCAAGGAACAGACAAGGTCATGGTAAGGAAGGTGGCAGGTTACTGACATATAATGCAAACAACTACAGTTTCCAAACGTGCAATATGTACATTCTGGTAAATCCCATACATGTACATGCCTACTGATGCTTGAAACCTTTCTGTAAAAAATTTTGAAAAGTATCATTTCACTCACTACAAGAAGTCTGTCTGACTTGACACTGTTAATTACTATTAAAAAAATCTTGGAATTTTTACTTAAATATCATCATTCATCTACTTGATGTGAAGAATTCACTGACTGTTTTCTTTTCCACTACAAAGAATTGGATTTTCACTTTTCCACAGATCTTGCATCACATGGAAAACCCTGGAAGAGACTTATCCTGTCATTTCCCCTAATGCAGTACGTTCATGCAACACGTGCCCATATCATATGTTACAGAGCCTTCGGTTAGATGAGGAACTTAGGAAGTTATACGAGCCCAAGCCAGATTCTACAAAAACTGCAAGAAAAAAAAAAAAAGAAAAAAAAAAGAGAGATCTGGAGATAATGGTTCAATGTCTACAGCCGATCAACCACCATCTATTAACGGTCTGAGATGTTAGAAGTAGAGAAATCCTACTCATTAAATTCGAACAAGGTGGTAAGAGTAAAAAGACGCAAGACTTTCAGAAATTTAGAAAAAGTCACTGCAACCATAAAGTTTAGAAAATGACTGATTTAACGAGGGTATTATTCAGTAAATGACATGGTTTTGGAGGACATTACTCTCAAGGAATTATTCTCTACCATGGTGCAAAAGGAAAAAAAAAATCTCTAGAGAACACGAGACACGGTCATTCAACAGAACAGAAACAGCAAACTATAATGGCATCACAGCAGGGAGTCTATAAATAGCGACATGGAAACCTGGACAAGAATGAGAGAGAGCGCCCTCGTGGTGGGAAAGTCACGGGAGATGAGCAAGAAGATTATAGTGGGAGGGAAGATATATGAAGGGCATGTCCCAACGAAAGTTTCACAATTTGCAAGGGGGGGGAGCTTCAAAACAGACTCCTGTTGTTTGGAGATTTGATTCAATATGCTGATCGTTTCTCTGTATTTCACGCGAACTCTATCCTTGGCAGATGTTTCAGCCACTATTGCTCTCCTGTTTTCTAACACTGCTGATGAAGCCACATCAGAATTATCTTGCTTGCGGCTGTGGATAACACACAAATCTATGAGAAGCTGCTACCGCCACACAACGCGGATGTTACTTCAGCTATTGCCTTCAACGTTGTTAGTTTCTTGGTGACCTTGTTCCTGTGGTCATTTCTGTCCACGGGCAGTGTATAAAAGTGTCCAAGAATATAAACGCTCTGCTGTGTTGACAGCGTTTTCGGGCTGACAACATTTTCGCCAAACTGATTCAGGTTGGCCAGGATCCGTGAATGAAACCTTTTGGGACATCCCTGGACAAAACAAAGGGGAAAAAAACAGGAAAAGCAAGTAGAACGGAGACAGATTAAAGAGTCGAAGCGATGATGAACAGCTCCCGGTATTGGCAGCCAGGTGACAAGATGCGACAAAGTACGTGATTTTGATACTGGGCACGTCATTGCAGGATTACTTACTCTTAGAGTAACCAGGTTTGACAAACTCACATCTCGTTCCTCCATAGTGAGGGGGACAGCTGCAACCATGGCAACGTACCAAAAAAAAAAAAAAGAGGAGGAACGAGAGCAGAAAACACAAGAGGTTAATTTGCATAAAGAATGGGCAGCATTGGACGCTTGTTACAGCGCCCTCTACATGTACTTACTTGCATTGGGACGAGATGGTGGAAGTGACTTGAACTGGCATCTCTCACCGGTAAATTTTTTGAGGCAACTGTTTTTGAAAGTTGACACAATCAGTGAATGAAGGGACAAATTTTTGGAGCATTACTGACAAGTGATTCATGGAATAACACGCCAGTCTCAAAGAAATACCAGTCTTGCAGTGAAATATCTTAAGGCATTTCGTGAGGGCAGACACAGTTTTTTTTGCCTGAGTGTCCTTGAAGGTTGGACAAAGAAAAACGGGGAAAGGATTGATATGTGTGCTATCCATTCCTGTTTTCAACATCAGTCCTTGAGTTTTTGAGAATACAACCTTCCGGTGGTTGTGTCTCCCTGTTGCGGCAAAGGATTCAGTGAAGAGACAGCGTAGCTTCAATGAGAAGCTCTGATTTTGACATGTCAAACAATTCTTGAGCCATTGCTTCATTTGTGAGTTAAAAACTAGGTCAGTAGCCCTCTGTTGATAATAAAAATGCTGTGTCCCTTTCTTTCATTTTCTGAACCTGCAAAAACAAGGCTTTCTGTGAGGCTGGCAAGAGATTTTACCATAAATATGTCACACAGCATCTGTGTATGTTTTTAATATCAGAACAAAGAATAAAATAACTTCAATTCAATTACTTCAATTTCATGTTGTCAAACACAAGTAAACAGTCTCCTTGGAGGGTGAGACAAAGCATTCATGCTATTAGAGCATCAGTAAGATCAAAAACATATCTCGTTACATTTTGGGGTTAAAGATTTGGTGCAAAATGACATGCTGTTAAATATTCAGGTCAAGTCTAAGTTTTTGAGAGTTTGTTAACACAAGTGCAGAATTAGCAGTTATTTTCAAGGTTAGATCAACAAAACAGGGCCAATTTTCATTTCATACCATCTGTAGATCTATCTTCCATGACTGGATACATGTACATGTGTGTTTGTGACAAATCACCGTAATTTATCCTACATGGGTTTTAAGTAGCAAAGAAAAATGTAAAAGTTGGTGTAATCATCATTACGTAAACCCTTTTATGAAATTTAATGATTACTAAATCATAATCATGATTAGGCTGCACTTGACTGCACAGTGCTACATACACATCAACTACTCTACGGTTCAGGTGAATTTCAAATTAACCGTAAATGAAGTTTCTCTGATCAATCAACTTGTGAAGCCACATTTTCGTATAATCTTTCAAAAGATTGGGGTCAAGATATGCCACTTTTACTTAACACGGGGCTTGATATTCAAATTTGAAGTAGGGCAGTGCTTAAGTTTTGTTGGATTTATGAAGCCTCCTGACGAGAATTCCCTGAAGAACTTGGGTTTACCATGAAAATGGTACAATTGACCATTCATCAAATTTTTTGGACGATTTTAGTCTCTTCCTCTTGAAGTTTACTCACATGCACATATATGCCTCTAATCTTGGGTTATATTGGCACCTTCCGCCATTCATGCAACCGCAGTCGAGTTCGGGCTCCAGTAGATCACAACGATCCCCATAATAGAGTATGGGACACCTGCCAATCAGATCACAGTTACTCAACAGCCAAAGTCTGTTACCAAAGCAACCACTTTGTCAGTGCCCATGGCAACCAATGAGGGAATCTGACCGATGGGAACCAGCCTATTTTTATGCAATGAAAGCGTCACAATACGGAACCAAACAGCCAAGGACAATAACAACAATTTCCACAGTAAAAGCGGCTACAGCAATGCACACATAATGATTGAAACTAAATCCAAATTTTGAGAGTCAGATTCTTACTTTGACTTTTCAATCTGACAAAGCAAGCAATCTAGGTCGGGGAGGGGGGCCTAAAGAGACATTTACTTTCTTGCAAATTTTAACAACACAAAATCATGTCCGAATACAATTCATCACAATGCTTTCATTTCCTCCACTTTTGAAGTTTGACCAAAAATCTAATTCTCTGCCTTGCAACTGTTGTTTCATGTCTTCTCATCTCTAACACTGATTCACAAAACTAAAACACGAACAAATGTTGCAAGAGAGCAGACAATGCCCTGGAACACAAGCCGATGCAGCTTTCACAATGGTTACACAATCACAACCAAAAAAAACTGACGTCCAAAACAGGGAACGCGGCACGAGATTGAAAACGTGATACACAAGTGTGAAAAATACATAAGATCAAATTTCCTTAAAATCAGATGTGTAGAAATGTTTATAGATCAAAAGAAGTGATATGCACAAGGAAGAAGATTTCACTGCGTCGTCAGTAATGTATGACTGGAATCGTTGAAGAATGTATAGAAATGGGACATACGTCCTACATGTACTGGGGTATCTGCTCTGTGACACCTGATGTGTGAAAGGATGACAATCAAGTGATAAGATTTTGATAAATATGTTGAAAAGACTCTAGAATGTGATTTATCCAACTGATCGGAAAAATGCTTGTCACAGCAATGATCAGCACATGGACCAAAAGACGAGCCCACGTCTTAATGCGGAAGTGCTTAAATTGGTTCCTTTTACTCATTTTTTTTGTTTGGGTGGGGAAGGGTGGCAACTATGTGCTCATTAACTTAACTTCTTTTGAAACATATTTCTGACAAACATGTGATGCAGATATACAGATTAAAATATCTTCATTCCACATTTCCAAAAACTTCAACAATTATGAACAAAAAACAAAAGTACTAATAGTCTCTGGTTGTTACGACGAATGTCACTATTTGCTACAGTGTTAATTTAGATTCATGATCTGCACATCTTTAATGCCTATTTTTCGTTGAAGCAACACTTTTTTTCATTAAAATCGGGCTAATTATTTTGCTTACATTGTATTCAGTGAAAAATGTTGAATGTTAGATTAATCATGTTGTAAGCGTAAAACTGCAGACAAAAGTGTTAGAAGTGTTTTATGTTACATGAACTTGACTGCTGAGATGCTAAAATTGTTTGTTTTAAAATGCAAAAAAAAACCAAAACAGCACATCAATCAGCTTTTACATTGAATTGATGGCACCATGCAGTTTGGCCAAAGAAAGCGCACTCCACTCAAGCATGCAGCTCTGTGTTAGACAGTGTTGTAGCTGAGACCACGTCAGACCTTCACAAGACCAGCATAAGACCAACACAAGACCTCCGGTCTGATTTCAAGTCACAAGCTATTCAAATGAACTGCAACAAAAGCACTCCTTTGTCACTTTTCAACCTGTTACTTGTGGCTGGTCTTGTGTGTGGTTTTGTGATGGTCTCAACTGCAACACTGGTGTTAGACTTGGTTTTGCCCTTACACTACGACAGCAAACTCAGTGGTCGAGTGGTTAAGCTTGAGGTTACGGGTGTCAAAACCACCCAGAGTCAGCTTAAGATTTTTCCCGCAACTCTCAGACCACGCTGAGAATGTAGTGTGCATTTACACGTTGGTCTAAGGGCAACACCTTGAATAAAATTGGTATTCCGCATGAAAAGCCACGTTAAAATTATGATGGTATGAGTTTTAAGACCGAGGCACATTCAACAGAGCAATTCGTGTTGCTGTTCATTGGCATATCCTGCATTACTTTAAAGTTCATGGCATGCATGCATACTGCGATACTCAATGTGCCCCAATTTATTTCAAAGAAGCCAGACGAGAAAGGCATCTAACGGAGGCTTCCACAAAAACAGCAGTGATTCTGCACAGAGCTCTGCTCCACGGTCAAACAAACTGACCTGCAGACCTCAAAGCTTTACAGTGGACTTGACAATGCGGTGAAAATAATTCACAAGGAATGCATAGGTACAGGCAGAAAAAGCAGACAGGGTGGTGTTAAAAGAAGGAGAGAACGAAGGCAATGGCAGGCCATGGACCATGTGGTGTAGCCTCTGTTTTTTTAACTGCAGCCGGGCGGGCTTTCAATACTTTTAGCCCCAAACAACCAAACTTGAACAAAGCCCGGCTGGGTTATGTTTTTCGCGGTCGTTACCAAAAATTGGTTTGACTGTTTCTCTTTGGTTACTTTGTTTGACGATTTGGGTACTACATCACCACGTGCAGTTCCTACTTTAAGTATCAAGAATTGTCTCGTACATTCATGGACGAGACACTACCTGGCCAATTCTTAGCTATGGCTGCCCATTGGATGTCCCACAGATATCAAGCAATGCGTGCAATGCGTTAGATCAAAGACAGACAGACTGAGAGCAAACAGGAGGACGGTCGAAAGTCGGACGAGTGGTTCCCTCCGGCGTCATCTTACCTACAAGACGGCCTCATGATTCCCTTCAGGTGGATACAGGTGCCGCCGTTCATGCAGTAATGTTCATACTCTGGTCCACAGGGCTCGGTGTGGTCATCGACCAACACTGGGAATGAAAACAAAGAACAGACCAAAAAACCCAAACCCAAAACAATTAAAACTAAAACCAAAGAAACATTCCATCCTCCTTTACCAATACTGTGAAAATCCCCTTTTCAACAATTTTCACATCCAACAAAACCTGACAAATTCTAAGGCCATGATAACTATTGGCAATGAAAAACAATGCCAGGTGTAAATGCTTGTTTAAAAACCAAACTATTGGGAATTCGATTGTGTCAAACTAAAGAAATTCTCCAACATTGTAATATCAAAGAACAGTCTTTCTAGGGGTGGGAGAGAGAACAGTACAAGAACCTGCAACATTGTACACTGAAACTCAGTTCCAAGAATATCGCAATCAAATAATATGAATGCTCAGATTACAGAAAGTAATATTACATATCTATACAGAGTATCCAAGAGAATACGTCACACGCACACAATTAGTGTGTAAAAGGCATTAGCGCGAGAATCAGTGCGTGAACCAATACGCGCGCGTAGTCCATTCATTTGCACTGTACTTTCTGGTTCACAGTGACGTCACTCTTCGGTACTCTATAGCACATTCCAGTACTGATGGACTCCCAATGTGCTTTTCACCATATTTCTCCTTCCTCACTAGGCCCAGAAACAATCCTACAAAAACCACCTTCTGTTGCTTCAAATTACAAGAGAAAATCTCAGGAGTGTCCTTCCGGCTGCCTTTCTAGGCATGTGTCCTGACGAGATCTCACCTTGACAGTAGGTTCCCCTGTAGTCTGGTTCACACACACATCTGCATTCTTCCTCATGGAGTGAGCCGTGCAGACCACAGTCCAGGTTGCATTTGGGGATTTCGCAACGATCGCCCATAAAGGTGCGGGGGCAGCTGGAGATTGAACGAAGCAATGACCCTTCAGTGTTATTTAGGCCATTTTTGGCCGGAGGAAAATATAAGTTAGTGCTACATGAGCACGTAGATAACATTAACCTATATGTATCATCTTACAGAATTACAAATTAAAGTGGAATTCTGAGGATATGTTACACAGTCATGCATGTAGGAACTGCAGGTTGAATCCTCTGTTCGGGGACCATGGGATTTCTGAACTATTCAGAAAAATGCAACTGTCAACCTAAAAATTCATTTTTGAATTCCAGACACGGCATTGAAGTCATCACTGTTCCACTAATAACAAGAATATCTCAAATTGAATTCGATGCGTCTTTCATTAAAGGTATGTCTTGAGATGTCACAGGAGGCGGGATGCAAGCAGAGGTATCGTGTCTACCTCCAGCAAATCCCTTGTCTAGGAGTACTGGCAACATATCTATCAATGACATCATCCACCATCTTTCAAGATGCACTGAAAGATGTCCCGATCCTACAAGTCATCTACCAGGCCAGTTTTCAAAGAATCACTTCTTATCACAAGCACATGAGTACAGAAAGGTCTTGTTTAAACACAGTGGCATGCTAAGATTTTGTACCGAGGAAGTTGTAAGTTGTGAATTCTTTTTAAAACACTGCTCCTGTTTCAATCTTGGTTACAGCAAAAACTGTGGTAAGCAGCATGCATTCATTAGTGACTGTAACTCCAACATACAAATATAAAAATTGAGAGCTTTGCTGGCATATTTTACTTGAATATATAAATTGAATTTCCAAAACTGTTCCCAGAACTTTTACAGGGAAAAGAGGATCACATCATAAAACAAACTGTATCAGGCAAAACAACGATTCCTTCCTGCTTACCTGCAAAGGGACAGCAGCTCTCTGGTCTTGGGGTCTTCCACGGAATGGCAAGTCCCTCCATTCAGGCAGTAGCTATTGTTGTGGCAAAGCTGATCTGCGGTACCTTCACGTGCCAATTCACAACGAGGGGAAACAGAAAAGTTGGAGTCGTTAGCAGTCCCTGCTGATGCAAGGGTATCTTTAGGCACAGTCCTTGACCCAAGGTTTTCTTGGGCTGGGCCAGAGGTCTTCTGGGGATCTTTCAAGACGAAAAGAACTCAGTACAGTCTGCGCCCCATTTTGAGAAAGAGTTGATTGTTTTTTGTCTCACTATTTTCCCCAACATTGGGAGAAACTTCAAAAGTCCTTTCCAAAAGTTCGTGAGTTTTTCCCCAGATCTTGCAGGAGATCATTACTTTTTGAAAATGAAAAATATATCTGCGGGGCTTGGCATGATTTTTTCCCATGACTTCTTTTCCCAACCATTCTCAAGAACCCTGCCTGGAAAGACTAATGCAGCAACCTATATGACCCCCCCAGCAGGGGATGAAATTTAGATCTAGCAGCACCTAGCTTTTTTGCCATTTGGCTATTAGTGATTCCTGTAAAAGCCAATTAAGAAATGTATGCCAATCCTCAGGAAATGGGGGGCTAGCTCCAGCCTCTACATTATGTGAACAAACCTCACCGACACAAACTCGGACAAAAAGGGAGACGGTATGGAAGCATGAATAGACACAGAAAGGGAAAAGAATGCGAAAAATATTGAAGTCTTCAACTGGTTGGCGCCACCATGGTGCCAGCTTCAAAAGTGTAGACTGGACTACAAGTGTAACCGTCCAGCCATGTTGGACAACCACTAACTTAAAAGTCAAGACTGACATCAGTTACTAGACACGAGGAAAATGTTAAGGAGAGAAGTGCCCAGCATTAGAGTTTGTTTTTTGAAACACTGTGCCAACAATCAGGCCAAAATCCCACACGATCACTTTGCCAAGCATTAAGCTGCTCCAGTCCTCTCTTGTTAGCAGGCAAACAATAACTGACGACCATGGTTCTTTTGATTGCTTTCTGTGCCGGCTCTGAGCCGAGCCGTGAAGCAATGATGGCAACCATTTCCTGTCTTCCCAGGACTGAGACGAAAACAAAGAGGTGATATATGTTTGACTGCCTGGCCCATTCTCGGCCAATTTCCTGAGCTGAACCTAACGTTTTATTACCTACACTATAAAGTCACACCTCTGCACCGAAAAAAAACGTATTTCACTTCAGAAAAGAGATAAATTCTGGCTGCGTTTCATCTCCGTGTTCAATTGTGAAACCCCTTGTACTTCTGTTTATTTCTGAAAACAAAATACTGCTTCTCTATAAAAAAAAACAGAAGACAGATTAGCAAGTGTGAGGACGTTAGTCCAAAAAGCCTGACTGATTCAAAAAAGAGGCGAGGATGATGGGAAGCAGACCATTAACGGAAAGGAAAGAGGGTCGAAAGATAAGGTGAGAGACAAGGGAAAAGGAAATCCAAACGAACATCAACAGACAAACAGCGGACGAGTCAAATGAGGCTGTTGATAGGGGAGATAACGTTCCAAATGACTCAGTATTTAGGGTGGCGGAAAAAAGCAAATATGCCTGGGTTAAATCTGTGACTGTAACAGGAAAGTGAGACCCTTTCCCTTTTTTTCCGCTTGCAGGAACATGCCAAGAGGCCATTTCGAAAAAAATATTCACTCTCATACATACCTGCTTCAGCCTGAAAAACAACAAGGACAACAACCATAGCTCGGTGAAATATACTCTTTGGTTGCAAATGGCATTGGCGGTCATTTGGACTTTGCTGCATTTCTGCTTTAGCCCACGACCACTTGCAATCTTCTTGGAAGAAAATATCCCATATGAGATTTTCCTAAAATTGCACAGATTGGCACGGCACATTCCACTCAATCAGAGAATTTTTTTTCCAATCCATACGCCAACCGATGTTCACCGTGAATGGTGAAAACCTCTGGGATATTTTCTCCTCTTTGTTAATTTATGCAAATAAATGCTGAATTAATATTAAACTACAGCAGTTTGAAGCAGGTGCACATTTGAACAATCTAACTTTTGGGAGTGCTAGCAGGGGCATACTTTTCTGGATTCAGGTGAAACCAGTATTGTGTGTCACTGGACCCAACTTCTTCAAGTTTGATTCTTTCATTTCAAGAACTGCTCGGAAGGAAAATCTTTGTCACAAACATTGCAAAATTGTTCTTTTTTTGCTTGAACACTATATATGATGGCTTGTCAGTGGAACAATGAGATGGAACTGAAATGGACTTTACTGTGTAACAGTTCATCGCCAGATAAATATGGTGGTAATCTGGTGCACTTTTAAGTTGAAAGATAAAATTGATTTTATTATCAAATCACGTGCCTGAATGGTGAGACCTTTTTGGGGGCAGAAACGTTAGCAGGCATGCATATTTTGTCATTCTAGAACTTTCCTAAGGACTTCTGGAGCAAACTGTTACATATTTGTTTTCATGCTTGTTTGATATTTCTGCAGATTTTTTTATATCATCTACATAACGTTGACTTTTACACAGGTATTAGTCTACAACATGTAAAAGGGGGACTGCACTTCACGTTTTTTCAACGGTTCCTTGCAATGTTAATGTAACTATTACCGAGTACCAACTGCAAGGGGTCTATAGTAGACAGCAGAAATAGCTCATTTGCATATTTCGTAGTTGCAAAATTAACTATCTGAGACACGAACAGCAGAGGGGGACAGATGATTCACCCGAGACAGTTGAGAGGACAAAAAGAACGGAGAGATTTGATTGGTTGATGTGTGCACCTGCCGTGATACCGCCGCCGTCACCGGATGAAAGGTCAAACTCACTGAGGCATGCATCGCCATAGTAACCGTCGTCGCATCGACAGGAACACGTGTCATGGTCCAGTGTGCCGTGGTCTCCACATGTCTTGTCACACATGATACCACAGGTTTCTCCAACATAGTTATCATCACAGGAACATTTGCATCTGTCAAAGGAAGAAACAATGACAATGAACATTATGGTAAAATGCAATTTACGGCTTTGTCAAGATCTTTTCAATTCTGCACAACAAGTATTTGGTCCACAAACTGACAACTATTATCATTTATTTGACTATGACAAGAACAGACAAAACAAAATTGAACAAAAAATATTAAAAAAAAATATATAAAAAAAACCAACAAAAACACACATACAAGTGTATATGACATATAAATCCAACATCTTAAAATTACATGTGGATTATTTAATTAAAATGCTTCCAAGATTTGTTGGCATCCCAAATTTAAGACAATTACAAAACAAAACACACATGGAAATAAAATTCAATTACTATTTGTTTCTTTGAGACCTTTAGATTTATAAACTGTAGAAATATGGTGTGCACCGTTAGGGGGATAATATTATTGGGGGTGCACTGTATTGTGCCTCATTCCAATTGTTTGGTCATATGGACTATAATACACTTACTCGTCAGACAATACTCTGCCATGCTCTCCACAGTCCAAGTTGCACGGGATGGAAGAGTTTGCCACTAGCAGAGGGATGTTACATGTAAACCCATCCCAACCCCCCTCACACTGGCATTCGCAGTTCTTCTCATTCAACTCCCCGTGGTCGCAAGAAAGAGCGCAAATTTCTGGAAAAAAACCCACAAAACGAGAAGGGAAAAAATGACATTTGATTAATATTTAATTGATATTTTTGTGTTCTTAATTTCAGAGATATCATTGCTTAAGGCCTGAAATAGATTTGAGTTTCCTGCAAACCCAATACACATAGCACAATAGTAACTTTCCTCCAGCTCTGCTTTAATGCTTGAATCCATCCACAATTACATCCCTAGGAATGTCTGAAATGTATCAAACGACCAAATAAATGAGAAATGGATGCAAATATCACAGAAGTTGACAACCCAATATGTGGTGACACAATTACATATGTTATTATTCCCATCATGGAAAGCTGAGAGGCAGAGAGGTTTCGTCGGTCTGGACGTCTGCATCACAGTTCTCCGTCCGACCTCATTTCATCACCAATTATGGTAGGACAATGAGACAAAGGGCAGACCTTATTTCTGGTTCAGATACTTCATCATGAAGCAAAGAAGGACGCACAGTTTAGAACAGGAAACAAAGACACCACTGATCACTTCTGGAGCAGATTTCTATGGACTTTATTTATTCTTCTCTGGACTTCTGCTCGTTCTTGTGTGGAATTCTATTAATTCTTGTGGGCACTTCTGTTAATTCTCGTGTGGACATATTCTGTGGACATCTGTTAATTCTTCTACGGACTTTTGTTAATTCTTCTGGAGACTTCTATCAATTATTGTGTGGACATGTTAATTGTTCTGTGGACTGGATTTCTGTTAATTTATGTGTGAGCTTTATCAGCATAATCATCATAATGAGAGACAGAAAGGCAAATTATATTGAATCGTCCATGTACATCTTGCAATTTGTCCATATGCGATACATGACTGCACCTTGAAGAGCACATCAATCCGTGTTGGGATCACAACAAATTTAGCCATCACTTCAGCTGCGCGATTACGTGCGCACCTTTCTGCGGTGCTAAATTTAATTTAATCGGGAGAAAATCACGGAGCTTCACATTGCTCCGTCTCCTCGCTGTTCGGAGCTGGTCTGAGTTGATGCAGATATTGAGCGGAAGAGCTGAGATCTAGACGTTTGCACATCGACAATTACCCGCCGGGAGGGTGTTGTTATTGCAACACCCGGCGCAGGGGGGAGGGGAGGCCAATGGATCTGGCCAAATAAATCAACTTTTTGAGGCCATTTTTTTTTCAAGCTTATTTAACTCCTACTGCCAAAACTTCCGCATGAAGGCATGAATTAAAGTGAAGCTGCAAAGAATGCATTGAGATTCGTGATACACATGTCAATTTCAATTAACAAGTCCAACAACGATTGTAGGGTTGTCGGTGTGCGATTTTAGAACAAGGAAGCAGGGGGGTGGTCGTAACCAAGAACTGGTGTGGTTGTTTCTGAAGCGGTGGATTTCTTTGTCAAATTGAACAGGGAAGAAATTAGGCTGAATGATGTAATATTGAAATCTTCCAAAACAATTCAATGGAATAATTCTTGGTTTTGACTGCAATTTCTTTTACTGAAAAGGATGAAGAACCGAACGTAATATCATCATATATTCTTTGCTTTCTCTTTTTCGAAATTAGGTATGCATATGCTAATAAATTTACATGCACGCGAAGGGCTCCAAATCTGTGTCATCACACTTTTATTTCAAGGGACATTATTTCACTCCAATAAATCTCGTTCAATCAAATCCCACAATTACACATGGGACTCAGTTTGGCACTCCACCGAACTTAGATAAGTGCCCAATCAATGACGGTTAGGTCACGGCGGCTACGAGATCTAAAACATTTTCTCCTCCGTCCTCAAGTGTTCTCTTCAGTTGTGCAACTGACTTGCTGCTCGTTGCCTCAAGGAGCGTCCGATACAAGCAGACCCAGACAAGATCAAAGGGTTGCATCGTCTTGAGACAGTCTGTGCTGCAGTGTCTCTTCCCCCCCCCTTTCTCCTCCAAGCTTAGCCTGTGCCAGAGCCGTGCTGGAGCATGTACTGGTGCTATGCCTGGGGCCCTGACTTGCGTTGGTTTGGGCATTGGAATACAGCAATCCGAGCGGACTCGCTGAGGATCCGTGGCTGCATGAAGCAGAAGACGGAACTTACTTCCTTGGATGTCGGCAAAATATATCGACTTCTTGGAAATGAACAAAAAATCATCACGTTCCCATCTCTATCTATTTAATGTTTAGGGATCTTCTGGATAAGTTTGATTGAACAAATCAAGCAGGAACAAATGTGAGGAAAGTTCCTCAGAGATCATCTTAGCTTGTAGAGTGCTCATCTTTCAACCACCTGTTGGAAACAACTCTCTTGACCTTTCAATTCAACATCACGGATATTTTCCCTTTAATACACCCCCAAGTTGCAGCGTGTATTGTATGCATACATGTGTTTGTCCACCCACGGAGGACAGTTTCTAACTTGGGAAATTGGTCCGAGAGACCTGATGAGAACAAGTGACCACAATTTGAACGAACAACAACCTGCAATAGTACGCACTCGTCTGCCTCCGCTGGGAGTCTCAGTCTGCTTAACCTGCGGACTTGATTCCACGTCAGCTTCATTTCCTTTGATTTCCATTCTCCCAACTCTTCCAATCATCAGCCAATTACTGGAAGAGAGATGCTGCTCCATGAGGAGAGCCGTTGTCTCAATGGTCTACTCTCACGCTCAACCCAATGACCAGTGAGGCCAGACAGAGGTGATGTCCACCTCTCAACAAATCAGAAATACATGCTAGCTTAGCCACAAACCAAAGGACAGGTGGCGGTAGAGTTTAAATTTCCAATACATCACAGTCCTTTTGGCAACTGCTGTATTCTTGCTACAAAAATCTGTTCTCTGACTTGTAAACATGTGTGTTTGGGTAATAAATGAAATGCTCACATAAAATTCTGTAACTTTTCTGAAGTCATACATGTAACTCTGGAGTCCCAAGGAAATTTCTCAGAACAGAATAATGAATAGACACGACCTTACCAATGTTTCGGTATCTTTCCTCGTTAAAAAAATGTAATTCTATCCAATACCAGACCGCTAATTTCTCAAACATTTTTTAATTACGTTTTCCAACAGAAAAGGGCAACAGTGATTGTTGATTTAAAGTATTCATATCCAAGAAAATTGCTTGAGCAGAAAAAAATAATCTTGTTCCAGTTCATGTCAACCAAACAGCAAAAACAGTCTCTGAATAAGATTTTGCTATCGCGATAAGGCTGCAGGATTTCCGCTTGAGAAACACACAAAGGCAGGCTCTGCAAATGGGCACCCGTACTGGGAAAATTGCTCGGAATATGAGGGCCCGGAGAAACCGTTTAATAACTAGAGCATACCAATTGTGCAATGGTGCTTTGGGCAGGTCGGTGAATTATCCTCCGTCTTCGATCTAATTGCATTCACACCACAAACGACTTGCCAAGTCGAAATCACAAAATGCAAAATTGGATTGCAATTTGACCCAACTTAAGCTGAAAAGACTATGTGAATAGAAATAAATAGGAAGTCGTCAGAATTTAGATGCCTCTAAGCAACCGTGTCAAACAGTGTGTGAACGCCACAAAGCATTATTAATTTAAACTTCCAAAATAATAGAGCTGACGCATATTGCACATGAATGTGCACAAGAAGAAACATCAACTTATGATTGAATATTTTTAAACACATAAATACCAAACATTTGTGTTTTGCTGTGTAGTTCATACTTATGCTTTTCGAAAAACAATCCACGTCCACAAAGGCAAATACTTCATCTTGTCAAAGACTTTGTTACCTCTCAAATTCAGTTGAAAATTTCTGGCAAGAAAACAGCAAAATGTTGCCATTGAAATGTGATTATTTCCATGTCTTCATCTACTATTCCCTTTTCAAACATGAGAATGTAAAGACGTGTGCCTGACCAATTCCGAAATATTAATTAAGCATTTATTATCGCCCTTTAGCATAACAATGCCCTGGGCGATCAGGCCAAATCAATAACACAAAGAGGAGTCAGGGAACGAGACGCTGAGTCCTGACACGTTCTGCATATCCTCTGGATGCACATTTATATCACCAATCAAAAGCAGAAATCAATACGCTGGCTTCATGATAATCTTCACCTTGTGGTCGTCTCTGCCTCATTTTGACTTAGTCATCACAACAACTGAATCCCCTAAATGATCAAGTCGTTTGCAAAGAAGTAGTCGGTAAATTGTCTTTCAACTTTTTACCCTCACAAGGGTTTAATTGGATTCCTGAAATATGGGTCAAATGCCATAAGCAATTTATACATGTAGCATGACATTGTATCTTCAATGATGAATAAAACTCGTCATCAACAAAGCAATCCAATTTTCCATAACATGTCTACTACAGCAGGTCACTGAATTTGCCAAAATATTGGTAAAGCTAGTGAATTCAAATATCCACATACATTTACTGTAATACCACATTATATGAATACAGGAAATATAAGACGCATCAAATATTACCTTCTGTCCTCAACACACCAGACAGAAAATGGCAGCTACAAGGACAACCTCAGAAGGAGGTTAGAACAAGCTTCCAAAAACTGACAAAAATGGAACATACTGCACCAAGACATGTGAGCAGCTTTCAGAATAACGAAAATTACTGTGCAACAGCACAATACAGCTACATAGAGGTCGACATGTAAGGAATGGTGTCTCATGATTAAAAAATGACTGGATCATGGTTCATAATTCTGATGCATGAAAATAGCGGCCACTCTTTCACCGCTAGAGATTTTCTCCGAATTAATTCAGATGGAAAAATTTTCCCGTTCTGATTGGAAGGCGGTGAAACCGTTAGAGACTGAAAGAAACCCACAATGACGTCTGTAAATCTCGACAAAATCTCGACGACAAAAATGGAAGGTGTAATCAAAATGCTGTTGTAATCAAGTTTTGAACTTCTTGTCTTTAACAATGAAAAAATTATGGCCAGTACCGAGTCCATAGATAGAAATTCAACACGGAACCATCCACTACATGTCTGCACCTTTGCAATTAAGTCTGGGCACCTG